CGAGAAGGACGCCGCGGCCGTCGCCCTTGCGGAAGGAGACGACGATGCCGCCGGTGCCGGAGACGCAGCCGATCGCGGCCCGCACGTCGTCGTGCATCTCGAGCGGGGCGGGCGAGCAGGTGGGGTGTCGTTCGCGACCACGGGCTCGCAGCCGAGGAGCGCGCGGAGGGGCGGGACGAGCTTCGCGATCGTCGCGGCGCTGTCCGCGCCGCTCACGCCTAGCCAGGCGGCGGCGAACACGGGCGCGTCCGCGGGCGGGGGCAGGGCGCCGTCGTGGGCGTGCGGGGCGGGGAGCGCGCGGAGGGTGGCGGCAACAGTGGCGGAGACGGCGCGGATGAAGTTAGGGACGCCGAGGTAGGCGACGTTCGAGGGCCCGCCGGTGCCGCGAGCGAGGATGGTGCCGTCCTTGTCCGCGATGGCGGCGGCGGTCTTGGAGCCACCGCAGTCGACGCAGAGGTAGTAGGACATCGGGGGCAGGGTCGTGTGCGGCGAGAGAGAGGCTGGCTGGTCGTTGGTTGGACGGAATATTATCTGGGCAGGCGATCGGGCCGATGAGTGGAGGAGCACCATGAGCGAGAACAGCGACGCACATGGGGGCCAAAGAGGCTGATGGACGTTGGCGGTCACGAGAGGGAGGCCAGAAGGAGGCGGTCGAGACGAAGGAGGAGAGGATGAGACGGGACCAGCTTGGACTCGCCCTTCGCCATCTGTGGCGGAGATACGGTCGATCATGCGCTACTTATCGTGCCCTGTGCGCAGACAACGAGCGAGACCGAGCGCAAGATGGGAATATAAGTAGCCTGTTATCATAGTTGCATCGTCCGCCGAGAGCGGCTAGCGCGGCCAAGCAAGAAGACATGAAGATGGCGACTGCAGATCTGTTGTCGCAGGTGCTCACCAGAGCAGACGATGTCAATCCACTCGAGACGGAAGAATAAAGCTGGAAGTCGTAGCACATATATAGGCGCATCCAGAGACCTCACTCTGAACCTACGCTCGTTTTCCCACGTCCACTGCCACTTAACGGTCGGCGGAGGCCTCTGCTTCCTTGTCCTTTTCCGCTGCCCTAATCCCATGAATTCTTGCAACACCTCTGCGGCTGGACGAGTCTTGACCGATGGCCCCGAGCACGACATTGCCACGGGCAACCACTTCAAGCCGCTTTACTCAGCTCTGTTCCCCTCACGCCGTCTTACCAAGGGTCCCAAAGTTTTCCTGAAGTTTTCCAACATGCTCACTCAGCATTCCCGAACATTGCCGCAATCCCTCTCGAGCCCGAGCCCCAACACACCCCGCGTCTTTTTGTCAAACTCTCAGTCTCCGCAAATCGACCAGCCTGACAAAACTCACCGGTATCGATCTTCCCGAGCCGTCTGTCCTGTTGTTCAATGACCGACGCCCAACATGAATATTCGGGACCCTCGCGGTACGCTTTGTCATCCTCCCCGGCACTGGGACGACTTCCCGCATCTTCTCGTCGTTGGAAATCGGGTGAGAATCCTTTATCATTCCCATAGGCCGCCATGAACGCGGTGCGAAATTTCGCTCAAACACCCACCCACCTTCCCTTATAAACCCTTTACGCCGACATAGCTCTGCCTCCATCCTTGCCGTCTTCTTCGATTTTCCACTCGTCATGCCTTTCATGCAGAACGCTCCAGCTGCTGGCGTTCCGTACTTCACCCCCGCCCAGTATCCCCCTTCGGGAACCGCCGCGGCCGATAGCGATGTACCCACTCTCTTCAAGCCCATCAAGATCCGTGGTGTAGAGTTCCAGAACCGCATCTGGGTCAGTTCTAACTAGCAATGTCCATTCCGGCCCACTCAATCGCACTACACCAGCTCTCTCCTTTGTGCCAGTACTCAGCTCAGAACGGATGTCTTACCGACTGGCATATGGCGCACCGTGAGTAGTCGCTTCAGAGCGTAGTACGCGCACCATCTCACCATCCCTTCGATTTCGCTTGCAGTGGGTGGCATTCTCTCCCGCGGCCCAGGTTTGACCATGGTTGAGGCCACCGCCGTCTCCCCCGAGGGCCGCATCACCCCCGAGGACTCCGGCCTCTGGAACGACGAGCAGATCGAGCCCCTCCGCCGCATCGTCCAGTTCGCCCACTCCCAGGGCCAGAAGATGGCCATCCAGCTCGCCCACGCCGGCCGCAAAGCGTCCACCGTCGCGCCCTGGCTCAGCATGGCCGCCGTCGCCGTCGAGGCCGCCAACGGCTGGCCGGACGACGTCGTCGCCCCGAGCGCGGTCCCGTACAGCGCCGACCTCGTCCATCCCAAGGCGCTCGACAAGCAAGGCATCCAGCGCATCGTCGCCGCGTTCGTCGCCGCCGCGAAGCGCGCCCTCGCCGCCGGCTTCGACGTGATCGAGATCCACAACGCGCACGGGTACCTCCTCCACGAGTTCATCAGCCCGCACAGCAACAAGCGCACGGACGAGTACGGCGGCAGCTTCGAGAACCGTGTCCGCCTCACGCTCGAGATCGTGGACGCCGTCCGCGGCGTCATGCCCCCGAGCATGCCTCTGTTCCTCCGGTGCGTCGAGGTCTTTGCTGTGCCGCGTTGGAAATTGGCTGATGGGTTCACGGCAGTGTGTCGGCTACGGACTGGCTCGAGGAGTCCCTGGCCAACGAGGAGTCGTGGTGCTCGGAGGACACTGTCAGGCTCGCGGGCATTCTCGCTGAGCATGGCGTCGACTTGCTTGATGTTTCCACTGGCGGCATGTCGCCTCTGCAGAAGATCAAGGGTGGACCGGCGTACCAGGCTGGGTTTGCCGAGGCAGTCAAGAAGGCGCACGGAGACAAGATCCTTGTGAGCGCTGTTGGTGCGCTCGGCGATGGTCGTGTTGCGCAGGGTGTCCTCGACAAGGTGCGTCTTCTTCTTCCTCTAGCATCGGTTTTTGTTACTGACGACGATACAAATCCAGGGACAGGCAGACGTCATCTTCGTCGGTAGACAATTCCAGAAGAACCCGGGGCTCGTATGGACGATGGCGGAGGAGCTGGGAGTCCCTCTGACGGTTGCGCATCAGATTGAGTGGGGCTTTGCCGGAAGAGGGAGCGTGGGCCGCAAAGCAGCTTTGTGATGTATGGATGCGATGCACAATGTAGACCATCAAAGAGATGTAGTATAGACAGTTCCACCCTGTATACCTTGATTATATTCGCTTGCTCATTGCCCACGGAACAAATGATCCCACATTTGGCTTCTGAGAGAGAGAGAGAGAGAGAGAGATACACACAAGCCGTCTACGCTAAACAATACAAAGCTCCGAGAGTGGCGATTGTATCAAGCAGCGAAAGGGTTAGGTCCGAAGCAGCACGTGCTTCGCGAAACGGGGGAGGAGTCCGAGTGCAAGCACGCGTCCGTAAGCAGCCACACACCCGCATAGACTGAGCTCTCACATCTGTTTCTCTGCTTCCTCTCCCACTGAAACACCCTCCACGCGCATCTCCGTATTCCCTGTCGAGATCCTCCAGTACCGGGAATCTGGGTGTAATCATTGGACATGCCGGCCGCAAACGGCTCGCACCACCACTCGAACTCGAATTCAAGTCTGACCATCTCCAACCGGTCGTTCTTGGAGGGGGCCACCATCAATGGCTCGCCGGGAGGAAACACCAGTGTCTCTGCTTCCTGGACGGTCGTGAACTCCATCGCGTCCTCCGCGGCGGAGAGAGATGCTCAAGTGAGCGAGGCGTGCGTCTAGTGGATTATCCAGGACTGATCCCCTGCAACTTCCCGTAGCTGAAGGACCTAACTGACCAGCTCAACCATGACATAATGGTCAAGGAGGGTGCAGAAGCGATGTTGCAGGAACCGCTCACGGTGAGTCTCCGCCTTGTGGCCCCCTGCAATCATGATCACTGCACACGATCCCCCCGCTGCCCCACGCATCTCCTCCTTCCACGGCGTTCGCATCGTTCGCGCGTTGAGATGTCCCCGTCGTTGTCCTCGGGACGATGTTTTTTTGCGTGCATGATCATGCTTGCAGAGGACATCCACCCACCGAAGTACCTCAGCTCACAACCCTGGTTCATCCAAGGGTAGCCTCAGGACCGACGTCGAGCAAGAACTTGCCATCGCCAAAGAACGTATCGTCCGCTTGCAACGTACCATTGACACATGTACGTCCCCGTCGCCTCCCGTGCCCCATACCCGGCTCAAGCCACACCCTTGCAGACAATGCGCGTGACCGCGACCGCAAGCGGACCAACGATGCCCGACCGCGCCGCAAGTTCGCTGGTGCGCCGCTCAATGAGACCGCGAACTGGGTCACGAACTGGAAGACGGACGGGACGGAACGAGGTACGTGCCCGCCCGCGCGCCCAGTCCACGCACGCTCACGACTCCCTCCCCTCTCCGCGCGCGCAGACGACTTCCGGTCGACGATGCACCAGGCGAACAGCGCGATAAAGGCGCTGCTTCTCATGTCCAAGCACCCTCGCACCACCACGCGACGTCACCCGCGCCGTCGCCGTCGACGTCCCCCTCGACGTCCACGCTCCCGAACCCGGCGACCGCGACGGAGGCGGAGCTCAGCCGCGCGCGGATAGAGACCATGAACAGGCTCATCGGGATCCTGCAGAAGAACATGCGGGTGCGGTACGAGATCGAGGTCGGGGAGGTGGTCGTCGCGTGAGTGGTCCTTCGGCGCGCGTCCCTCCGTAGTCTCTCACCTAGATGTCAAGCCTCCTCCCATGTCTCGCGGACAAGGCGACGAAGCAGGCGCGGGCGACCGCGTACCGCCTCATCCGCCACTCGCTCGTGGACGCGCACTCGGTGCAGCGCATCGGCGAGCAGAACCTGGACTGGTACATCGTCAAGTGCGTCTCCCGCTGCTCCGTCCCGTGTCCCCTTCCGTTCATCCGCCCCTTGCGTGCGCAGAACGCTCTCCCGCGACAATAAGCACTCGGTTGAGAAGGAGCAGGCCGTCAAGCTCATCCGTGCCGTGGTTGAGATCGGGTCGGAGCGATACGCGCCGCACACCGCCGTCGGCTCGGGGACCGTCCCGCTCTCGGACGCGGTCATGCGCGCCATGATCGCCGTCGCGGAGTCTCCGGACGACCCTTTCAAGTCGATCTGCCTCCAGACGCTCACCGAAATTCGTCAGTGCTTTGCACATATGTAAAGGGCTTTGCCGGCAACTAATGTGTGCGTGCAGTGCTCATCGACATCGAGCTGATGGCGCGAACCGGGGGCATACGGTTGCTATTGCATGCGCTAGCGGAGGGTCCGCTGGACATGGCCCCCCTGCTTACGTCGGCATTCCTCCACATCATCGATTCGCCCCAAACGAGAGCGTATCTTGAACCCGGCATGGATATCGAGGTATGTCACATGTTCTGGCAGTTCGCACACAAGGTCAACGGCGCCTTCAGATCGCCTTTACAGGGATTACCGACGCCTATGGCAAAAGCATAGAACACATGGAACGGGTGAAGGGCTGTGCCCGCATCTTCTCGTCTATGCTTCGCTCTTGGAGCGGTAAGTGAAGTTTTCAGTCCATACTGTATGTTTTTGACTTGTTTGTAGGACTCATGTACTGCTGCGTGAACGACAAAGCTGCGATCCGAGCCGTCGTGGATTGTTTGCGAATACCTGCCCTTGAGACCCGAGTGAGTTGGAAATATATGTGAACAAGGGGATTATACGCTTACGGTCCCGGCAGGAAGTTATTCTCGATACCTTCTTCCATCTCCTCAACATCAAACTACCCGAGTGGCATCGAGCGTTCATCGACGGTCGACGGCTTACAAGTGAGTGTGGGTAGTCTCGGGTGGTATAATCTTGCCTGACGTCAGGTAGTGTATCGGAAGTCAAGACTGAGCGCTGAGATACAACGGGCGGAGATTCCCCATCGGCCACCACACACTCTGAAGCTCACCGACCAGTACATTGCCCTCCTCATCCTGATATTCACCAAAGCCGGCTTGCTCGATGTGCGCAGTTTCGTCCAGTCCCGTGTCCGTGATACTAATCCCGCAATTTCAGGCATTAACGTCGATGTTCGAGGAACCAGGGATCGAACCCGCTTTGTCCCGAAAGGCCACATTGCTCATGGCAGAGGTTCTGCAAAAAGCCAATCGCGTTTTGCCTCTATCAGTAGCAGCGAAAATCCAGGTATGCTTTGGTTCATGCCATATGGTCTACACTCTTTCACGTGCTGCTAGTCTTTGCCTCGGATCTTCAATCTTGCATCGGACTACAACGACAACGAACATAGGATTATGGGTTCGTCGGCGTTAACCCTCATCGATAGTTTCAACCGGCATCACTCGCGGTCGGAACCTACTGCCAAGGGCGACGCTTCTCGGCCAAGGTATTCATTTTTGACACGTTCTCCTTTCGCGATGTCCTGACGCATCCGCTAGAGCGAACTCGGTGGAAGAGTCCATCCGAAGAGGCCAGCGAGCGGTTGAGCAAGATCGTATGAAAGTCCGGATCCAGGTGGACGACAGGACGTTCCAGGCAAACCTGCTCGAGACGCAAGTGATGCTCACGAAGGACCACACGAAGTGGTCCTACGACACGCTGCTCGACCTGATCGAGGGTCCCTTGCACAATCCAAAACGGATGGAAGAGGCCATCAAGGTGCTCAAGTATATCCGGCGGCTCATGTCGTTCTTCCACCCCTTCGCGCACCGGTATAGCGACCTGTCGAGGAGCAAGGTAAGTCGTTGCTGTTGCGTTGCGTACGAGACTGTCTAGCCAACGGGGTCGACTTCCAGTTCAACATGCGGTGGACGCGAATAGGCTGCTCCTTGCTCACTGCGCTCCTTGCGTGCCCGGACGGCGTGCGGTTCCTAGCAGAGGACGAGTTCCTGGGCCAGCTGGTGAAGAGCTTTGCACAGCTTGATCCTGTGCGTTTTCTGTTGATTCTTGCCTCCATCATTTACTCATAGGCCGATAGCTCAACCCAACGCCTACCACCGATCCGATTTTCTCGAAGGAGCGGATGGAGAAGACCCTCACTGGTGGCTACTTCGAGATGGTCGGAGTTCTAAGTAGACGAAAAGAAGGCATTGAGTGAGCCCGGATAAGTTATCTTGTAATTCACAGCACTGACATGCTTGATACAGGTTGCTGGAGAAATTCCAGCTTTTCACGGCCTTCTACCATCTCAGCGAGTTGCGCAGCAGAGAGGACCTCATCACTGGCATCGTCGAGAACCTCGACTACAGCATGTGGGTTTCGTCCTCGTCCATCCCAAGACTGCACTTATTGACTGGACCCGGACATTAGTGACGGCCATTCCCGGATTGTCTTGTCGAAGACGCTGACATCGAGCTACAAGGTATGCTATGGCCCCAAGTTTATTTCCCATGCGCTGACATGTAGTCCAGCATGTCCGCTTATATGCGACCAACCATCTCGGAGGGCTCATCCGCACAAGCCAGACCGCTAATGCTTGGACAATACGCCTCCTTCTGACTCAACTGTACGACCCCGCAGTCGAAGTACGAGAGCTCGCAGTGCGCTTCTTGGAAGAGGCATGTGAAGCAACGGACGTCCTCCAGATGGTAGTCGAGATGCAGCCCACCCTAGACCACCTTGGAGAGATCGGACACCCGCTGCTGCTCAAGTTCATGTCGACCACCGTCGGTTTCAGGTTCCTCTATGCGGCAAGCTATATTGATCGGGAGATGGAGCTTTGGTTCCATGTGAGTGTATGTCTCCAACTGTGGTTTACACTCTGCTGACGCTCGCGGTAGGAACGTAACCTCCACTACGTAGTCCACATCGAGGTCTTTCTTGCGAAGGCGTTCAACGAGAATGGCGGAGACGAGGGTGATGAGATGCTGTAAGTGGCAATGGTTCTGGTTTAGAGCTATCGAACTGATGTCGCCGGGGCAGCGCATTTGATGGCATCGTTCCTCCGCATTTCTACGGCGTCATGGCCAAGACGGAACTCGGCTGCGAGGTTCTTCAAGAGAAAGGCCACTTCTCGGAATTCGCGCAGTTCATTCGTGCCCATGGCCTCGAACAAAGCGATCGTGATATTATCATGAAGTTGAAGAGCGTCCTTTGGGCTGTGGTGAGTGTTCTTATCATCTTTCGAAGGAGTGCAGGCATCGATGAGACCAACAGGGCAACATCGGGGCTGCGGAGGGAGGCCTGCCGTTCTTGGAAGAAGAAGAGATCATCCCACATATCCTGAACATCGCAGAACAATCTCTTGTGCTCTCTGTTCGAGGGTAAGTTGTATTGATGCCATGTTCGTGGTCCGGGGTTAACCGTCGAACAGGACATGCTTCTTCGTGCTCGGCCTGATTTCGTCCACCCCGCAAGGCGCTGAGATACTCGATGATTACAACTGGGAAGCCACGCTTTCTCCCCTTGGACTGCCGAGCGGCCTCTGCGTTCCCGTCGATGTGGAACAGTTCGTTTCCGTGAGTCTGCTATCACATTAGTCTGTGAGCAAGCCTAATTTGTTGCCTCAGATTGATCCTTGGAAATGTATAGCCAGCGAGACAGTGGACGACAGTCGGCTCATCCCTCCTGAGAGCGAGGAAGAGAATGAGCTCATGACTGCCCTCTACAATCTCGCGAACACCGTCATCGCCAATGCCGCGTCGCGGACGCTCACGAAGTATGTTCTACACACGTCGAAACTCGTCGCATGCACTCACGCATACCCCTACAGGATGAAGAGCAAGCCGGAGTACAGGCACATCTTCAGCTCGCCACGCGTGTTCTATCGGGCGCTCCACACGATCTCAACGCAGAAGTATCGCATGCCGGTCCGGCGGTACATCATCGACCTGTTCAACATCGAGCTCGACGCGGACGTCGTGCAGGAGCTGACGGAGAGTGCCATGGCCCTCCGGATGCCTCCTCCCGAGCGAGAGCCCCCAGCCCCCGCGAGCAACGGCGACGACCAGGACTCGGAGAACGGTGAGCCGGAGAGGGCACCGGAGGTTCCCGGGGTAGGGGATGGCGCAACGGTGGAAGACGCGTCGACAGAGGAAGACTCGCCGCGGCCGCCCCCGCCTCCCATCCCGAGGGCGGTGCAGAACGCGCGGGAGTCGGTGATGCCGTTCCGGCAGCGGTCGGTGCGGCAGCCAGTGTCGGACTCGAGCGAGGAGGAAGAGTCGGACATGGAAGAGGAGGTGGTGACGAAGAAGCGGCACCGGGCGCCGGTCATGAGCTTGCGGCCCAAGAGTCGGATCATTGGTTTCAACTGAAGGTCGGATTCGGCTGTGTTCGAGAACCTGGACTTGTGGTCGTGCGTGCTTCGCTCTGCTCTGGACGTTGTGTATTGCTATCGCTATTTCGGTGCATTCTCGCGTTGTGCAACTCATCCCTACTTCACCTAACATCAGATATCACTGGCTGGACACAAGGCAGTATTCTCGCTGCTTGCACCAGATGATAAACTTACAACGCTCTTGCCGCATCATGGAACGCGTTGTGCCCGGCCCTCATTGGCGTTGCAACGGAGACGAGCACGCAGACGTGTGGGTTCGGCGAAAGGAGCGGAGAGGAGCGGAATCGGCGACTCGGGATCGAGATACAAGACTACATCCTGGGCCCGATGCCCGTCGACACGTTCCTGGGGGACTTCTTGCGCTTCTGTGAGGGTTTGACCAAAGACATGCCCCCGTCGAAGTGTGCATTCGACAAGGTGCCGGCACGCCCCAGACAGAGATAGCGTGGTACATACCACCCGTTGGTAAGTGCTCGACCTGCGCCATTCATGCGACGACGGAGTCGGACACTGGCGTAGCGCCGCCCGTTACTTCCCTCAGTGTACCAACGAAGCGATCTGCCGGCTCGGCCCCATCCTCGTCGGGCCCGGCGGTCAAGAGGCGGAAGCTGGAGGAGCCTTGTGTCGACTCGATCGGAGTCGATGGCTCCTACTTGTGGCTGTCGGATGCCAGAGTGTCCCCTCTGACGCCTTCTCCGGCTGGGGACACCCTGTAGGAGTGATGATGCCGAGGCGGCGAAGGCGAGCGGCGAGGTCGGAATGACCACCGTATGTGTGCACCAGTACTGGCTGGACAACGGACGAGTGAGCGCTTGAGCACCGGCCAAGCTTGCGGCAAACTGTGAGAACGCGGCTCGGCCTAGCTTCAAGCTTTCAAGCTCAAGCTTGAGCGCTTGAGCTTGAAGATCTCGCATGGCAGCGTACACTGAATTCTCCCTGCTCGTCATCTTCTCTTTGTGATCTCCCTCCCAATGAATGAACCATCGTCAAGTCCGTTCAAGACAGCGAAGAATGCTACGGCGGAAGATGCGGCGACTGACTCATCGTGGATACTCTCGCCTCCTGGTCAAGGGTGCCGTTTGGACAGTGGCCTGTGCGGTAAGAGGAACCACGCCCAGGAATTCGGGGGACGGAAACGGACCAGGTGGCGACGACGATGAAGCGGCCCCAGCGCAACCAACCTATGCGGAAGGAACAAGCACGTCAGGAGAAGTCTGGGACAACAAGCCGCGATGGTGCTTTTGTACTCGAGTCGATACCCATTCCAATCACCGCTTCGGCCTGTAACCAAATGTGTGGCGACGGTGGGGGTGGCGAATTCCTCAAGATCCGGCTCTGCGTCCAAGGTCTGCTTCTTTCCCCTCTCACTGTACTTCACCAAACACCATCCGCCCTCTCACCCACCGTCTCCAAGTACACCCAGATGGTCGCCCCGTCTGGATGCGTTCACAATATTCCGACCCGGTTCAACCCTGCTCTCGGAGACTCGGACAACGTGGAAGTCGAGAAAGCAAGAGCAAGAGCCAAGATATATGGCGCCGACATCAGGCAGTGGTTAGTAGGCCCAATGCCCCATCCCAGTTTACCGCCGCCTTTCTGCCTTGTCCCACCCCTGAAGACCTCAGTCAACGGCTCGCGGGAAAAGGTGCCTTCAGCAAAGTTCCGGCCAGAGTGGAGACGAACGAAGAGATACACATGCCGATGGTGAGTCCTTTTGTAAGAAGCGATAGATCACCATGCAGAGTGTCACGCTTGCAGGCTGCGGCTTTGAACCATGCGACCAAACACAAGTCCCGGTGCCCCGGCTTTGTCTTCGAGATTGCCGCCACACACAGCGTACGCCAAGACCGCCGCGGATTCATGAAGCCCGATATCTGCTGTTACACCCGAAGCAACCACGACATCGTTCGAGCGGCGGAGCCCTCATCTCGGGTCGACTTTGGCTTTGCCGAGCTGTTCATCGACATCTCTCCTGACCCCGCGCGCGACGCGTTCACCGACCCTCCGAGGGGCTCAGTAGACCACGAGCTCCTGTCGTTCTCGCCCAGTAATCGCAAAAACGTCTCCATCCATGACCTCTTTGGCCAGCACGTCTCCTACGTCGCGGAGATCTTCGATCGTCAGCCGCGATGCTTACTGTTCACCGTCATCATGCACGGCTCGCGAACACGCCTGCTGCGCTGGGACCGTGCAGGCTGCGTCGTCACGGAGGGTTTCGACGTGCGCACGCACCAGGACGTGCTCTGCGAGTTCCTCTGGTGATTCTCGCAGGCGACCGACGCGGGACGAGGACACGACACTTCCGTCAAGCACGCGCTGCAGGCTGAGGAGGAGCTCTTCGCCGGAGTCCTACGCCAGCATCTCCAGCTCCAAATCGCCGACTACGAAGATCTGGAGAAGGCCGTCGGGCAGCATTATGTCCCCGGTCGTGTCTACACAACGGACATCCTCCATCACCGTCTCTCCGCAGCCGATGAGAACACGCGCAAGTTCGTCTTCTCTCGCCCAGCGGCGTCATCCAGATCCTTGGCTGGCCCTGGTACACGCGGCTACTGGGCAGTGGACGTCACAATGAAGAAGATCGTTTTCATCAAGGACACGTGGCGGCATAGCGGTGTGGAGGAGGTGCAAGGGGACACACTACGCCGTCTGGACGACATGGGCGTACGGTTCGTTCCATCTTTTGTTTGGCACGGGGACGTGTCGAGGATGGAGGTGTACCCGGAGGAACGTCGCCGTTTGTCAAGTAGGCATTTCACCGCCTTCGTGCGTTAAGGAATGCTGCTCATGACTCTTTTCAGGAAGCCAAGTTCAGTCTACAGTTACTCATACAATGGTTTCAGAGCCCTGGGTTTGCCGCGTAGCTGGAAAGCCACCTCGGAAAGCGGAACGGCGGCACTACCGACTCGTGATGGGGACCGTAGGGATGCCGCTGAAAACCGTACAGGGCGCCAAGGAGTTGTTGTCGGCGACGCATGATGTGTTCACCGGTAAGGTTGTCGGAACTTCACGCACATGCGCTGACCAGACACCGAGCAGCGATGAACGATGCGCTGGAGAAGGACACGACTGGGAAACATCCTGCGTAGTCGATTCAGACGGTAATGCAATATATCATGGTCGAGTTGTGAGCACTTTTTCCCCTTGTATTTTTGGTCGCTGACGTCTGTCCAGGGCACATGGCGATACATGTCCATCCGGGTCCTCTCCTGGTCACACGACTACGAAGGCCAACATCGTTTTGAGGACGACATGGAGTCCCTTTTGTATGTGGTGATCTGCATGGCATTGCTGTGGCAACCGCACAAGATCCACCGGCGAGAACTGGCAGGCATCTTCGCATTCATATTTGATCAGACAGAGGAGTACACTGCCGAAAATGAAGTCTTTGGCGGTTCGGGAAAGATCAGCAATGCCGAGTACCGACTCTCCGTCACTGGCCACAGGTTCCTGAGCAAGGATCTCGCCACCTGGCTCGACATGATGATGAACTACCACTCCCCTGCCGGCCGTAAGGCTGACGACACATGGAACAAGCCCGGCTTCATTTACGACTTCTGGACCCAATTCCTGCGCGAGCACTCCTCCAGCCTGGAGACCAACAATCGGCAGGAGCACCCGGTCATTACGGACGACGGCTTGGAGGCCACTTCAGACACCCACGACCGACAGCCGCTATTCCCCGATACGACGACAGGTGAGCGCGCCGAGGCGATCGCGAGGCACGCTCGAAGGATGACCCTTCTCGCCGAACGAGCAAGAGAAGAGGCTGGGGGCTGGCTTCTCGAGATTCTCAATCGGTCGCCGCCAGACATGGAGAATCGCGAAGGGCACAACGAAAATGCGGAGGACCAGACGCTGGGTAAACGCGACCGGTCGCCGACTGAGGAGCAACCGAGTCTGGAGCGTCGGGTGAGCAAGCGACTCAAAGCTGTGGGGTCGCTAGCCCAAGCGAATGTGCGCGCCGCACCAGTCACTTTGCTCAGCTCTCGCCCTGTTGGATCTGTCCGTCGAGGTTCCGGCAACTCCAAGTAGGACGCCGTCGCTCCGCTATCCAGTTTTATAGTGCGGTGGAACTACAGTAGTATCGTGGGACAGATATGACATTTTTGGCTGCGAACTACAATTATAAGACGAAGTTGAACAAGTGGAGATTTACTAAGACCGAGGAGGGTGGTGGTGCCACTGAGATCTGAGAGCCTGGCAGGCTGGACAGAAGCCGGTGGTCGGGGTCCGTGTCCGAGTTGGCGCCTCGAGACGGCGGCGGCCTCTGCAGGCGCACCTCAGCTTTATTATTCTTGTACTCCTCCCGTTTTGTGAATCCTTGTTCTACGACCCTATACATCATACACCGGCTTCATTCCCCTTTGTGCAGCCCGCCATGCCCGTCTACAATCTGCCCATGAACATTGAGCCGACGCTCTCCCAAACTGCAGACCTGGAACCAGAACATGCGAGGCTTCGCGCAAAAGGGCACGTTTCTGACATCATGAACGAAATCCTCGGGCCGATGCCTCTCTTCGAATTCATCGACCACTTCCTCCCCGTCGTTCCTACTGCGGACGACCACTCCCACCGCCTACCGAGCAGAGACGCTTTCAAGCTCGTACCCTACCAAGCAAAGAGAGCCGCAGATATCTACGAGCCATTGGTGAGTGACTACCAGTAGTCGTTTCGCTACCCGTGCTTCACCCGCGCCAAAGGCCGCAGCTTTAAATAAACACACGAAGCACAAGACTCGATGCCCGGGCTTCGTGTTCAAAGTAGCAGCCGCCAGGTGCCTCTACCCGAACCGACGAGGTCACATGAAGCCCCACGTTTGCTGCTACAAGCCGTCCAATGCGACCGTCGTGCAAGGTCTTCGCGCATCGACTTCGGGTACGCAGAGCTGTTCATCGACATCTGCCCCGACCCCCAACGAGACCTCTTCCACGACCCTCCCCCGGACGCGACCGATCGGCACACGCATGAACTGCTCTCAAGGTTGGCGGATCGCCAGAAGTTCCTGTATGTGCAAGACATGTTCGGCCAGCATGTCGCGTACGTCGTGGAGGTCTTCGCTCGACAGTCGCGACACTTCCTCTTCACTGTTGCTATGCACGGGTCTCGTGTCCGCCTCCTGCACTGGGACCACGCCGGATGCGTGGTCTCCGAAGCATTCGACATTCGTACCGATCCCGACATCCTGTGCGAGTTCCTGTGGCGGTTCTCTCAAGCTACAGACTCTGGTCGCGGGCACGACACCACAGTGGAGTACGCGCTGCCAGAGGAGGAGGGTTGGTTCCGGGACGGTATCCGTGAGTACATGTGGACCCAGCTCAACCCCGGGGAAGATCTAGAGCACGCGGTCAAGCAGCATTACGCGCCAGGACAGTTATTCGCGACCAACATCCTGTACGACGGTCTCAGCGCAGACGAAGGACACACACGAAGGTTCATATTCTCCCGTCCAGTAGTTTCGTCGCGTTGGCTGGCCGGGCCTGGAACGCGGGGCTACTGGGCATACGATGTATGGACCAAAAATGTTGTGTTCCTCAAGGACACATGGCGGTACAGCACCCACGAGATCGAGGGGGACATCGTGCGGCGACTGTGGGATATCGGGGTACGAAATGTGCCTTCTTTCGTGTGGCACGGGGACGTCTCGGGTTTGGATCGATATCCGGAGCCCCCGCGCCCACTGGACCGTGAGTCACTAGGCCTTTCTTCTGGAATCTGCACTGCTGTCTCTGACTGCGGGTAGAGGACGAGGTACAATCGACGAGGGCAGACAAGCTGGGCGTGCCTGTTTGGGCGCATCAACGGAAGAAGGACTCAGTTGACTCGGCGCCGACACTACAGGCTCGTTGTCGGAACTGTCGGGCGATCGTTCGAGACCCAGCTTGGGACGCAAGAGTTGTTGCACTCGTGCCACGATGTTTTCACAGGTACGGCTCTGCGGTACATCACGTATGTCCTCCGAGTCCTGACAACTTTTGCTGCAGCAATGAACGATACGCTGGAGAAGGACAGTAGAATCCACCGCGACATCAGCACCGGAAACATCATCCTCGTGCGGGAGCCAAATAACGATATTCGAAAGGGGTACCTAATCGATTGGGAGACGTCGTGCCGAGTGGACGAGCATGGAGATGCGGTTGAACCTGGGCGGGTGGTGAGTCTCCCGTTTTGTCTTTCCACACAAGGCTGAAGGGAGACACGATAGGGCACCTGGAAGTTTACGTCGATCCGCCTCCTGGAATGGGATTGGGGGCTCGGTATCAACCCCCGGCACACGTTCCTAGACGACATGGAATCCATGCTTTATGTGGTCATCTACAGCGCATTCTTGTGGCAACCGCACGACCTCCCCCGCCGCGTACTCGACTCGTGTCTTTTAATGTTCAACTTCGAGTTCAAACACCCCGGAGGCTACATCTTTGGCGGGACGTGCAAGACCTACAACGCCACGGGGCGGGACTATACCAACGGCGTCGAATTCGACAGCCTCGCTTTGAGGGAATGGCTTGACGCCATGATGGCCTTCCACGCTCCTCTCCACAGCCACGGTGACGAGTTTCGGGGCAAGTGGACGGCGGCTCACGTGGACAAGTTTTGGACGGATTTCCTTGCCACTCACGCGCTCGAGCCGTCGAATCGCGCGGAACACGTGTTGGACCACATCGACGATTGCGATACAAGATCAATGACGAGGTGGACGGTCGACTGGTCGCCGCGCCATTCGCCGTCCTGCGAGCCTTCAACGGCGACCGAGGCCATGATGGCCGTGAAGGAACCATCGAGCAAACGCCAACGATCGTCATCTCCATCTGCGCAGCCGGCGAGGAAGAAACGGGCGAAAGCAGTGGGGTATTCGGCCCGGTCGTCTTGCGTCGCAGTGCTCGAATCCAGGAGCTACGGACAGGCCATGGCGAATTCTCGAGTCTAGACGGGACGGGCGGGGTATGATTATCTCGTTCATTTCATCATTAATCGGTCACGACTAGATACGTAGTAGTAGTGAACATAGAAGTTTACAGTATTCCACAACAACCGCAACATGTAGCGTAAAACGATGGAATGCAACCCTGGCATAGATGTTCGTCAGGACCGGACACGGCCACGGGTTCGCCTTCCCTTCCGGCCCCGGCCTGACGATCCGCGACCACGCTCGCACCGTCCAGCCCGGCTTGCGTCTGGCTTGCGCCTGCGCTCGTGCCTCCTCCTTCTCCTTGATCCGAAAACTACGGCGACTCGGAGCTGACGGCTGAGACGACTCGCGTTTGCGCTTCTGCGCCTCCGCTGCAGACTCTCTCGTTCGTCGGCGGCGATAATTCCGCATCCGAGTGTTCCCGGCTCGTTGTCGCTGGAAAGGAAGGTTCGCGCTCGATCGTGGATAGTGAAAGGTCAGGTGGTTCCGAGTACCCGGCCAGGTTGTCCACGCGGTTGTCCCGCTCCAACGAGTGCAGGCGGAGGAAGTCGCTCCAGTAGTCGTATATGAACTCCGTGTTCTGCCACTTGTCTCTGTACGCTTCGTCATCGTCGACCGGGGCGTGGTAGCCATCATGTCCGAGAGCCATTTGGCGAACGCCGGACTTTTGAAGGCGGCCGAACACCCGCGACCGAATTGTGCGTTCGCAATTTTACCGGATCCGCCGTTGAACAGTTCAAGGCCGGGATACGGTGTATAGGTCGAAGACATGGCCTACGATTCTTGAGACCGCGAGGCGGGGAAATGGTGCGGCTGCCACATCAGAGCGCTGTACATCACGACGTAGAGAAGGATTCCATGTCGTCCACGAATTTGAGGCGCCCTTGGTCCTCCTTGATCCACACAGCACGCGTATGGACATGAATCGCCACGTGCCCTGCACATACGAGGTCAGAATGCGCAGAATCAGTACCGCGACGCACTCACCACTCGTCCGACTTCAATCGCTTCACCGTGTTCGTTGATCTTGCATGATGTTTCCCAGTCGATCAAGTAACCCCGACGGATATCTGCATCCGCCTCTTTGACCAGGACTATGTTCCCCACGCTGATGTCTCGATGGATGCGATTGTCTTTGGCCGACGCTTCTCGCATCGCTGCACGCCCAATTTCGTCAGTCCGCTCAACCATCGGTACACGTCGTTCTCCCCAATCACCTGTGAAAACATCGTGTGTTGCGTGTAGGAGTTCTGCAGTGCCCCGCAACGTGCTCATCGGCATCCCTACAGTCCCCATCACTAGCCTGTAGTGACGCCGCTGCGAGATACGTGGGAGACATCCATTGACGCGACAGACCCACTTTTGTTCACAAAGAGTGTTAGTCACGGTCGACTGAATCTCGGCCTCTGGGATAAATGAGCGGTTAGACTCCAGAAGAGTGAGACAGTCAGGTCACTTACTGCGCAGTGGCCGCTGCCCTTCCGGATATTCATCGAGGGAGGAGACATCCCCGTGCCACACGAACGACGGCACGAACGATACCCCGGCTTCGTTCAGCTGCTGTAGTATGTCCCCTTCCACATCCGCCAGAGGACTGTCACGCCAGGTGTCCTTCACGAACACCACCTTGCCGGTGGCCACGTCGAGTGCCCAGTATCCCCGAGTTCCACGGCCCGTCACAGAGGAGGAACTCGCGGCTGGTCGAGAGAACAAGAACCTCCGTGTGTTCTCTTCGCACATAGGGGACTGGCGTTGGAGGACGTGGGTCGAGTAGACGTGGTGCGGGGAGTAGTGCTGCTTGACCACCTGCTCCAGATCTTCGCCCTCGGCGATCTGAGAACGCACGTATCCTCGAATGGCGTCTGCAAAGAGCGCTTCGTCTTCCGAGTTGACTTGCCCCACAGAAGTGTCGTGACCCCGACCAGCGTCCGAGGCATGTGAGAACCGCCATAGGAAGGTGCAGAGTACGTCTGCTTCGGCGCGCACGTCCAAGGCTCTCGTTACCACGCATCCTGAGCGATCCCACCTGAGCAGCCGGGCGAGAGACCCATACATGAGCACGGTAAAGATGAAGACACGCTGCTGGCGGGCGAAGACCTCGGTGGCATAAGACAGGTGTTGGCCAAAGAGTTCTTCGATAGACGTTTGCTTTCGCTTGCTGTCGGAGTGCGAGAGGAACTCCTGGCGGGCAGGTCTCTTGAGGCGGGCAGGAGGGTCGACGAAGAAGTCGTGGGCAGGTTGTGGGGAGATGTCGAACAAGAGCTCGGTGTAGCCGAACTTGACAGACAAGGCTTTGTCGGAACCTTGCACTCTTCCGTGGTTCTGCGACTTGTAGCAAGATATGCTCGGCTTGGTGGGACCCGAGGCGTCGAGGTGCACATCGGGCATTGGCGTCTTCTCAAAAACGAAGCCAGGGCAGGGATTGGGTTTCTTGTGTCTGAGAGCTGCGAGCTGGGTGCACAAGAATTATTTGGGGGTGTGCAGGCGATCCGTGAAGGACATACCATGGTCCGACAGATCGGCTCGCTGCTTTCTGCCTCCTGTGGTACCTTGCTGAATGCCCGCATCATGCTTGGGGATTCTGACTGATCCTCTGATGTGCGAGGAAGAAAGGTGTCGATGAAGAGAGAAGGTGGCATTGGTCCCACAATCCAGCGTGCAATGTGTGCGCCATCGTATCGAGCCCTGGCACGGCGGTGGTCGAGATCGTCTGCGAGAGAGCGAGCAGGTTGGAGACACGCAGGGACGTCGTAGACAGCCATGGAGAGGTCGCTCGGGTCTCCCCTATCATCTTGCTTGTAGTGGAATCCACGAGAGGGGTTGGTGGCTGTTGGTGGATACCCCCTGTGCCGTCCGGGCCGAGTCAGGCCGGATATCTCTGCCGCCGCGCCTACTTGATCCATGACCACGACCTCCCGCCTCGTCCCTGCCCCTCCACTCTACACAGAGCCGGAGAAATTCCCCATGTGATCTGTTCGTCTAGGAACGCTTGCCGTCTGCGGTTCGCTCGACGTTCACCTTATCATCCCAACGGCCCGCACTCGTCGCCCCTTCCGCACACCCGAGGTCACCCCCCACATCAGCTGGCCTCCTCTTCTGTATATGAGACATGGACGCGATGGTATACGTCTCGCGCGTTACCCATGTCTCCTCTCGCTGCGTTTATTGCGACGCTTCTAGCTTTCTCCGGGCTCGCTGCAGCTGCTTCGTCCCAGGGCACCCACAAGTTCAACTGGCGGAAGACCAAATACTTCTATGCGTTCGGGGACTCTTACACATTTGTGCAGGGAACTGAGGGCCACGCCAACTTCAGGTAAGCTTTCATCTTTACGACTATTTCTGCACTCCAACACCCCCCGCAGCTTCATAGGCGACGCGTTCGACTTCTCGTTTACCCCACAACAACTGCTGCAGAATGAGATAATCCCGAAGAACGTGCGTACCACATCGGTTTTTTATCTGTCGCGTAAACTGACCCTTCGGCCGCAGACAAGTTCAGACGGATCTAACTGGGTAAGTAGCAATTTGACGGACTGCTCGAAACAAACGGTGACCCCTAGAAACAGACGGAGTTCCTTACCGGTTGCTTCTCCGGGAAACCCTCGGCATGTTCACGACAACTTTGGAACTTTGCATTCGCGGGTGCTGACATCAGCAAAGACCTGTGAGTCCTCGTGGCATCCACCTTGAATCCCTGCCGCTAACGGAACCTGGCCAGGCTTCCTCTGCATCACGATTACACGGTTGCCCTTGTCGACGAGGTGGTGCAGTGGGAAAAATACGCCTCCCACGTCGTACCGCACCCGCCCGACGAGACAGTCGTAGCCTGGTTCATCGGCATCAACGACACCGGAGACACGCAGGCGAACACCACCCTCGACTTCCCGACATTCTGGGAGCAGGAGATGGAGGCTCTGTTCGGTGCCGTTGTGCGCGTCCCATCTTTCGCATGCAGCACTCAATCTCTCTGACATGATCTCGTGTGCCAGCAAAACGCGTACGCCCACAACCTCCGCGGCGCGTACCTCTTCATCAACGTCCCCACCTTGGACCGCTCTCCCGGCGCACTCGGGAAGTCGCCCGCGGCCATCGCGACGTACGCGCAGCACATCGCGGACTACAACGCCGCTCTGGCGACGCACCAGGCTGCGTTTGCGGACGCGCACCCGGACATCACCGTCGTTTCGTTCGACGCCAACAAGTGGTTTGGGGAGGTCCTCGACAACGCCGAGGCCTTTGGCTTCACGAACATCACCGGGTGGGTCGTACATATAGAGCACGTTCCGAGCGAGGGAGGCTCATAGTTTCGGCAGCTTTTGCCAGTGCACGGACCCGGGTTTTTTCTGGTACAGTCCGTATCTGTGTTTGAATGTTCACGGCGTCAACGTCTGATTCCGCAAGCAGACACAGGGCATATCACTGAGCACGTCCACCGCCTTATGGCGGGAGCGATTCGGACCGAGCTCATGCGTGCGTCGCAGGTCTAGCATGCGCCGTTCGGTGTGGGCGGGCGAGGGGAGACTACTGTAGACTTTCCGAACGGAATATGAATTCATTTGTGCCTGGGGCCCGTTTGGCGTGCGCGTCGCGTTTGGTTCATACACAGCACGCTTTCAGGGAAGCCCGCCGGACCCGGTGTGGAACTTGGATGGCCGAGGAGAAGCGTACACGCGGTGGAGACTCGTGTGCGAGGGGCGTGTTCATTTCCGCAGCGGCGGTGCGCGCGGACGGCTCGTGCGTTGCACCGGGCAGCCGCGAAGGTAGGCACGGCCGCGGGAGGCCTGCGGAGGACAGCCCTCAGGCCGGGGAGGACGGAATGGGGGGTCGCGGGGAGAGAGGCAGGAATAATGGGAGGGGTGCGCGGGGCACGCGGTTCGGGCACCAGAGCGCGGGCGCCTGGGGGCGGGTGTCATCAGCGTCGAGTCGCCTCTCTCACCCTATCGTCTCTCCCACACTCCACTCGCTCCCGCCCCTCCGCCCTGCCAAAATGTCCGTCTCCCTCAACCCCAGCAGCGTCCTGGGGTTCAACCGTGCGTCGCGCGCACCCGCACCCTCTCTCTCTACTGACCGCCGCGCCCCCCTTCGCTGCTGCCACCCGCCCTGCCCCATTTTCTCTCCGCCCGTCACCCGCCCCGCCGCGTTCGGACGATGCAGGCCGTTCACCCAGTCCGTCAAGCGTGCGCTCCAGATCACGAACAACAACACGCAACCGGTTGCGTTCAAGGTCAAGACCACCGCCCCCAAGGTGAGCATCTCCAACACCAACGTTCTTTCCAGTCCCTGACCGCCCCACCCGCCGTTGCTCGCTGTCCCCACCGCCCGCCCGCCCGTCCGTCTGATGCCGATAGCTTTACTGCGTAAGGCCGAACTCGGGGCGCGTCGAGCCTGGCGAGACCGTCGAGGTTGCAGGTACGTGGCACTCTCCGCCTCTGCCGCTGTCCAGGCTGAGCGCGCCCCCCAACAGTGATGTTGCAGGCAATGAAGGAGGATCTGCCCACGAACGCGAAGTGCAAGGACAAGTTCCTCATCCAGAGCACCGTCATCAGCCCCGACAAGGAGGCCATGTCCCTCCAAGAAATGGTTCGTTTCCCTTTTCTGCTGCTCTCGCTGAGTAATCAAATTCATCATCACCGGCCTGCAGTGGAACGTGGAAGGCGACGAGGTGCACTCCCAGAAGATTCGTGTGGTCTATCTGCCCCCTGAGGGCCAGACCGTGCCGGAGGAGGACGAGTCCCATGCGAACATGAGCTCACTATTGAGCGTCCCCGGACAAGACGTGAGTCCCTCTCCTTTGCTCCCCTATCTCGCGCCCGCCCCACTCGCATCCTCACCCGCGCCGCGCTCCGCCACGCAGAACTATGCGACCGTGCGCCAAAACCCCTACACCAACGGCCACGCCAACGGCGAGGAGACCGAACACGCCCATGCGCAGCCCGAAATCCATCATGACGCGCCCTCGACGCCTCCGGAACCCCCTCATGTCACCGTCTCTCCCCCAGAAGTCCCCGCAGCGCCGGCGTTTGAAGAGGTCATTGTTTTAGTACACGTTCCGCCTCCTGCTCCCTCGCCCCCCGCGCCCGCCCCTGCTCCTGCTCCTGTTCTTCGCGAAATCCCCGCGCCAGCGCCCGCACCTGCCCCCGTCCCTGCGCCCGCGCCAGCACCGATCGTGCGAGAGGTTATCGTCGACCCGAACCCGAAGTTGGTCAAGAAGCTCGAGGATGCGCACCACGAGATCGAGCGTCTGCGACAACTTATCGCGTCCATGCCCGAGCCGTCGGTCGCACCAACAAGCGTCACTGGCGCGTCGGAGATGCGGCACCGGAGCAGGCGCGGCGGAGGCACGACGGCGGCGATGTCGGACGACGGCAGCGAGGGGACCTACGACGGCCGGAGCGAGTACGACGGCCGCACCGAGGTTGGCAGCTACGTCGGGAGCGAAATCGCGGCGCCGGACGGCGTCCCATTACAGGTCGTGATCATCATCGCGCTCGGTGTGTTCGTCACGACCTACCTCTTCTTCTGAGTGCGGGCGTGGTGGATTGTCCATGGGTGCTGGTGCTAGTACTGAACGTCGCTCACAATATTGTCCTTGAGTGTTGTTCTCCTTCTCGTTTCCCTACTTATTTGCATTCCCCTTCCCTTCCCCTGTCCTTCTTACCTTGCGCCTCCTTGGTCTGTTATTCTATCGCGTTTTCCCGGACCCCGCGAAGGAGGTGCCGCCCTCGCCGCCGTTGTCGATAGTGCCTTACTCTCCTTGCCGTCTTCCCTGTCCATACACGCGCCCGCGCCCATCCAGCCACGCGCCCCGTCCACTCGTTTAGTCTCCCCCTCCTCTGCGTCCCTCCGCTCTTCCTCGTTCCGCTCTCGCTCGCCCATTATGGTACCACTCAGCTTGTACATATTCTATTATCGCTACCCACGCTTAGGCTAAGGAACTGAATGAATGACATGGCCTCGCTCATGGGACAGTCGCGCGCGTACGCACTGCCCGGTATGCAGCTCTGCAGAGAGTGAAAAGTAGATGATACGACCCGAATTTGAGCCCACTCCGGGCCGTGTAGTCGCTGGGCCAAGACCGCCGCCTTTGATCCGCTTCTCTCCTCCCTTTCCCTCACCTCGTATCTACACCGCGGCGCGACGCACGCCCGTGCGCTCATCCTCCGTGCGCCTCTACGTTTCCTATAAATCAACCATGGGTGCCGCGAGCGAGACCTGCGTTCTGTGGACATGTCGTGTCTCTCGATGCTGCTCGGCACGTTCGTGAATGTGCTCGCCAGGCTTGCGGCGGAGACAGTGGCGTTGAGAGTCCTACAGCTTCGTGCCGGGGACGGCGGGACATGCGAACTTCAGGTGCGTGGGCTCCGTACTCTCGTCTTCCGCGGTGCTCATTGCAGCATTGCGTCCACAGCTTCATCGGTCGAGTGGAGGGGCGAGGAAATGACGGTCGACACGGATCATCATCAAGTACGCGCGGCGGCAGAGATATCCCGCCCGGACGGGCAACAGGGGTATGCCCACCAACCCCTCTCGTGGAGTCGACAGTGAATAACGTCCGCCGTGACCAGGAGAGACGACGTCCACCTCCATGGCTGTCTACATCGTCCCTGCGTGTCGCGAACCCGCTCGCTCCCTCGCAGACGATCTCGACCACCGCCGTGCCAGGGCTCGATACGATGGCGCACACATCGCACAGTGGATTGTGGGACCAATGCCACCTTCTCTCTTCGTCGACACCTTTCTTCCTCGCACATCAGAGGACCAGTCAGAATCTCCAAGCATGATGCGAGCCTTCGCCAAGGTACCAGCGGAGGCAGAAAGCAGCGAGTCAATCTGTCGGACCATGGTAAGTCCTTCACGAGTCGCCCGCACACCTCCAAGTCATTCTTGTGCACGCAGCTCGCAGCTCTCAGACATAAGAAACCAAATCCCTCCCCTGGCTTCGTGTTCGAGAAGACGCCAATGCCCGACGTGCACCTCGACGCCTCGGGTCCCACCAAGCCGAGCATATCTTGCTACAAGTCGCAGAACCACGGAAGAGTGCAAGGTTCCGACAAAGCCTTGTCGGTCAAGTTCGGCTACACCGAGCTCTTGTTCGACATCTCCCCACAACCTGCTCACGACTTCTTCGTCGACCCTCCTGCCCGACTCAAGAGACCTGCCCGCCAGGAGTTCCTCTCGCATACCGACAGCAAGCGAAAGCAAACGTCTATCGAAGAGCTCTTTGGCCAACACCTGTCTTATGCCACCGAGGTCTTCGCCCGCCAGCAGCGTGTCTTCCTCTTTACGGTGCTCATGTATGGGTCGCTCGCCCGGATGCTCAGGTGGGATCGCTCAGGATGCGTCGTGACGAGAGCCTTGGACGTGCGCACTGAAGCAGACGTGCTTTGCAACTTCCTATGGCGGTTCTCAAGTGCCTCGGACGCTGGTCGGGGCCACGACACTTCTGTGGAGCAAGTCAACTCGGAAGACGAGGCACTCTTTGCAGACGCCATTCGAGGATACGTTCGTTCTCAGATCGCCGAGGGCGAAGATCTGGAGCAGATGGTCAAGCAGCACTACTCCCCACACCACGTCTACTCGACCCACGTTCTCCAACGCCAGTCCCCGATGTGCGAAGAGAACACACGGAGGTTCTTGTTCTCCCGACCAGCCGCGAGTTCCTCCTCTGTGACGGGCCGTGGAACTCGGGGATACTGGGCATTCGACGTGGCCACCGGCAAGGTGGTGTTTGTGAAGGACACCTGGCGCGACAGTTCTGTGGCGGAGGTGGAAGGGGACACTCTACAACAGCTGAACGAGGCCGGGGTATCGTTCGTGCCGTCGTTCGTATGGCACGGGGATGTCTCCTCCCTCGATGAATATCCGGAAGGGCAGCGGCCACTGCGCAGTAAGTGACCTGACTGTCTCACTCTTCTGGAGTCTAACCGCTCATTTATCCCAGAGGCCGAGATTCAGTCGACCGTGACTAACACTCTTTGTGAACAAAAGTGGGTCTGTCGGGTCAAAGGATGTCTCCCCCGCATCTCGCAGCGGCGTCACTACAGGCTAGTGATGGGGACTGTAGGGATGCCGATGAGCACGGTGCGGGGCACAGCAGAACTCCTACACGCAACACACGATGTTTTCACAGGTGATTGCGGAGAACGGCTACCGATGGTTGAGCGGACTGACGAAATTGGGCGTGCAGCGATGCGAGAAGCGTCGGCCAAAGACAATCGCATCCATCGAGACATCAGCGTGGGGAACATAGTCCTGGTCAAAGAGGCGGATGCAGATATCCGTCGAGGCTACTTGATCGACTGGGAAACTTCGTGCAAGATCAACGAAAGCGGCGAAGCGGTGGAGGTCGGACGAGTGGTGAGTGAGTCGCGATACTGATTCTGCGCATTCTGACTTCGTATGCGCAGGGCACGTGGCGATTCATGTCCATACGCGTCCTAGTGTGGATCAAGGAGGACCAAGGGCGCCTCAAGTTCGTGGACGACATGGAATCTCTTCTGTATGTCGTCATGTACAGCGCTCTGATGTGGCAGCCGCATCATTTCCCCGCCCTCGCGGTCTCAAGAATCATAGGCCATGTCTTCGACCTATACAACCGTATCCCGGCCTTGAACATGTTCAACGGCGGATCCGGTAAAATCGCGAACGCACAATTTCGCTCGCGGGTGTTCGGCCGTGCTTTCAAAAGTCCGGCGTTCGCCAAATGGCTGTCGGACATGATGGTGTACCACGCCCCCGGTCCAGACGATGACGAAGCGTACAGAGGCAAGTGGGAGAATACGGAGTTCATATACGACTACTGGAGCGACTTTCTCCGCCTGCACTCGTTGGAGCGGGACAACCGCGTGGACAACCTGGCCGGGTACTCGGAACCACCTGACCTTTCACTATCCACGATCGAGCGCGAACGGCTTCCACTATTTCCAGCGACAACGAGCCGGGAACACTCGGATGCAGAATTTTATCGCCTCCGGCGGACGAGAGCGAAGGCGCAGAAGCGCAAACGCGAGTCGTCTCAGCCGTCAGCTCCGAATCGCCGTAGTTTTCGGATCAAGGAGAAGGAGGAGGCACGAGCGCAGGCGCAAGCCCAGACGCAAGCCGGGCTGGACGGTGCCGAGCGTGGTCGCGGATCGTCAGGCCGGGGCCGGAAGGGAAGGCGAACCCGTGGCCGTGTCCGGTCCTGACGAACATCTATGCCAGGGTTGCATTCCATCGTTTTACGCTACATGTTGCGGTTGTTGTGGAATACTGTAAACTTCCTATGTTCACTACTACTACGTACTGCTAGGTCGTGACCGATTAATGATGAAATTGAACGAGATAATCATACCGCCGCCCGTCCCGTCTAGACTCGAGAATTCGCCGTGGCCCTGTTCCGTAGCTCCTGGATTCGAGCACTGCGACGCAAGACGACCGGGCCCGAATCCCCCACTGCTTTCGCCCATTTCTTCCTCGCCGGCTGCGCAGATGGAGATGACGATCGTTGGCGTTTGCTCGATGGTTCCTTCACGGCCATCATGGCCTCGGTCGCCGTTGAAGGCTCGCAGGACGGCGAATGGCGCGGCGACCAGTCGACCGTCCACCTCGTCATTGATCTTGTGTCGTAATCGTCGATGTGGTCCAACACGTGTTCCGCGCGATTCGACGGCTCGAGCGCGTGAGTGGCAAGGAAATCCGTCCAAAACTTGTCCACGTGCGCCGCCGTCCACTTGCCCCGAAACTCGTCACCGTGGCTGTGGAGAGGAGCGTGGAAGGCCATCGTGGCATCAAGCCATTCCCTCAAAGCGAGGCTGTCGAATTCGACGCCGTTGGTATAGTCCCGCCCCGTGGCGTTGTAGGTCTTGCACGTCCCGCCAAAGATGTAGCCTCCGGGGTGGCTGAACTCGAAGTTGAACATTAAAAGAGTACGCGGCAGGGGAGGTCGTGCGGTGGCCACAAGAATGCGCTGTAGATGACCACGTAAAGTATTGATTCCATGTCGTCCAGGAACGTGTGCCGGGGGTTGATGCCGAGCCCCCAATCCCATTCCAGGAGGCGGATCGACGTGAACTTCCAGGTGCCCTATCGTGTCTCCCTTCAGCCTTGTGCGGAAAGACAAAACGGGAGACTCACCACCCGCCCAGGTTCAACCGCATCTCCATGCTCGTTCACTCGGCACGACGTCTCCCAATCGATTAGGCACCCCTTTCGAATATCGTTATTTGGCTCCCGCACGAGGATAATGTTTCCGGTGCTGATGTCGCGGTGGATTCTACTGTCCTTCTCCAGCGCATCGTTCATTGCTGCAGCAAAAGTTGTCAGGACTCAGAGGACATACGTGATGTACCGCAGAGCCGTACCTGTGAAAACATCGTGGCACGAGTGCAACAACTCTTGCGTCCCACGCTGGGTCTCGAACGATCGCCCGACAGTTCCGACAACGAGCCTGTAGTGTCGGTGCCGAGTCAACTGAGTCCTTCTTCCGTTGATGCGGCACGCCCAGCTTGTCTGCCCGCGTCGATTGTACTTCGTCCTCTGCGAACAGTCAGAGACAGCAATGCAGAAGAAAGGCCTAGTGACTCACGGTCCAGTGGGCGCGGGGACTCCGGATACTGATCCAAACCCGAGACGTCCCCGTGCCACACGAAAGAAGGCACATTTCGTACCCCGATATCCCACAGTCGCCGCACGATGTCCCCCTCGATCTCGTGGGTGCTGTACCGCCATGTGTCCTTGAGGAACACAACCTTTTTGGTCCATACATCGTATGCCCAGTAACCCCGCGTTCCAGGCCCGGCCAGCCAATGCGACGAAACTACTGGACGGGAGAATATGAACCTTCATGTGTGTCCTTCGTCTGCGCTGAGACCGTCGTACAGGATGTTGGTCGCGAATAACTGTCCTGGCGCGTAATGCTGCTTGACCGCGTGCTCTAGATCTTCCCCGGGGTTGAGCTGGGTCCACATGTACTCACGGATACCGTCCCGGAACCAACCCTCCTCCTCTGGCAGCGCGTACTCCACTGTGGTGTCGTGCCCGCGACCAGAGTCTGTAGCTTGAGAGAACCGCCACAGGAACTCGCACAGGATGTCGGGATCGGTACGAATGTCGAATGCTTCGGAGACCACGAATCCGGCGTGGTCCCAGTGCAGGAGGCGGACACGAGACCCGTGCATGGCAACAGTGAAGAGGAAGTGTCGCGACTGTCGAGCGAAGACCTCCACGACGTACGCGACATGCTGGCCGAACATGTCTTGCACATGCAGGAACTTCTGGCGATCCGCCAACCTTGACAGCAGTTCATGCGTTTGCCGATCGGTCGCGTCCGGGGGAGGGTCGTGGAAGAGGTCGCGTTGGGGGTCGGGGCAGATGTCGATGAACAGCTCTGCGTACCCGAGGTCGATGCGCGAAGACTTTTCTGCGGCTTGCACGACGGTCGCATTGGACGGCTTGTAGCAGCAAACATGAGGCTTCATGTGGCCTCGTCTGTTCGGGTAGAGGGACCTGGCGGCTGCTACTTCGAACACGAAGCCCGGGCATCGCGTCTTGTGCTTCGTGTGTTTGTTTAAAGCTGCACCCTGTCTTGTAGATGATACACGGGTGGCAAACCGATTGCGAGTAGTCGCTCACCAATGGCTCGTAGATATCCGCGGCTCTCTTTGCCTGATGAGGGACGTGTTTGAAAGCGTCTCTACTCGACAGGCGGCGGTAGTGATCGTCCGCAGTAGGAACGGCGGGGAGGAAATGGTCGATGAACTCGACAAGAGGCATCGGTCCGAGGATTTCCTTCATAATGTCAGAAACGTGCCCTTTTGCGCGAAGCCTTGCGTGTTCTGGTTCCAGGTCTGCAGTTTGGGAGAGCGTCGGCTCAAGGTTCATGGGCAGATTGTAGACGGGCATGGCGGTGGCGGGAATGGGTGCACGCAGGAGGATGAAGCAGGAGCATGATGTATAGGGCGATATGACAAGGATGCACGAAGTGGGAGGAGTACAAGAACAATATATACGGCTGAGGTTCATCTCAGGGAGCGCCGGCCACTGTCTGGGATCTCGCCAGGCGCCAACTCGGACACGGACCCTGCTTCTCTTCAGTCCCTTGTTCGAACCGTCGGTTCGCGGTTTTAAATCTTCACTTGTTCCTCTTATAACTACCACGCGCAACATACTTCCCTTCCAATTCCACGATATGACTACAGTTACACCGCACCACAATAGTGCATACTGGATAGCGGAGCGACAGCGTCCCACCTAGCCCTCGGGGTTGCCAGGATCTCGACGGACCGATCCAACGGGGTGAGAGCTGAGCAAAGTGACTGGTGCGGCGCGCACCTTCGCCAGCGACACCAAAAGTTTGAGTCGCTTGCTCACTCGACGCTCCGGACTCGGTTGCTCCTCAGTCAGCGACCGGTCGCGTTTACCCAGCGTCTGGTCCTCCGACGCACTTTCGTCGTACCCTTCACGATCCTTCATGTCCGCCGGCGACCGATTAAGAACCTCGAGAGGCCAGTCCTCGGCCTTTTCTCTTGCCCGTTCGGCGAGGAGGGCCGTCCTTCGAGCTTGCCTCGCGATCGCCTCGGCGCGCTCACCTGTCGTCGTGTCGGGGAAGAGCGGCTCTCGGTCGTTGGTGTCTGAAGTCGCCTGCAGGCTGTCGTCCATGAACATCATATGCTCTTGCCGATTGTTGGTCTCCAGGCTGGAGGAGTGTTCGCGCAGGAACTGGATCCAGAGGTCGTAAATGAAGCCGGGCTTGTTCCATGTGTCGTCAGCCTTCCGGCAGGGGAGTGGTAGTCCATAATCATGTCGAGCCAGGTGGCGAGATCCTGGCTCAGGAACCTGTGGCCAGTGACGGAAATATTGTTGGAGCTGATGTCTCGATGTAGTCTCCTGTCCTTCTCGAGCGCATCGTTCATCGCTGCTCGGTGTCTTGTCAGCGCATATGTGCGTGAAGTTCCGATGGCCTCACCGGTGAGCACATCATGCGTGGCTGACAACAACCCCCTAGTGCCCCGTACGGTTTTCAGCGGCATCCCTACGGTCCCCATCACGAGTCGATAGTGCCGCCGTTCCGCTTTCCGAGGTGGCTTTCCAGCTACGCGGCAAACCCAGGGCTCTGAAACCATTGTATGAGTAACTGTAGACTGAACTTGGCTTCCTGAAAAGAGTCATGAGCAGCATTCCTTAACGCACGAAGGCGGTGAAATGCCTACTTGACAAACGGCGACGTTCCTCCGGGTACACCTCCATCCTCGACACGTCCCCGTGCCAAACAAAAGACGGAACGAACCGTACGCCCATGTCGTCCAGACGGCGTAGTGTGTCCCCTTCCACCTCCTCCACACCGCTATGCCGCCACGTGTCCTTGATGAAAACGATCTTCTTCATTGTGACGTCCACTGCCCAGTAGCCGCGTGTACCAGGGCCAGCCAAGGATCTGGACGACGCCGCTGGGCGAGAGAAGACGAACTTGCGCGTGTTCTCATCGGCTGCGGAGAGACGGTGATGGAGGATGTCCGTTGTGTAGACACGACCGGGGACATAATGCTGCCCGACGGCCTTCTCCAGATCTTCGTAGTCGGCGATTTGGAGCTGGAGATGCTGGCGTAGGACTCCGGCGAAGAGCTCTTCCTCAGCCTACAGCGCATGCTTGACGGAAGTGTCGTGTCCTCGTCCCGCGTCGGTCGTCTGCGAGAATCGCCAGAGGAACTCGCAGAGCACGTCCGGGTGCGTGCGCACGTCGAAACCCTCCGTGACGACGCAGCCTGCACGGTCCCAGCGCAGCAGCCGTGTTCGCGAGCCGTGCATGATGATGGTGAACAGGAAGCATCGCGGCTGACGATCGAAGATCTCCGCGACGTAGGAGACGTGCTGGCCAAAGAGGTCATGGATGGAGACGTTTTTGCGATTACTGGGCGAAAACGACAGGAGCTCGTGGTCTACTGAGCCCCTCGGAGGGTCGGTGAACGCGTCGCGCGCGGGGTCAGGAGAGATGTCGATGAACAGCTCGGCAAAGCCAAAGTCGACCCGACATGAGGGCTCCGCCGCTCGAACGATGTCGTGGTTGCTTCGGGTGTAACAGCAGATATCGGGCTTCATGAATCCGCGGCGGTCTTGGCGTACGCTGTGTGTGGCGGCAATCTCGAAGACAAAGCCGGGGCACCGGGACTTGTGTTTGGTCGCATGGTCCAAAGCCGCAGCCTGCAAGCGTGACGCTCTGTATGGTGATCTATCGCTTCTTACAAGAGAACTCACCATCGGCTTGTATATCTCTTCGTTCGTGTCCGCTCTGGCCGGGACTTTGCTGAAGGCACCTTTGCTCGCGAGCCGTTGACTGCGGTCTTCAGGGGTGGGACAAGGCAGAAAGGCGGCGGTAAACTGGGATGGGGGCATTGGGCCTACTAACCACTGCCTGATGTCGGCGCCATATGCCTTGGCTCTTGCTCTTGCTTTCTCGACTTCCACGTTGTCCAAGTCTCCGAGAGCAGATTTGAATCGGGTCGGAATATTGCGAACGCATCCAGACGGGGCGACCATCTGGGTGTACTTGGAGACGGTGGGTGCGAGGGCGGATGGTGTTTGGTGAAGCGCAGTGAGAGAGCAAAAGCAAGCAGATCTTGGACGCAGACCTCGACCTGAGGAATTCGCCGCCACCACCCTCGCCACACATTTGGTTGCAGGCCGAAGCGGTGATTGGAATGGGTATCGACTCGAGTACAAAAGCACCATCGCGGCTTGTTGTCCCAGACTTCACCTGACGTGCTTGTTCCTTCCGCATAGGTTGGTTGCGCTGGGGCCGCTTCATCGTCGTCGCCACCTGGTCCGTGTCCGTCCCCCGAGTTCCTGGGCGTGATTCCTCCTACCGCACAGGCCACTGTCCGAACGGCACCCTTGACCGGGAGGCGAGAGTATCCACGATGAGTCAGTCGCCGCATCTTCCGCCGTAGCATTCTTCGCCGTCTTGAACGGACTTGAGGATCGTTCATTCATTGGGAGGGAAATCACAAAGAGAAGATGACGAGCAGGGAGTACAGAATTCAGTGTAAGCTGTGCGAGATCTTCAAGCTTCAAAGCTTCAAAGCTTGAAGCTAGGCCGTCGCGTTCCCACAGTTTACCGCACGCTTGGCTGGTGCTCAAGCGCTCACTCGTACGTCCGTTATCCAGCCAGTACTACACACACGATAGTCATTCCGACCTCGCCGCTCGCCTTCGCCGCCTCGGTATCATCACCCCTACAAGGTGTCCCCAGCCGGAGAAGGCGTCAGAGGGGACACGCTGGCATCCGACAGCCACAAGTAGTCCGATCGAGTCGACACAAGGCTCCTCCAGCTTCCGCCAGGGAGCCGGCAGATCGCTTGGCACCTTGTCGAATGCACCCTTCGACGGGGGCATGTCTTTGGTCAAACCCTCACTGAAGCGCAAGAAGTCCCCCAGGAACGTGTCGACGGGCATCGGGCCCAGGATGTAGTCTGGTATCTCGATCCCGAGTCGCCGATTCCGCTCTCTCCCCTCCTTTCGCCGAACCCATACGTCTACGTGCTCGTCTCCGTTGCAACGCCAATGAGGGCCGGGCACGACGCGTTCCATGATGCGGCAAGAGCGTTGTAAGTTTACCATCTGGTACGAGCAGCGAGAATACTGCCTTGTGTCCAGCCAGTGATATCTGATGTTAGGTGAAGTAGGGATGAGTTGCACAACGCGAGAATGCACCGAAATAGCGATAGCAATACACAACGTCCAGAGCAGAGCGAAGCACGCACGACCACAAGTCCAAGTTCTCGAACACGGCCGAATCCGACCTTCAGTTGAAACCAATGATCCGACTCTTGGGCCGCAAGCTCATGACCGGCGCCCGGTGCCGCTTCTTCGTCACCACCTCCTCCTCCATGTCCGACTCTTCCTCCTCGCTCGAGTCCGACACCGGCTGCCGCACCGACCGCTGCCGGAACGGCATCACCGACTCCCGCGCGTTCTGCACCGCTCTCGGGATGGGAGGCGGGGGCGGCCGCGGCGAGTCTTCCTCTGTCGACGCGTCTTCCACCGTTGCGCCGTCCCCTGCCCCGCGAACCTCCGGTGCCCTCTCCGGCTCACCGTTCTCCGAGTCCTGGTCGTCGCCGTTGCTCGCGGGGGCTGGGGGCTCTCGCTCGGGAGGAGGCATCCGGAGGGCCATGGCACTCTCCGTCAGCTCCTGCACGACGTCCGCGTCGAGCTCGATGTTGAACAGGTCGATGATGTACCGCCGGACCGGCATGCGATACTTCTGCGTTGAGATCGTGTGGAGCGCCCGATAGAACACGCGTGGCGAGCTGAAAATGTGCCTGTACTCCGGCTTGCTCTTCATCCTGTAGGGGTATGCGTGAGTGCATGCGACGACTTTCGACGTGTGTAGAACATACTTCGTGAGCGTCCGCGACGCGGCATTGGCGATGACGGTGTTCGCGAGATTGTAGAGGGCGGTCATGAGCTCATTCTCTTCCTCGCTCTCAGGAGGGATGAGCCGACTGTCGTCCACTGTCTCGCTCGCTATACATTTCCAAGGATCAATCTGAGGCAACAAATTAGGCTTGCTCACAGACTAATGTGATAGCAGACTCACGGAAACGAACTGTTCAACATCGACGGGAACGCAGAGGCCGCTCGGCAGTCCAAGGGGAGAAAGCGTGGCTTCCCAGTTGTAATCATCGAGTATCTCAGCGCCTTGGGGGGTGGACGAAATCAGGCCGAGCACGAAGAAGCATGTCCTGTTCGACGGTTAACCCCGGACCACGAACATGGCATCAATACAACTTACCCTCGAACAGAGAGCACAAGAGATTGTTCTGCGATGTTCAGGATATGCGGGATGATCTCTTCTTCTTCCAAGAACGGCAGGCCTCCCTCCGCAGCCCCGATGTTGCCCTGTTGGTCTCATCGATGCCTGCACTCCTTCGAAAGATGATAAGAACACTCACCACAGCCCAAAGGACGCTCTTCAACTTCATGATAATATCACGATCGCTTTGTTCGAGGCCATGGGCACGAATGAACTGCGCGAATTCCGAGAAGTGGCCTTTCTCTTGAAGAACCTCGCAGCCGAGTTCCGTCTTGGCCATGACGCCGTAGAAATGCGGAGGAACGATGCCATCAAATGCGCTGCCCCGGCGACATCAGTTCGATAGCTCTAAACCAGAACCATTGCCACTTACAGCATCTCATCACCCTCGTCTCCGCCATTCTCGTTGAACGCCTTCGCAAGAAAGACCTCGATGTGGACTACGTAGTGGAGGTTACGTTCCTACCGCGAGCGTCAGCAAAGTGCAAACCACAGCTGGAGACATATACTCACATGAAACCAAAGCTCCATCTCCCGATCAATATAGCTTGCCGCATAAAGGAACCTGAAACCGACGGTGGTCGACATGAATTTGAGCAGCAGCGGGTGTCCGATCTCCCCAAGGTGGTCTAGGGTGGGCTGCATCTCGACTACCATCTGGAGGACGTCCGTTGCCTCACATGCCTCTTCCAAGAAGCGCACTGCGAGCTCTCGTACTTCGACTGCGGGGTCGTACAGCTGAGTCAGAAGGAGACGTATTGTCCAAGCATTAGCGGTCTGGCTTGTGCGGATGAGCCCTCCGAGATGGTTGGTCGCATATAAGCGGACATGCTGGACTACATGTCAGCGCATGGGAAATGAACCTGGGGCCATAGCATACCTTGTAGCTCGATGTCAGCGTCTTCGACAAGACAATCCGGGAATGGCCGTCACTAAAGTCCGGGTCCAGTCAATAAGTGCAGTCTTGGGATGGACGAGGACGAAACCCACATGCTGTAGTCGAGGTTCTCGACGATGCCAGTGATGAGGTCCTCTCTGCTGCGCAACTCGCTGAGATGATAGAAGGCCGTGAAAAGCTGGAATTTCTCCAGCAACCTGTATCAAGCATGTCAGTGCTGTGAATTACAAGATAACACATCCGGGCTCACTCAATGCCTTCTTTTCGTCTACTTAGAACTCCTACCATCTCGAAGTAGCCACCGGTGAGGGTCTTCTCCATCCGCTCCTTCGAGAAAATCGGATCGGTGGTAGGCGTTGGATTGAGCTATCGGCCTATGAGTAAATGATGGAGGCAAGAATCAACAGAAAACGCACAGGATCAAGCTGTGCAAAGCTCTTCACCAGCTGGCCCAGGAACTCGTCCTCTGCTAGGAACCGCACGCCGTCCGGGCACGCAAGGAGCGCAGTGAGCAAGGAGCAGCCTATTCGCGTCCACCGCATGTTGAACTGGAAGTCGACCCCGTTGGCTAGACAGTCTCGTACGCAACGCAACAGCAACGACTTACCTTGCTCCTCGACAGGTCACTATACCGGTGCGCGAAGGGGTGGAAGAACGACATGAGCCGCCGGATATACTTGAGCACCTTGATGGCCTCTTCCATCCGTTTTGGATTGTGCAAGGGACCCTCGATCAGGTCGAGCAGTGTGTCGTAAGACCACTTCGTGTGGTCCTTCGTGAGCATCACTTGCGTCTCGAGCAGGTTTGCCTGGAACGTCCTGTCGTCCACCTGGATCCGGACTTTCATACGGTCTTGCTCAACCGCTCGCTGGCCTCTTCGGATGGACTCTTCCACCGAGTTCGCTCTAGCGGATACGTCAGGACATCGCGAAAGGAGAACGTGTCAAAAATGAATACCTTGGCCGAGAAGCGTCGCCCTTGGCAGTAGGTTCCGACCGCGAGTGATGCCGGTTGAAACTATCGATGAGGGTTAACGCCGAGGAACCCATAATCCTATGTTCGTTATCGTTGTAGTCCGATGCAAGATTGAAGATCCGAGGCAAAGACTAGCGGCACGTGAAAGAGTGTAGATCATATGGCATGAACCAAAGCGTACCTGGATTTTCGCTGCTACTGATAGAGGCAAAACGCGGTTGGCTTTTTGCAGAACCTCTGCCATGAGTAATGTGGCCTTTCGGGACAAAGCGGGCTCAATCCCTGGTTCCTCGAACATCGACGTCAATGCCTGAAATTGCGGGATTAGTATCACGGACACGGGACTGGACGAAACTGCGCACATCGAGCAAGCCGGCTTTGGTGAATATCAGGATGAGGAGGGCAATGTACTGGTCGGTGAGCTTCAGAGTGTGTGGTGGCCGATGGGGAATCTCCGCCCGTTGTATCTCAGCGCTCAGTCTTGACTTCCGATACACTACCTGACGTCAGGCAAGATTATACCACCCGAGACTACCTACACTCACTTGTAAGCCGTCGACCGTCGATGAACGCTCGATGCCACTCGGGTAGTTTGATGTTGAGGAGATGGAAGAAGGTATCGAGAATAACTTCCTGCCGGGACCGTAAGCGTATAATCCCCTTGTTCACATATATTTCCAACTCACTCGGGTCTCAAGGGCAGGTATTCGCAAACAATCCACGACGGCTCGGATCGCAGCTTTGTCGTTCACGCAGCAGTACATGAGTCCTACAAACAAGTCAAAAACATACAGTATGGACTGAAAACTTCACTTACCGCTCCAAGAGCGAAGCATAGACGAGAAGATGCGGGCACAGCCCTTCACCCGTTCCATGTGTTCTATGCTTTTGCCATAGGCGTCGGTAATCCCTGTAAAGGCGATCTGAAGGCGCCGTTGGCCTTGTGTGCGAACTGCCAGAACATGTGACATACTTCGATATCCATGCCGGGTTCAAGATACGCTCTCGTTTGGGGCGAATCGATGATGTGGAGGAATGCCGACGTAAGCAGGGGGGCCATGTCCAGCGGACCCTCCGCTAGCGCATGCAATAGCAACCGTATGCCCCGGTTCGCGCCATCAGCTCGATGTCGATGAGCACTGCACGCACACATTAGTTGACGGCAAAGCCCTGGACATATGCGAAGAGCACTGACGGATTTCGGTGAGCGTCTGGAGGCAGATCGACTTGAAAGGGTCGTCCGGAGACTCCGCGACGGCGATCATGGCGCGCATGACCGCGTCCGAGAGCGGGACGGTCCCCGAGCCGACGGCGGTGTGCGGCGCGTATCGCTCCGACCCGATCTCAACCACGGCACGGATGAGCTTGACGGCCTGCTCCTTCTCAACCGAGTGCTTATTGTCGCGGGAGAGCGTTCTGCGCACGCAAGGGGCGGATGAACGGAAGGGGACACGGGACGGAGCAGCGGGAGACGCACTTGACGATGTACCAGTCCAGGTTCTGCTCGCCGATGCGCTGCACCGAGTGCGCGTCCACGAGCGAGTGGCGGATGAGGCGGTACGCGGTCGCCCGCGCCTGCTTCGTCGCCTTGTCCGCGAGACACGGGAGGAGGCTTGACATCTAGGTGAGAGACTACGGAGGGACGCGCGCCGAAGGACCACTCACGCGACGACCACCTCCCCGACCTCGATCTCGTACCGCACGCGCATGTTCTTCTGCAGGATCCCGATGAGCCTGTTCATCGTCTCTATCCGCGCACGGCTGAGCTCCGCCTCCGTCGCAGTCGCCGGGTTCGGGAGCGTCGATGTCGAGGGGGACGTTGACGGCGACGGCGCGGGTGACGTCGCGTGGTGGTGCGAGGGATGCTTGGACATGAGAAGCAGCGCCTTTATCGCGCTATTCGCCTGGTGCATCGTCGACCGGAAGTCGTCTGCGCGCGCGGAGAGGGGAGGGAGTCGTGAGCGTGCGCGGACCGAGCGCGCGGGCGGGCACGTACCTCGTTCCGTCCCGTCCGTCTTCCAGTTCGTGACCCAGTTCGCGGTCTCATTGAGCGGCGCACCAGCGAACTTGCGGCGCGGTCGGGCATCGTTGGTCCGCTTGCGGTCGCGGTCACGCGCATTGTCTGCAAGGGTGTGGCTTGAGCCGGGTATGGGGCACGGGAGGCGACGGGGACGTACATGTATCAATGGTACGTTGCAAGCGGACGATACGTTCTTTGGCGATGGCAAGTTCTTGCTCGACGTCGGTCCTGAGGCTACCCTTGGATGAACCAGGGTTGTGAGCTGAGGTACTTCGGCGGGTGGATGTCCTCTGCAAGCATGATCATGCACGCAAAAAACATCGTCCCGAGGACAACGACGGGGACATCTCAACGCGCAAACGATGCGAACGCCGTGGAAGGAGGAGATGCGTGGGGCAGCGGGGGGATCGTGTGTAGTGATCATGATTGCAGGGGGGCCACAAAGCGGAGACTCACCGTGAGCGGTTCCTGCAACATCGCTTCTGCGCCCTCCTTGACCATTATGTCATGGTTGAGCTGGTCAGTTAGGTCCTTCAGCTACGGGAAGTTGCAGGGGATCAGTCCTGGATAATCCACTAGACGCACGCCTCGCTCACTTGAGCATCTCTCTCCGCCGCGGAGGACGCGATGGAGTTCACGACCGTCCAGGAAGCAGAGACACTGGTGTTTCCTCCCGGCGAGCCATTGATGGTGGCCCCCTCCAAGAACGACCGGTTGGAGATGGTCAGACTTGAATTCGAGTTCGAGTGGTGGTGCGAGCCGTTTGCGGCCGGCATGTCCAATGATTACACCCAAATTCCCGGTACTGGAGGATCTCGACAGGGAATACGGAGATGCGCGTGGAGGATGTTTCAGTGGGAGAGGAAGCAGAGAAACAGATGTGAGAGCTCAGTCTATGCGGGTGTGTGGCTGCTTACGGACGCGTGCTTGCACTCGGACTCCTCCCCCGTTTCGCGAAGCACGTGCTGCTTCGGACCTAACCCTTTCGCTGCTTGATACAATCGCCACTCTCGGAGCTTTGTATTGTTTAGCGTAGACGGCTTGTGTGTATCTCTCTCTCTCTCAGAAGCCAAATGTGGGATCATTTGTTCCGTGGGCAATGAGCAAGCGAATATAATCAAGGTATACAGGGTGGAACTGTCTATACTACATCTCTTTGATGGTCTACATTGTGCATCGCATCCATACATCACAAAGCTGCTTTGCGGCCCACGCTCCCTCTTCCGGCAAAGCCCCACTCAATCTGATGCGCAACCGTCAGAGGGACTCCCAGCTCCTCCGCCATCGTCCATACGAGCCCCGGGTTCTTCTGGAATTGTCTACCGACGAAGATGACGTCTGCCTGTCCCTGGATTTGTATCGTCGTCAGTAACAAAAACCGATGCTAGAGGAAGAAGAAGACGCACCTTGTCGAGGACACCCTGCGCAACACGACCATCGCCGAGCGCACCGACAGCGCTCACAAGGATCTTGTCTCCGTGCGCCTTCTTGACTGCCTCGGCAAACCCAGCCTGGTACGCCGGTCCACCCTTGATCTTCTGCAGAGGCGACATGCCGCCAGTGGAAACATCAAGCAAGTCGACGCCATGCTCAGCGAGAATGCCCGCGAGCCTGACAGTGTCCTCCGAGCACCACGACTCCTCGTTGGCCAGGGACTCCTCGAGCCAGTCCGTAGCCGACACACTGCCGTGAACCCATCAGCCAATTTCCAACGCGGCACAGCAAAGAACTCGACGCACCGGAGGAACAGAGGCATGCTCGGGGGCATGACGCCGCGGACGGCGTCCACGATCTCGAGCGTGAGGCGGACGCGGTTCTCGAAGCTGCCGCCGTACTCGTCCGTGCGCTTGTTGCTGTGCGGGCTGATGAACTCGTGGAGGAGGTACCCGTGCGCGTTGTGGATCTCGATCACGTCGAAGCCGGCGGCGAGGGCGCGCTTCGCGGCGGCGACGAACGCGGCGACGATGCGCTGGATGCCTTGCTTGTCGAGCGCCTTGGGATGGACGAGGTCGGCGCTGTACGGGACCGCGCTCGGGGCGACGACGTCGTCCGGCCAGCCGTTGGCGGCCTCGACGGCGACGGTGGCCATGCTGAGCCAGGGCGCGACGGTGGATGCTTTGCGGCCGGCGTGGGCGAGCTGGATGGCCATCTTCTGGCCCTGGGAGTGGGCGAACTGGACGATGCGGCGGAGGGGCTCGATCTGCTCGTCGTTCCAGAGGCCGGAGTCCTCGGGGGTGATGCGGCCCTCGGGGGAGACGGCGGTGGCCTCAACCATGGTCAAACCTGGGCCGCGGGAGAGAATGCTACCCACTGCAAGCGAAATCGAAGGGATGGTGAGATGGTGCGCGTACTACGCTCTGAAGCGACTACTCACGGTGCGCCATATGCCAGTCGGTAAGACATCCGTTCTGAGCTGAGTACTGGCACAGAGGAGAGAGCTGGTATAGTGCGATTGAGTGGGCCGGAATGGACATTGCCAGTTAGAACTGACCCAGATGCGGTTCTGGAACTCTACACCACGGATCTTGATGGGCTTGAAGAGAGTGGGGACATCTCTGTCGGCCGCAGCGGTTCCCGAAGGGGGATACTGGGCGGGGGTGAAGTACGGAACGCCAGCAGCTGGAGCGTTCTGGATGAAAGGCATGACGAGTGGAAAATCGGAGAAGACGGTAAGGATGGAGGCAGTGCTATGTCGGCGCAAAGGGTTTATAAGGGAAGGTGGGTGGGTGTTTGAGCGAAAATTCGCACCGCGTCCATGGCGGCCTATGGGAATGATAAAGGATTCTCACCCGATTTCCAACGGCGAGAAGGTGCGGGAAGTCGTCCCAGTGCCGGAGAGGATGACAAAGCGTGCCGCGAGGGTCCCGAATATTCATGTTGAGCGTCGGTCATCGAACGACAGGACAGACGGCTTGGGAAGATCGATACCGGTGAGTTTTGTCAGGCTGGTCGGGTTGCGGAGACTGAGAATTTGACAAAAAGGCGCGGGGTGTGTTGGGGCTCGGGCTCGAGAGCGATTGCGGCAATGTTCGGGAAGGCTGAGTGAGCATGTTGGAAGACTTCAGGAAAACTTTAGGACCATTGGTAAGACGGCGTGAGGGGAACAGAGCTGAGTAAAGCGGCTTGAAGTGGTTGCCCGTGGCAATGTCGTGCTCGGGGCCATCGGTCAAGACTCGTCCAGCCGCAGAGGTGTTGCAATAATTCATGGGATTAGGGCAGCGGAAAAGGACAAGGAAGCAAGGGCCACCGCCGACCGTTAAGTGGCACTACATAGTGGACGTGGGAAAACGAGCGTAGTGAGGCCTTGGCCTGGATGGCATGACCGCGCCCATAGATCTCCATAGATGCGCCTACATATGTACTGCGACTTCCAGCTTTGCTCTTCCGTCTCGAGTGGATTGACATCGTCTGCTCTGGTGAGCACCTGCGACAACAGATCTGCAGTCGCCATCTTCATGTCCTGTTGCTTGGCCGCGCTAGCCGCTCTCGGCGGACGATGCAATGATGATAACAGGCTACTACTTATATCCCCATCTTGCGCTCGGTCTCGCTCGTTGTCTGCACACAGGGCACGATAAGTACAGTGTCCCACGGGTCCTTGAGACACCACGGGTCCTTGAGACAGACCGCGATGACTCCTCTTGTACATGCTTACAATTGTTGAAAAAATGGACTTTCGGTGCAAAACAATGCACCTTGTAGTTAGATTAATGATCCCAGCTGGTTCCAGAGCCGGTTGAAATCATGAGAATATGTTTTCGCATTTCCGAGTGTGTGAGCAAACTTAAATGGCATATCATCAAGAGTATGGAAACATCCTGAACTCCGGAAATGCGAGGCATGACTTCCATTACCTCTAGCTCTCTCTCTGCGAGATTTCAAGTGATTATATCACAGGGCTGGTGATGCCGGGCATGTCCCGGGATTCCGGGGTCAACGGCGTCTGTTGGGCCGACATACACCTACCACGTGACACTCTCACACGGTGTCGCGTTGTGCTGCGTCGACTGGCCTCTCCGTGTCCTGCACAGAAACCTCACCTTGAATGAGCGAACTACATCACAGACTTGAACTCCCGTGTGAGGGGGACGAGTAGGAGGACGGCATCGAGCACCACGACCACGACTCGGATGGATCAAGTGACTAGGCGCCAACGCGCGCCGTGGGAGATCTATGATCTATTGCCCGAAATGGGCCGTCTCAAGGAGGGGTGGGTGCGGACTTCGGGACCATATGTCATATCTTGTCGAACTCGTCTCTCGCACATCGTATCCACCCGAAAATATTCATTGAGGTGGCCACTAAGTAGAGATATGTAAATGCCAAAACGTGGTGGCCGCCGACCCGAAAACGCAGAGATATCGGCCGGAATGTTTTTCGCGTCTCAAGGACCCGTGGGACACTGTAGCGCATGATCGACCGTATCTCCGCCACAGATGGCGAAGGGCGAGTCCAAGCTGGCCCCGTCCCATCCTCTCCTCCTTCGTCTCGACCGCCTCCTTCTGGCCTCCCTCTCGTGACCGCCAACGTCCATCAGCCTCTTTGGCCCCCATGTGCGTCGCTGTTCTTGCTCATGTGCTCCTCCACTCATCGGCCCGATCGCCTGCCCAGATAATATTCCGTCCCAACCAGCGACCAGCCAGCCTCTCTCTCGCCCGCACACGACCCTGCCCCGATGTCCTACTACCTCTGCGTCGACTGCGGCGGCTCCAAGACCGCCGCCGCCATCGCGGACAGGGACGGCACCATCCTCGCTCGCGGCACCGGCGGGCCCTCGAACGTCGCCTACCTCGGCGTCCCCAACTTCATCCGCGCCGTCTCCGCCACCGTTGCCGCCACCCTCCGCGCGCTCCCCGCCCCGCGCGCCCACGACGGTGCCTTGCCCCCGCCTGCGGACGCGCCGGTGTTCGCCGCCGCCTGGCTCGGCGTGAGCGGCGCGGACAGCGCCGCGACGATCGCGAAGCTCGTCCCGCCCCTCCGCGCGCTCCTCGGCTGCGAGCCCGTGGTCGCGAACGACACCCACCTGCTCGCCGCCCCGCTCGAGATGCACGACGACGTGCGGGCCGCGATCGGCTGCGTCTCCGGCACCGGCGGCATCGTCGTCTCCTTCCGCAAGGGCGACGGCCGCGGCGTCCTTCTCGAGCCCCTTGGCCGCGTCGGCGGCTGGGGCTGGATCCTCGGCGACGAGGGCGGCGGCTTCCACGTCGGCCGCGAGGCCGTCCGCCAGATCCTCTGGGAGGCCGATCGCGCCAGCGTCGAGGCTCCGGAGACGCCTCGCAAGCCGAGCACGCTCCAGGAGAGGGTCATGGCCCACTTTGCGATCGAGGACGTCTTCGACCTCCTCACCATCGTCCACGAGCCGGACCCGATATCTGGAGAAGCTGCTACGGACGCGGAGGCGGGAAGGGGCACCTGCTCATGGCGCGCGAGAAGCGACTTTCGAGCCTGACGCCGCTGGTGTTCGCCGCCGCATTCGAGGACAAGGACTGGCTTGCGACGCGCGTGCTGCAGAACACGGCGAAGGTGTTGGTGACCAAATGTGCGTTCTGCTGAGACCGGAGGACGGAGGGGAGGGATGCCCACCGCGGACGATCAAGGCGAGCGAGACTATCCTGTGCTTCGGAGGGAGCCTGGTCGGAGTCGAGGCGTACCGGAATCTGATCTTGGAGGAGCTGGAGCGGAGAGGGCACAAGATGAAGAGGTGGGCGTTCGTGGACGACGTGTGTGGTCTGGGCGCGAAGGCGCTGGCGATGGGGGGCAAGAAGTAGGCAGGAAGCAAGAAAAACAGCCCAGAGAACGTGTCGAATGTGTACACTATTCCTATCTATGCAGATTACCCTTTGCCACGCATACTGAACCACAGTGGACCCGAGTCCACGCGTCGCACGCGTTGAGTGAGGCACGTGCTGTGCAAACAGGGCCAAACAGGAGCGTCGGGACACGAGAGTGGCGGTGGCTTCTCGCCCTCCGCTCGCCAACGACAACGATCTTCTCCTCCTCGCCTCCCCCTTGTACTCACCCAAACCACCCGCCATGGCTTCTCTTCTCGAGCGCATGAATGTCTCCGCCCCCGCGGCCCTCACAAGCTCCAAGTCCTCCGGCTCATCGGGTGCCATTCGCGCAAAGAACGGTCGCGCAGACGCCGCTGCCCCCTACGTGCGCCCACCTTCTCCTCCTTGTCCCGCCTACCTCTCATCCAGACGCGAACAATGCCCCTTTCGCCCTCATGCAGAAGAAGCGCGCACCGAAAGGCGACGTTAACGACACATGGCAACACGACATGTTCAACGCCGACCGCTCCCTGTCCGCCCGCCTCACCAACGCCCCAGCCAACGCGCCAAAACTCAACTTCGGTCTTGCCGACCGCGCCCTCAAGGACGCCCTCGGCGAGAAGGGCGGCCTGACCATCAAGGGCGCAAGCTCTCGCGGCAATGTCGTCCAGGTCTCTGGTCTTGCTAGGGGCACGACTGCGGCAGACGTCGAGGTATGCCGGCCTCCTCTCGCAGCTCTCACCCTCCCGGCGCTCAACGCCGCCGCCGCTCGTCTCCCCCTCAGGCCATCTTCAAGCGGTGTGGAATGATCACTGCCGCGACCATGCACTCGTCGAACCCGGACCCGGTCGTCCGTCTGACATACAAGAACGATAACGACGCCCAGGCGGCGATCGCCAAATTCCACGGCCAGCCCGCCGACGGGCGCACGCTCGAGGTCAAGGTCATCGGCGGCGTCAACACCGCGCTCAGCGGCCGCATCGGCGCCGCGCTCATCGAGGGCTCCGTCGACGTCCTCATGAGCGACGAACCCAGCCTCGGCTCGTGAGTGGCACCCCCGTCCTGCCGCAGCACGTGTCTGACCGGCAACGCTGACCGCCTGTCTTTTCCCCCCACTTTGCGTTTGATCCCTGTGCAGGAAACTCCGCTCGGACGGGCTGCTCGCGACCGACACCCGCGCGCACGTCCTTGTCGCGCCTCCCGGCACGGACCCCAAAGACTACACCCAGACCCAGGAGCGTGGACGGGGCCGCGCCCGTGGTGGTGGCCGTGGTGGCCGGCGGCGCGGCGGACGCGGTGGGGCGAAGATGGACGTCGACCGGTGAGCTCGATCGCAGCACCGTGGCCGTCGCCATCTCGCTCTGCCCCCTTGTTCTCCGTCGGGCTCTCTACCCCGCCGTGCTTCTCGTTCCCTTTTGTTTCCCCTGGTCGTATGCACTCCTCCCGTCGCTTTCCGTTTGTCGTCGATTCCATGCTCTATCACCACGCCGTCCCGTGCTCCGTGTCATAAACGTACCCTCGTATATATAGTCGTCCCCCTACTGCCGCGTATACTACAATACCACCTCTCATGGCCCCTCCCCTCCACGCACCCCTGCTCCGTCGCCTGCCGCCCTAAGATCCGCCCTCCTACTGTGCTCGCCCTCCGTTCCATTGTGCTCTCCTTGTACGAGCTGATATACATCTGCGCGGTACGCGCCATTGTGCTTTTAGATCCCGTCTGAACGCGTCGCTGATACTGACCTAGTGGCACATTTATAATACCAACTGAGACCCATTGCTGATATCTGAGGCACGGAAGATAAGGGGGCAGCTGATAGGCAGTTGTGACCAAGCGAGGTCCATCTATGGACCCACAGCAAGCTGACGTGGCCGCACGTCGTGTCGACAGCTCCGTACACACCAAGTTGGCTGCTGCCCGCTGGGAGCCGCGTCGAGCGCACGAGGGGGGTAGAGAGAGAGAAAAGCGAGAAAGCAAATCATCGTAGAACGTACGCGCAGACAGATAGATCCCTGTGCCCCCTTCCCCTTCCCCGTACCCTACGCCCCTCCATCCTCGTGCACCCGCCGCCCCGTCTCCGTCTGATCCCTGCTGTACACTCCGGCGTCTGCGTCTGTTGTTGCGTTGAGGGTGATCGTCAAGCGTCCGTCGTTCGTACATCGTCAAAAAGCGTGATGGCGCCGCGGGGAGTGTCGAGGCAGCACGGGGAGCGTGGTGGCAGACGGGCGCGGGCGCGAGCGCTCGGGGCCGCCTAGCTGCGCATTCACTCGCTCTCCTGGATGAGCGCGAGGATCATGCTGCGCGGGGGAGAGCCGTCAGCCTCGCGCGCACGCGAACGGGAGGGGGCCACGCCGTCCGGTGACGTAAACGCGCCCTCGAGGACGGACGTGGCCGGAGGGGCACGCACCGGTAGAGGTAGTAGAAGAAGCTGAGGAGGTAGAAGCCGAGCTTGATGAAGCTCTCTTTCTTGTGCCCTGGTAGGGAGCGGAAGATCTCTGTCGCGTCGTACATGTGGTTCGCGCCGCGGATCCTGAGGGGCGCGGGGGTCAGTCAGTCGGTCAAGGTTGGAGGAGGCGTGTCCGCAGGCAGGCGCCGGTCGAACCGCGCGGGGTGCGCTGTTGACGGGCTTCCCAAGGACACAAGGGCGCTGGATGACGGAAGAGGAGACTCACTTGTTGACATTGAAGGCCAATAGTGGGGCATTGAGTAGGAATGCTGTCCATTGGCCGCTGAGGAGGAAGAGCAGTGCGAGGAAAGCGTGGGCGCCGTTTTCGGGGAGGACGAACTAGAGATATGGATGTTGGAGTCAGGGGATGTGCATCAGGGAGGAGAGGGGACTGACTTGGTTGAGCTTGTTGCAGAGGTCTATCGGGTTGATGTAGTCGCACTCAAGATCGGAGAACATGATGATCTGGCGGGACGCGCGGGTTTGTTAACCCAGGATTGCGCTCCGATGGAGCAGCGACGTACGAAGAAGACCATTGTGAACAAGAGACCAGCAGCCATGAGAACCGCGAAGAGGAAAAGCCATCCTAGGAGAGTCAATATGGTTTCGTTGAAAGGTTATTGACGGCGGGGCGTAATTCGAGTTGGTACGCGATGGAGAGGTATTCGAGGAATGCAACGGGCGAGGAAAGTGAGACAAAAGCGGTGGTGATATCACGGCAAGACGCACCTGCACCACCCATCGTAGCAGCGTTTGGAAAGAGGAACTGTAGTGATGCGGGCGGGTTGACCGGGAATTGAGTACGGGCAGCGGCTGGCGGATGAAGGTGGCGGGCGGAGGACGAGGCAGGCGACGCGTCCCTGCCCTTGCTGGCCACACGCACAGGCGCCCAGCCACCACCGCGGAGCTTGAAAGAGCTTCGCCTAAGTACTCTATCGGCGAGTTGATCTTAGAGCGTTGCTCGCGTACTCTCTCAACCAACCTCGTCATCACCTTTTCAGAGTACATCACACCCCAGTGATGATTCAGGAGAGTCTGGTCTCTATTCGTCTGTCAAATAGTAAGTCCTGAGCGCTGAGTAGTGATCGCCACGGTATTGAGAGTGCTATGTAGGTAGTAGGTTACAAAGCGGGTCGAACGAACGAAAAATGTCCAGCAGTACAGTAAACAGCTTATCGCAATGTGAAGCGTGCGTAGGCCAGTACGAGGCAACAACAACTAGAGTCCCACGAGAAAGTTGTCCGAAACGCGTGCCATGAGGTAAAGGAGTCCGTTCGATCTCCAAATGTCCATCTAATGCTTTTTACGCCGGAGTGGTAGTGGCGTTATACACCACAGGCACCGACGTGAGACTGAACTTGATGCCCACAGGTCCCTGCACAGAACACCCGCAAGTCAGCAACGCTCTACAGCCCCGCAGGGCCAACCAAGTGCGTACCGCGACATGTCGTCGTCCCACTCCTCGAGCACCACCAGCTGGTACGTCTTGTCGCTCGCATCCTGGCCCGCCGCCCAGCCCACGGGCGGCTTCGAGAAGTCGGGCATGACGAGCTGCGCCGGCGCCGGGTTCTTCGCGACGGGCACCGCGGGGTAGTTCTCGATGTCGTAACGGCCGAAGAAGTGGCCGGCCATGCCGTTCGCGAGCGCGGGGGCGTCGTCCCCGGTGAGGAGGTAGACCGAGTATGCGTAGTGGACACGCCGTAGTCTGCGCGGGGGGCGTAGCTGAAGTTGAACGCCGCGCCGGGGGCGATGGACGTGTTCGGCGCGGGGGCCTCGATGGCGCCCAGGCCGGTTCGAGGGCGCAGCGGCGAGGCGCCGCGAGGGAGAGGACCGAGGCGAGGACGAGAGGGCGGCGAGCTGCATGATTGTCTATTGGGAGGGGAGGTCGGGAAGAGGTGGGAGGGCGGGATCAGGGGGACGGGGAGAGCTGGAAGGGAGGGCTTGTTTCGAGCGAGCGGGGCCACAGCACGCCTTTATGGTGTGACGGGGGACGGATTCTCCGGGGAATAGCGAGTACTGTATAGAGATGGGCCTGCAGTTATGACGGACGAAGATCAGCCTTACGAAATGGCTTACTTACCATGCGCCGCCGCCGCGGTCCCGAGTGCATCTCCACCGCGCCTGGCTGAGGAACGAGAATAGACTGCGATGGTCCGAGGAGGCTTGAACAGTTGGCCCTTGTAGTTCAGTCCAGGCTGGCCGCGAGAGAGACGCAGCGAAGCAGCGCCGGGCGGGCGGCGTGATGGTGACAGCGCGCTCTGGCGGGCGAACGGACTTGGAGAAGCCAACGCCGGCCGAGCTATCATGGCGTGAATGATGCACGCGCGAAGACAGCATATGACTGGGGTGGATGTCGTTCGGCATCATCTTCCCAAAACGAGATGACGAGCCGCTTCAAGTTGACGATATGAATGCGAGCACAATCAGAGCGAACGTAGGAACTCACCGAAGCCATGACCACGCTAAATGGAGGCTTCTGCGTTCCCACCGCACGCCTTCTAGCCCGAGCCCCCTTGTAGTTGGCCGGAGAAAGCTGCAAACAGCCAGATGCCGCGTGCTGGCGGTCAAGGTTTGGCTCAGAAGGCGTCCCGTGAGAGCACAAAAACTCCGTCGCGGCACGATCTCAATAGGCGGATGGTGCGGGAGACGGTCCATACGTGAAAGCTACAAGGAAATACATTGCGAAAGGAAAGCGACAGTCCAAGTACCAGGGAGATATTACATGAAGTAGTTGAGCGGATTCTTCTTCTTGCTCTGAACTGTGGGCGCTCTATTAGCACAAGGCCAGACAGAGCAACAACTTGGACCTCACCCTCCGAGATACCGCTCAGGAAATGCTCGTGGTTGAGCTTTGTCGCTCCTTCCCGCAGCGCGATCATGCCGGCCTCGACGCAGACAGCCTTGAGCTGCGCACCGTTGAACTCGTCTGTACTCCGCGCCAGCTCTTCGTAGTTGACGTCCTGAGAGACCGCCATCTTCCGGGAATGGATCTCAAGGATACGTGCCCGTGCGGTCTCGTTTGGTAGCGGGAACTCAATCTTCCGGTCCAGACGACCAGACCGGAGCAGCGCCGGATCAAGAATATCGATACGGTTCGTTGCAGCAATAACCTACAGCATGCGACGTGAGCACTGCAGTGACTTGAGTATAGATAGACCTACCTTGATTCGTTCATCACTGCTGAAGCCGTCCAGTTGGTTCAGAAGTTCAAGCATCGTGCGCTGGACTTCACGGTCGCCACTCTTCTCCGAATCGAACCGTTTGGTGCCGATGGCGTCAAGTTCGTCAATGAAGATGATAGCGGGTGCCTTCTCCTTCGCGAGCTCGAACGCGTCACGAACGAGCTTCGCGCCGTCACCGATGAACATCTGTACTAATGACGGGCCAGCGAGCTTGAGGTAGCAGGCATTGGTTTGTGCGGCGCATGCACGAGCCATCAGGGTCTTTCCAGTACCTAGAGAAAGGTGAGACGAGGATGAAGGGCGAGTAATTGGGCACGTACCAGGAGGACCGTACATCAAGCAACCCTTCGGAGGCTTAATACCAAGCGTCTTGAACTTGTCCGCCTGCTCCATGGGGAGAACGATGGCCTCCACGAGCTCCTCGATCTGCTTCTCCAGACCACCAACGTCGGTATATGTCTCCGTGGGCCTCTCATCAACCTCCATTGCTTTGACTCGGGAGTCGAACTCGGCGGGAAGCGTATCGAGCACAAGGTAGGAATCCTTGTTGACACCGACCAGATCTCCGGGCTTGAGCTTCTCGGCGGGTACGAGGCCAATGAGAGGCAGGAAGACGGTTTGTCGTGTTGAGGTCTTGATGACGGCGCATTTGCCCTTGCGCATCGAGTCGAGGTCACGGTTCGCGCCGTCCTCTTCCACTTCGGGATCCACATCCAGAATCTAGAGCACGCTTCAGGAGACAAGAAGACACCAGTGGCGCATGACACACCTCGACGACATTCCCGACGAGATACGGGAGGACCTTGTTCTGCTTAATCTTCTCGCCGTTCTCGCGTATCTTCTCCTTCATTACACTCTGCTCGTGCTGCAGACGGAGAGTCTCGGAGCGCATGATCTGTTCGGACGACGCGCGCTGAGGAACAGTCAACGGGGTGGGATTCGTTAGACGCACCTTGATGTCATTCTCAAGCAGCCGCGAGCGGGTGCCAATCTCTGCGGTGGAGAGCTTCATGATGTCCTCCGGAATGTCCTCCCAAGTCTCCTCCGCGGGCCGGTCCGGGGTAGTGTCCATGGCGGCATCCTGGCTGCCCGACGGTGCAGAGGATGAGGCGGCGTCCTTCTTCTCGTTGCTGCTGTTTCCAGTGGGCGGGATTGGCGGAGGGGCTGAAGACATCGTGGCGGGAGGAGGAGGAAGGTGAAGAGCGGTCACTGGGGTCAGAGTACGCGTCCAGGCAGTCGCTGAGCGCATGCGCGTACGCGTCGCCGTGACGTACAAGTCACGCGTTTTGGGCATCGTCACACGGCCCGGAATTACCGCCGTCGGAGGAATTCGAACATGCGATTCAAAACATGGCACATCGACTCTGCGCTGGTCTCTACTGAACGTCATGACTCCGGCCAGTCCACCGTTCATGTGAGATGCCTCTCCTCTCGATCGCCACGACGCTTACCTCTCACCTTGTAGTTCGCACAGAGCACGACGAACGAGTGCTTCGCGTTAAATGCCGGATGTGCCCCACACCGCACGCTCTGCTGCTCCCATCCAACACTCTAGCACAAGTCCTGAGGCCTGAGGGCGGAACACCGTCCCGTCCTCACGTTCTGTCTCTCCTCTTTTCTGGTCTGGCCCACGAGGCTGCCACGCGATTATGAAGCAAGCACTCCGTTATTGATGTTATGTGCCGTTCAAACTGGGCTGCCGTGGATACCGTCGAATCTGTAACACCCATTGTGCTCCTGTCGCATCAATGTGGCAAGATGCTCAAACTATTAGGCTTTGACCTGCGGACGCTCGACGACCACGAACCGCCCGGTGCAGCCAACGACATAAGTACGTACCAAGTTCCCCCGTTCACACTCCCTACTTCTTGCTCGCTCACGATGGCCCCGAGACTAGTTTCTCCGCCCAGTCTTATTGACAGAAACTACGCCATATCGTCCCACGGTGGTTTCTAGGATGTCAGCAACATGTTCCTTCGCGCGAAGGCGGGCGTGTGCGTGTTAGGTTTAAGAGTCATGGAGAGGTCATGGGGATGACAGACAGGGTGCGGGGAATGGATGGAAACATACATTGTGCAGCTTTAAACAACAGAAGGTGCCCAAGGGACACAATAACAAGAGCAGAGGCGAACCTTGCTTGACCCGGAAGGCAGGCGTCTCCTGGTTCTTGGTGTATTGGCATCGTCTGCACCGACATCGCTCATCCATGGAGACCGTCTTATCACCGCAGCAGATTGTGGGGGCATGCGGTCGCGCCCGTACTCATAGCGAAGTCAGGTCTGCAGTCCTTCTGATTAGAGTGAGTTCTCTCCGGTCGCTCAAGTCCATCTCCTTATAGCATGACAATTGAAAGATGAGTAGATATCAAGAGGAGTTAAAGGCCAGTTCATGCGTTCGATGAAATGCAGGTGCGTGAGGCCCCTGCTAACACTTCGATTGCCAAGCGACTCATCAGCGATCATCGTTGTCCCCCTAAGAAGCAGGGTGAGGTGAAATACAGGGATCGTTTCATGGACACCAGATGGCCTGTACAGGCTGCCTCCCTGATGCAACCTCGAGGAGTCGATGGTCGTCATTCGAAAATCCACAAAGTACACATTCTTCCTGTGTTGTATACGCATGGCTCACCACGCGGGCCCAGCTATCGACCGAGCCAACTGACCCGGGCACGCGATTTTCCTAGCGCATCGCGACCTCCCACCGATAGCAATAATGTATAAATTCCTGTCACGTCACGTCCCTTTGACCTCAGGCGACTTCGACACCCCGTTCTCGCTCCAGACAGACTTTCACCGGTCTCTGTCTCCCCCGCGCGCCCCTTGCAGCAGCACTCGCTCTCCAGTTCACGGCACCCTCCCGGCCTCACTCTTTGAATAATGTTCGCTTTCAAGAATGTCTTTGCCTCCGTCTTCCTCGCGGTTCTCTGCGCCAGCACTGCATCTGCGGGCCCTTTCCCCGCCCACTCCAAGTTTGCGACCCACCGCTCACGAGAGCTCACCCGGGACTTCAAGCTCGAGACTTACCACCCTGAGTCTTCCTATGAGGTACGCCCCTGTCGCCCCAGCTCGCTTTGACCGTCGCTCACTCCCAAGTCCTTTGCTTCTGACAGACTTTCGGGGCGGGCGTGGACCACCCGCTGTCGAAGCGCGCCGACGCCTCAATCGAGGACTCCGCAGTCGCCTTCGTTCAGTCGCGCATCAAGGGCCTCGCCGCGGACGCGGTGACCGTCAAGTCGTCGCACACGACCGACGCCGCGAGCCACGTCTACGTCAAGCAGACCCTGGCCGGCATCCCGTTCGCCAACGCGGTCGCGAATGTGGCCTTCAACAAGGAGAAAAAGGTCGTCGCCTTCGGGTCCTCCTTCGTTGATATCCCCAGCTCGATGGCCAAGATTTCGACCGAGCCCTCGGTCACAGCCGCAGGCGCGATCGCCAGCGCGGAGGACACCCTTGCGGGAACATTCGACGCGGAAGAGTTCCCCGATCCCGCGCTCGAGTGGGTCGCGAAGGACGACGGCTCGGCCGTCCTTACCCACGTCTTCCAGGTCCGCAACGAAGAGGCGGGTACGTGGTACGAGGCGTTTGTCGACGCACACTCCGGCGAGCTCGTATCGGTCATCGACTTCGTGACCAAGGCTTCGGTAAGTGTCTTGACACCGTTAAGGACCTAGTAGATAAGCTCACGTGGATTTCCAGTACCGCGTCCTCCCCATCACGAAGGAAGTCCTCACTGAGGGCTTCGAGGTCGTCACCAACCCTCAGGATACCTCCGCTTCGCCCAACGGCTGGCACACCGGCACGGACACCCAGGGCAACAACGTCATCTCCTACAAGTCGTCACAGAGCTCGACGACGTCCCAGTCGGCCTCCGACCTCCTCTTCGACTATCCGGTGGACACGTCTGCGCAGCCGACGACGACCGGGAACGTGAACGCAGCGCGGGTGAACACGTTCTACGTCGTGAACACGGTGCACGACGTGACGTACAAGTACGGGTTCACCGAGTCCGCGTACAACTTCCAGGCGGACAACTTCGACGAGGGCGGCAAGGGCGGCGACCGCGTCACGGTCTCCGTCCAGGACTCCGCCGGGACGAACAACGCGGACTTCTCGACGCCGCCCGACGGCCAGCCCGGGGCGATGCGCATGTTCACATGGACGTACACGAGCCCGCGGCGGGACGGCGCGCTCGAGAACGACATCGTCATCCACGAGGACACGCACGGGGTCACGAACCGCATGACCGGCGGCGGCACCGGCCGCTGCCTCCAGAGCACCGAGGCTGCCGGGATGGGCGAGGGCTGGTCCGACGCGATGGCCGAGTACGTCCCGTCTTCCGCTCACGACTCGGGGGTGCCGCTGCTGATCGTCCGCGCCCCGACAGCTGGTTCCACAAGACGTCGTCGTCGGTGCCGGACTTCGTGATGGGCCAGTACGTGATCAATGACGGTGCCGGGATCCGCAACTACCCGTACTCGACGTCGGCGGTGAGGAACCCGCTGACGTACGCGTCGATCAAGACGCTGAACGAGGTGCACAACATCGGCGAGATCTGGGCGAACCTGCTCCACAACGTGTACGGCGCGCTCGTCGACGCGCTCGGGTTCTCCGCGGCGGCGCACACGGACCCGAGCGGCGGGGCGGGCAACGTCGTGTTCCTGCACCTGTTCGTCGACGCGCTCGCGCTGCAGCGGTGCAACCCGACGTTCGTGAGCGCGCGCGACGCGTGGATCCAGGCGGACGCGAACCGGTTCGGGGGCGCGAATACGTGCACGCTTTGGAAGGCGTTCGCGAGCAAGGGCCTGGGCGTGAAGGCGGCGAAGTACAACGACGACAGCACGCTCCCTTCGGATTGCTGAGCGCTGGTGGCGGGATGGATGTTGTATTTTTGGGACCATGTATGTCGTTGTACTGAGGGTGGCGACGTGTACTTGTGTGCGACCACACGAAAGAGATGCTGGGGTGATTCTATCCCTAATTCCCCACGATTCCGGGTGTCCGCAATATCCATCTGGCTGCCTCGTCTTCCTGAGTGTCATATGTATTGTCGCCGGATATGAATAGCCTCAATATTCTACCCCCTAGTCGCCATCGGATTGCACTAGGGGCATGTCACGCCAGAGGTACGTGTCAGTGTCCCAAAGCCGACCTGCAACCCCCAGGAACGCGCGCCATCGCCGGTGTCATTCACGAGCGAGTCGTTCGCAAAATGGCTGTCGAACGCGCAGACCGACCTTCCGCCTCGCGTGCCCGGCGAAGAAGCGTACGTGGGCAAGTGACAAGACCCGGACTGCATACACACGGGTTGACCAGGGTCGACCACGCAGCCGAACTTGCCTCGGATCACCGCGGCCGTCCGATACCTGAGAGCCAGGGTCTCGGCCTCCCCTTGTTCCCAGATACGACATTTCTCGAACGCGAGGACGCCAGGCTTCGTGAGCACCATCGCAGAGAAGCTGGAGTGCAGCAGTCGAGGCTGAGACCCAAACGCCAGCGCCGCGCCGGTCTAGCGTACGGATCCGGTCAAGGCAAGATGCGTTGTGTGTCGTCAAGCCAGGGTCATTAGAGAGAGAGAGAGAGAGAGAGAGAGAGCGGTTCGGCGTGAGGTTTGGAAAACCGCAATTGCGCACAATTGCAATCCGTTGGAGCGGACCCACCGCTCCACGGCATCGCGGCCCGCTCGAACACGCCCTTCACCTATGTGCACCGTGACAGGTTCATGGGAGGCTTGGTGAGGTTCGCGCTTGTGCTCTCATCTCGTCGTGACTCGTCTGCCCCTGTGGCCGTCTCCACATTCCCATGCTGTCCTGGGTGCAAGTCGAACTAGTCGCTGGATGCTCAGTTTGGAGGTAAGGGACCGTGTTGTCGCATCTCTCGCCCCGGCGCTCCCCTGGCCCAGTCACGGCGACGGTCACATTGGAGACGGGACTCCACCGCGCCAACGCTCATTGCAATTGCGCACAATTGTAATTTACCAAACCTCTCTATTCAAGTCCAGGCCGAGGGCGTACTTACATAGCCGAGACGGATGTAGTTGACTAGAGTGTATTTATAGACTGTGGTCGTGTCCTCCGTTCGATTCCAACTGACGATGCGTGTGTACCGGAGACAGTCACGAAATACGTCGCCGCGAGACCTTACCGCATTTATAGCATTTTGTGCAAAACTACAGGCACTGCGCCCTTCACGGTGCCATCCCTGGATGCCGCCGGGTAAGAAACGAATCAAACGAACAAGGAGAGCACGGGGACGCACCAATAACCCCGCACGCCGTGCGTGCACCCGCGTTCCCAGTTTTGAGGGACTCGTCGTCCCCGCCACGACCAAGGTCGTCCGTCCCCTGTTCCGCCGGTGAGTGCGCGTACGAGCACCAAAGGTCACATGAGCACGTACCGCATGCACAACCAAGGCGCGCCTTCACCGCGAAAGCGTCCCCGGACACCGTGGATTGCGCGCATACAATCAGGGGCCGCAGCGAAGGGATGCGCAGGAGCATGCAAAGGAAGACTCACCCGACGATGCTGAGGGGCCCGTTGAGGGAGACAAGCGCGTCCTCGAACGTGAACGTTGCGACGCCCTTGCTGTCCGCGGCGACGTTGCCGAGGTCACCCACGTGGCGGTTGATGTCCGTCGGCGCGCCATGCGCGCGGTCGAAGGGGTTGAAGTGGGGGCCGGCGGACATGCAGCCGTTGCTGAGGTCACCCGAAGCACTGGGTGCGCGCGAAAGTCATCAGTACAGGGGCGGTCCGTACGCGAGGGAGAGAGAGGGAGCGTACTGGATGTGGAAGCCGTGCTGCGAGTCCGCCTTGAGGTTCTTGACCTCGCCCGAGATCGTTACGGGCGCGGTGGGCAGCGCTTGCGTGAATGTCACGGTGCCGGATACCGAGGGGCCGCTGAGCACGACCACGGCCTGCGGGCGCCGCGCGGGTCAACGCGCGCAAACGGGGGGAGCGGAGAGGGCGCACCTTGGAGACAACGGGGATGGGGACGACTTCGACAGGCGGGGGCTCGGAGCGGGGGACGAGCATCCAAATGACGAAGACGGTGATGAGGAGGAGGGAGGCGGTGATCGCGAAGCGCGGCGGGCGCGACTGGCGCGAAGCGGGGTAGTCCATCGCTCGAGGTGAGCTCTGCGCGGGCGCGGTTGGCGGGGTCGAGAGGGGGAGCGGAAGAGCAGGGCGGCCGCAAAAGTGCCTCGCCGAGGGTGAGAGTGCCGCCGGGGATGATGGAGATGACGCGCTCACGGTCTTACTCAGCCCCGCAACTGCGCTCACACCTGCGGTCAGCTCGCGCCCATGGCCCAACAGAGCCGGAATGAAATTCGTGCTGTGTTCTAGTCACCAAGCGACGCATACATATATATGAAACCGCTTCCAACAGACCCGCTGTTTCTGTACCTCTCTGCGTCTCCTCTCCACCTTAGCTTCGTCTCTATGTAGCTCTTTAGTGTCTGGTTTGACCTAGATCCCCGAACCCACCATGCGCTCGAACTGGGATGCTGAGGATACAGCGCGTATCGTCAAAAGACATGCACTCACAGTTCCGCGAATGCGTACCGAAGATGTGGGCGTACTAAGAAGAGAGTGAGGATGAAGTAGGACGCGTTCGGCAGTGGCAGAATGACTTGTGCGAGGTGCGCGGTGCCTATCCATCCGTGCGGAATTAAGGTGAAGCAACAGTCATAGGCATCTACTTACATTCTCTCCAGAGAACAGATGACAGAGTATCGGTGTCGCCACGCGGCGGACCGATCGCGGAACAAAGTCTGCCAGAGTACGAGGATTGCTGGTAGATCCGCCACTATGAGTAAGCCCCAAGATGCGATGATCACTGGGATCAGGAACTATGTCGCACCTTGTTCAAAGTTGAGATTCCACAAAGGCGCACCGCAAAGGCGCAGAAAGCACCCACAAAGCGGAGAATGGGCTCACCGCCGAGTACACAACTTCCGATGAGGACATGGACGTATCACACATAAACTTCGCAGCGTTAGGTACGAAGCTACGCTTTCAGTTTTGAGCTGTCGGCACTGGACGGGTAAATCAACGATCGGTGGACGTGCCGTCCACAAACATTGCACGGAAGGCATACAATAAATGTCGGAGTGTTAGGAAATCAGAAAGTACTGTAAAGGGGGAATGTGCACAGCTTGTGGACTCACACACGAAGATCATAAAAACGCAACCAGCTTGTCCAATAACAGAGGGGTACACCTGCGTGGTCATGTGCGCTGGCTGAACCAACTCATCGCTAGCAAACTCTAACAAGTCGTTGTTCACAGTAAATGCACTATGTCTGCATCATCCAAACGTCCCCGCAATTCGCGATTGCAACGTCTTGAGGACATACAGCGACGGTATCCGCGTGCTGCGCTTCGACATAAGAGGATGAAGAAGAAATCCCGCGTGTATTGAAACTACTTCGTACGCATGATACGAAGCGTATTGGGCCTGTACAAATAGTTCTCCGAGTAATTCTTAGGGGGGATGCGGTTAACCTCTGTCTGGGCGCTGTAAAACGGAAATGTGAGGTCATGGATTGAATGCCGAGGAAGAAGACGTACACATAGTAATCCCAGCCTGGAAACGTCGACCGTGAAATTCTGCTGCACAGCGAAGAAAAGACAAAGGGGACGCACCCTGTTTCTCGGCAAAGTGAATCGCATCCTCCTTGGTGCGGAAGGAGAGCCGAGTGCCCTGCATGTAGTCCGCACTGCCCATGCGCGTTAAGTACGACCACGGGGCAACCTAGGACGGGGAGGTTGACTCACGAGCTTGCCCAACCCATCAAGGGATTCTCCCAACGACCACCACCCTGGAGGATGTCCCAGTCGATGCGCCAGCGGTTGGACTTGCCGGCACCGCTCTGGGTGGTGCTGCGAGTGGGCTGGAAGATGCGCACAGCGCGGTGACGGAGCTCCGCTGCGGGGAGGGGAACGCATGGTTCAGAAATGAAGGTGAGCGAAGCACGCTGGAGACGCACTGGGAGCTCCGCTGACGACATCGGCGGTCACGACGTCGCGAGCAGGGATGTGGGCAACGCCGGACTCAGACTTGGGGTCGGTCGTTTGGGGGGTAGTTGGCTGGCTGGTGGTGCTGTAGGAGCGAGGGGCAGCGAGGACGGTGCGAGCGAGGCCGCCCTTGGGGACGGCCTGCTGGCAGGACCGGAGGAGGGACATGGGCGTCGTGGACGGTGGTGAGCAGGCCCTCGGGTGCGTTCGCGAGGGGTGAGGAGAGCCGCTGAGAGCCGCGCCGGATCGACTCAGTGCGGCTGGGCCGGAGATCGCGGGACTCGCGGCTGGAGCGGCCTGCTCCCAGGGCCAGCGCTCCCACCGTGCATACCAGGCCCTCGTCCGAGCTCCTCCTCCCGTGCCCGCTCGCCCGCCGTGTCCGCGCCCGTCCTGCTCCCCGTGCGCGCGCCCTGCGCTTCCCGCCCCGATGGCCACCATCCAGAACAGGCCCTTCTCAAAAGACTACAGGTCCGTGTCTCCTCCCCTCCCCCCGCCAGCCCACTCACCTCTCCCCAGTGGGCTCATCAACCAGTCAGTTGTTGCTGGCGCCATCTTCCTCATCACTATTTCCGCCCATGAATATATGCGCAGGAAGCGGCGCGGGAAGCCTCCTTACGCAGAGCCCCTTGGGAGTGTAGAGACCTGGGAGTTTGGATAGTGCGTCGTTCCACCCTCCCAATTCTTCGGCGACTAATGCCCGCCGTACCCATAGCTTATACCAGGGCAGATCATGGGCCAGGTGAGCGTACACTGTACTGTACTTTCTGCCATTTCGCTCATACCTAAAAGACGACCCTCCCCGCCCCTGCCTCGAAAGTATATTCTCGGGTGGGTAAAGCAGGTCCTCACCTTCCCCGAAGACCAGTTCAACCAGCTCCGCGGAGTCGATGCTGCTCTCTACATCCGCTGGATTCGCGCCTGTTTCTGGTTCACCGTCATTCAGGCCTTCACCACCCTCGTCATCCTCTTCCCCATCCATGTTACATTCTCCGACGGCAGCGTCTCCCCCAAGTCCATGACCCGCGCCTCCATATCCTCCCTTGTCACCACGAAGAAGGGTCTATCTCTTCTCTGGATCCACATTATCCTTCTCACTTGGATCACCTTCACTTGGTTCGGCGTCCTTTACTGGATATGTCGGGGAGCCTTCCACTTCCGCGCCCAGAACATCCTCGCTTCTGCCGAGAAGGCCGCAAAGGAAACAAGAGCAGAGCGAAGGGCCCAGTATGATCCTCATCCCCATCCTCATCCCCAGTATCCGTTCCACGCCCTTCCTCCCCTTGATGAGGATCACTCCAACCGCGGGCTTCGCCTCCGTACTGTCATGGTCACCAACATTTCTCCCGCTCTCCGGACAGACAAGGACCTCAAGGAGTACTTCGAGTATTATTTGTCCCGCAGAGTAGCTCTCCCAGCCATCGGCATAAATTCCTCCGTCCAGCCGGGCTTCGTCAACAAGCTAGCCGCGTTCATCTTCAACTATGCTCGTCGCGTCACAGCAGTGGGCACCGCGTCCGCCGACGGCAGCACCGAACAACCTCCGTCTCCTGAGGAACCCAAACACAACTCATTCACATCCCCGGTCATTGATCGTGTCGTCCTTGTGCGCAAGATGAGCGACCTGGCTTCCATGATGGAACGAAGGGAGGAGATACTCAGGCTACTAGAGACGGCACACATCAAACTCGCCCGCAAGGCCCTTACTGACGTGCAGACAGCGATACGCAATCGCGGAGCTTCCCCTGGGCTCCGTCACGCCGTCAAGCGCATGTCCGTGGCTGTCATGGGGATGAGCCCGTTGGGCGACGGGGGGGAGACTGGGGGAGAGGCACGGGAGCGCACTCGGAGCGATGATGGAACGGAAGAAGGCGAAGACCGCATGGAGCTTCTGATTCGCACCCTCGGTCCGTACCTCCCTTCGCTGGAGACAGAACTCGTTCCAGACAACAAGGACTCTGGATTGCGGGCGCGACTAAGGCGCGAGACCTCGGACGTGGAGATGGGAGCAGCCGACGCTATGGAGTCCAAGCCAGGCGACAAGACTGTGTGGGACGCGCTTCTCAGCCTCCCGCGGAGCACCCTCGATGCCTACCAACCGCTCATCCATCTCTCGTCCATCTTCCGTGGCAAGACCGTTCCCGCGATCGACTACTACACCGCCAAGCTGCAAATCATCACGAACATGATCACCGAGAAGCGATCAATGCCGCAGGCCGCGTTTGACGCCATGTCGACCGCGTTCGTGACCTTCGTTGACCCGGCAGACGCACGAAGGGCGTGCAAGTTCTTGGCGGTACATCCTGAGAGCCCGATTGAGTGTCTTGTGACCATGGCGCCCTGCTATGAGGATCTGGACTGGACGAGGCTGATGAAAACGACGTTCAGAGTCGAGGTATGTTCGCCTTGGTGTCATGTCATGGCACGAAACTCATTTTCGCAGTTCGTCAAGGATTGGGTAGTTGAACTTGGGGTTTGGTGCGTGGCTGGTAAATGCGTCTTTGCTCGCTTTATTAATCCATGTTCCGCCTTTTCAGGGCTTTCACCATCTCCTGGGTCTTCCCCGTTTCGTTCTTCGTAGGCCTGGTCAACATTCAGAATCTGAGTACTCTGTGGCCTGGACTGGTAACTGAACGTTTCCCCACGTTCCTTACTGTAGTCCGCTGACCCTGGCCCTTCAGCTTGACTTCTTGAAGACGCATTCATGGGAAGAGGAACTGCTGCAATCTTTCGTCCCAACTGTCTTGGTCGCCCTGCTATCTCTGTTGATTCCCTTACTGCTGCGTGAGTGAAGTCTTTTTTAGTTGTGAGGGCATACTGTACAATGCTCATTTCTACACAGTGCTCATCGCAAAACGAGCCCATACCATCGCCACGCTCTCGGCGCTGCACGACCGCATCATGACACGATACTACAAGTTCCTGGTGGTGAACGTCTTGGTCTTCTTCTGCGTAGGGACAGCCGCATTGCAATCGTTCTTGCTGTCCTTCAAGACTATCGATACGGATCAACTAGCGTCAGTTATTGCTCAGAGTTTCCCGGTGGCGGGCCCTTTTTACGTTGGGTGGTGTAAGTGCTCTGTATCCTCTAACGAACTTTTCACTCATGCCTATCCTAGTCATCTTCACTACGGCTATGCATGGTGGAGTGGAGTTGGCGCTTTGTGAGTATTGACGTCCGTGTATGCATGCCATTACTGATGAAAATTCGCGTGATTGCAGTTGGTGTATGCATTCAAACTTTTGTACACACGCATTGTTCTGACGATCTCACAGCTCCCTTTGATCGTCTATCCCGCTACGCGACGCCAAGTCACACCACGAAAGCGCGCTATGGGTATCCGACCTCGTACTTTCAACTACTACTGTGAGTTCTCATGTTCGTTCTGAGACCAAGCAGAATGCTGACTGCCGATTAAGATTGGTTGCCGAACCACGTTCTCGTCATGCACGTTCTGCTGGTGTTTTCCCTTTTGAATCCTCTTGTTATCCCATTTGCTCTCGTGTACTTTGCTGTTCAACGCAGTGAGTCCAAACATGTTGGAAGGGGCGTTCAACGCTAATGATTTTGCAGCTGTTATCAAGAATCAGCTTTTGCACGTTTACGCTAAGAACTACGAAGGAAACGGCAAGCTCCTGCTTATCCGCATGGTTCGTTACTCGCTGGATGGTAGGTGCAGACATCATCAGTCAGAGATCTACATCTAACACATAGCATGTAGGCCTCATCCTATCCCAGGTCGTATTCCTGGCCTACATGGTCGTGAACAAGAAGACCGTCAACGTCGCCATTTCAGCCGTCCTCATCATCGTCACCGCGGCGTACAAGATGTTGTAGGTGTCTAGCCATGCCAGTCGTATGATTTCCAATGCTCACTGCTCTTGCTAGCCTTACTCGTCTCTGCCGGAATCGTTTCGAACGTGATGACATCCTCGAAGCGCAGGTGGTTTGCGGTACAGGAGAGCCAACGGAAGAGTTGATTGATGAAGCCTGTCCGGACGCTGAAGAAGGTCACCGAGCCGCTCTTGAGAAGAAGCTCAGTGGGAACTCAACCGGTGGAGAAGTTTGGCCTTGGAACCTTCCAGTAAGACTTAGCTTCGCGTACTCCACGATTGCTAGTCGACCTCGGAAAGCCCCTCGACACCATCCAAATCCGTTCAAGCCCTCTAGACGATCGGATTCCATCGCCCCTCTCAACGTCATGGCGGAAGACGCTGATGATGGTGCTTCACCTTCCTCGTCCGCCCCAGCGGGGGCGTGGCGCGAACCCAGCGACAATATGGAGTTCCCCACCGAAAACCCCCAGGAAACTCCCGCAGTCGTCACAAGACATTCCCCTCATCCACGCTGGGAAGACGAATCTTCGCCCAATCACACATACGAAAATCCTTACTACACCCGCGATATCGACAACTTTCTGTGGCTCCCCGCCGACCCCTTGGAGACTCTGAACCTCGACGACACGATCAACCTCCGAATGTCACTGACCACCCAACCTGGGGCAGGACGTCTGGGGCCGTGGCGGGACGAGGACTTCATCGAGACTGGGCTTTCCCTCAACCTCGCGACGAGTTTCGGCAGCATCGAGGAAGACGAGGAAACCGGATCTACGACGAACGGGAGCTTCTACAGGCGCCTCGACGGCTCGGAACAGATCAGACTTCCTCCCGTCATCGCATCCCGAGTCGCGGCAGGCGAGGATGACGTCGAGACGGCAGGACCCATTCAACAGCGAACGACAAAGCGGCGGAAGTCGTCTATCCGGAGCAACTCTGGAACCTCGCACCTCAGCGTCGGGCGTGCTGACGATCCGGGCTCGTCTGAGTACCGGTCGACATCAATTGGCTCGGCGGTGTCGAACATGAGTAGTATTGGGTCCCCACCTGCGTTTATGCTCCCCACGGACCCTCGTCGTCGAAATCGTCGGGCGATGTCTATGGACCACGAGATGGGAGTCCGGCGACCGAACCGGATACCGAGCTTCGGGGCGCGGTCGACGGTGTCGGTTGTGGACCCGAAGCCAGGAACGACTCCGCCGGTGTATTCGCACGGGACGATGTCGCGCACGATCTCGGTACACGACGCAGTATATGGAGTCGCTATCGTGGAAGAGGAGGACGCGTTGCTGGAGGAGCACGAGCGAGAAGCGGAGGAGGCGGAACAGTTGAAGCAACCCAAGACCTGGCTCACCGCATGGATGTTCCGGACAGGATCATCGACGACAGTGAAGACGACATGACCTCACGACATCCTGCTCCCGCGAGCAGGCCCCGACCCGTTTTACGACATGCACCGGCGCGCTCGATCTATCACGCACATACGACCCCCGCAACGGCTAACTTATCTCCCCTTGCTTCCCCACCCCCGCCGCACGCTGCTTGCCTCGATGAAGCTGCCCGCGCCACCGGAGGTTGTACCATCAGTTACGAACCACGTCAAGTGTAAATACCCTGGAGACGCATACACACACCATGTACCACTTTAATGCGACTTCACTTCGATATATCCACAGTTATCCCGCCTCGCCCCGCGTGCCCAACGACGTGATCACCGGCCGCGCCCCGACGTTTTCCCCCCGTGACCCGGCGGGCTTTCCTCGCCCGCCGCCGTGCGGAGCAGGGTGTATACTGGTGCATGAGCCAGTTCCGCGCAAACATCCGCGGGGACGTACATAAGGCCTAGAGGTGGAGTGTGATCCTCCCGCCTCGGTGACTTGTGCTACTCACGATGTTCTCGCAGTCTCTATTTGCTTTTCTCGCGCTCTTCACTGGGCTCGCGCACGCGGGCACCAAGATCTGGGACGGCAAGTGCTTCAGTCGGTGTCTTGCATGCTTCGCTGACGATCCGAATGTTGTCTAGGATCCTTCAACTCGTTCACCAACGTCTCCGACTTTGACAAATGTCTGACTTATTTCCCCGCTCGATAGTATTGAGTTCGTGCCTTACTATCTTTTCAGGGTCATGGTCAAGTGAAGTTGGGACTTACCAATGGGTAGCAGTGCCCAGTCCCGCCCCGAAAATACAGACACTGACACGTCGTGAGCAGTACATCCACGGCACCCAGCCGACTTCGCACTACCTCGCGCTCGACCCGACGTACAAGAACCCTGCCGACACCTCTGAGAAGAATGGTCTCCGGATGACCATCGACTCTACCGCTACTTGGAACTCGCAGATGGAGCGGTAAGCGGCGGCCTCGTGTGGTATTTTGGATGGTTCAACAACTGACTTGCGACTACGCAGGTGTGAACTGATTCCTCGGACGACCGAGAACCTGGGCCAGGGCAACTTGTTCTACCACTTCTCACTCATGCACGATGCCAGCAACCCTCCTGATGTAAGCGGCTGTAGATGTTTTATTTGCGAGTGCTCACACGGGTGCTGGTTAGTCGACCCTGGAGCACCAGATCTTCTTCTTTGAGTCCCACTTCACAGAGGTCAGTATGAGGCTCCAGCTGCAATTTCCATCGAATATTGACATGCATATGCACAGATGAAGTATGGAGTCTCCCCTAACCCAACCCAGCTCGAGTGGCACGTGTCCGGCCAGCCCAAATGGAGCACGCCCTTCGTCGCCGGGAGCTGGTACAACTTCGCGTACGACATCGACGTGAGCACCCTTTCTTTCCGACGCCGTGTCCCCAAACGCCGCGCTGACCCCCGAGACCGCGCCCCGCCGCCAGTTCTCCGCACAGACGGTCGGACTGTGGGCGTCGAACGGCTCGACCCCGCTCGTGAAGGTGATGAGCAACGTCGCGGCGGGGACGTCGACCAACTCGGAGGATTTCCACGTCGGCGTGCTCCGGATCGTCAACAGTGCGACGCCCGAGCACTGGTACATGTCCGGGGTCTACATCGAGAGCGGGCCGATCACGACGAGCGTCGGCTCCGGCTCCAGCTCGTCCACGACGTCCTCGGGCGGCGGGAGCACGACGACCGCACCGCCGTCGAGCTCGTCGTCGTCGAGTTCGACGACGTCGGTGAGCTCGACTACGACCGCGGCGGGGCCGACGCAGACGCAGTGGGGCCAGTGCGGAGGTGCGTGGTGTGGATCTGCGCCAGTGGCCAGCTCGCGCTTACGTTTGGGCCTCGCTGCTTTGCAGGGACTAACTACGATGGTCCGACGACGTGCGCGAGCCCGTTCACTTGCAAGGCCGTCTCGCCTCCGTACTACTACCAGGTGAGTATTTGTGCGACCATGACCGGTGGTCTGTGTCTGATTGAATGGGCAATCAACAGTGTCAGTAGAGCTCTCAGCCTACGTCCGAGCAGACAAGACGGTCGAGACACTCCAATAGCAGCACGCGAATCGATTCCTGAGTCCAGAGCAGTGCTTCCCGATGGATTTGTTGTACTATTGCATGTCAAAAGTAATTTATGCTTGACCGGAAGATATCTAGCGGCATGTGCGGGATTTCACACAGAAGACGACTGAAGTTATTGAGAGGACTATAACGGCGTATTGTTGGAACATCGGAGCTGCCATCGGAGTCGAACTCAATGATAAAAATTCCGGTCTATTAAGGGGGGCTCGAACCGAAGTCCATGACAACGTACACAACGGCTAACAACAAATACAAGCCCAGATACAAATCCCAGTCTACAACCAGTGAAAATCAACGGAAAACAATGCAATCCAGGGACAATTCGAGTCCGACGAGAGCCGACGACGATCACCAGAGGACGGAGAAAGGGCAGACTACAACAACTTCGCACTGCCCCCCAGACGGGCACTCCGCCGCAGCGTGCGGGAACGGGGGAGCGCCTTCATCGGCCGCGTCACGATCCGCATATGCAGTTCAGTGACAGCAGCGTCCGAAGACACCCCGAGGTCCTCGCTGGACGCCGCGGCGGGAGGCGCGAAGAAATCTGAGGGAGGAGGGACGTTCGCGCCTAGAACGAGGAGTAGCTGGGCCGCGTCGTTCTCACGGAAGAGCTCGGGGGTAGACTCGGACTTGGGCTCGGACTGGGCCACGACAGGAGGAGGGAAGAAGGCGGTTGAAGAAGACGAGGGCGAACTGAAAGCGAGGAGAAGCTGGGCCGCGTCGTCGTCGCTGAAGGAGGGTTTGGCCCTAGACTCGGACTTGACGTCCATTGGGGCGACGGTGACCGCGGCGTCGGCGAGGGAAAAGAGACCGTTGAGCGGGGAATCGAAGGTGGGGTCAACAGGCACGCAGGCGCGTTCAAAGAGCTCGTAGTCTTCATCGGAGAGCTCGACCTTGACGTCGTGGGGAGAGACCCCAACCGCGGCGCAATTGGTCAGAGCTTGCTGGAAGACGGCGTCGAGCTCCTCAGAGGTAGGGACATGGAGGGGAATGGGGCTGTCGGAGGAGGAAGAGCGGAGGGAGGGAGGGGTGGAGGTTGCAAGGGAGAGAAGAGCCATGACCGCGTCTTGGTCGTCGAGTGACATCGAGTCGTCGGGGACGGAAGGCGAGGACTCCTCAGCGTCGGCCTGCAAGATTGTGTCGAGTTCCAAAGCAAAATATTCGATCTCTTCGTCGGTCATGAGGCAGTCCACAGCGAGAGATTCATCGTTGATATTGCCGGAGTCGACAGAGCTGGTAGAAGTTGGTTCGGCATCCATGGTACACGGGATCTCAATGTCCATGGCAGGGTTTTCGCACTCGTCGACATTCATGTCTAGAGCAGCCCAAGGACCTTCCAAAGGGGAGGGAGAATGGTCGCCAGAGAAAGTGAGGGAAGCTAGCAGGATAGCCATGTCGACGTCTTCATTGTCGGCAGGTCCGATTTTGATGACCAGAGGGGTGGCTTCGGCGAGTTGTTCAGTGAGCTGAAAGAAGGCGTCGACATCGTCAGTGGGGCATGCTTCAGCGGGAGAGTCAGGAAGGCTGTCGAAAGTGCAGGGCGCGCTGAGGGCAAGCGAGTCCATAGCTAGTAGGAGCTCCGCCACGTCGTTGTCGTTGGCGCACGAAGGATCGGACGCTGCCGCCGCCTCGACGAGCTTGAGCAGTCCGCCATAGATGTCGCTCTCGTCGAGAGTGTCCTCTTCAACGTTCAAAGCGTCTTCGCGGATCTCCACCTCGAACTCGTGGATAGAGTCGGCCGGAGTAAGGAGCGCTTCATCTACAGTCGACTCCGTGTCGTCTTCGTCGTCTCCAGACGACTCCGCGGTGTCTTCGACGTCGTCGGAGTTGTCGTCGGTCTCGGCGTTGGCCGTGATCGCAAGGACGGTGTTGAAAACCTTCGAGCTTTCAATGGCCACGACGGCGATGTCGGCGGCGACTGGGCAGAAGACATTGGTGACGTGTTTGGGACCCAAGAACGCGCGGCTGCTTACCTTGGCGAGGAGTGCACACGGCAATGGCGTCGTCGCTGGCGTCGACGGGACGAGCGAGCGCGTCTGCGATAAGCACAACCGCGACGAACGTCCCATGCGCCGCCGTTGCGACGCCAAAGAGCGCGCACAAGCCGAAGACCGCCGCATACATCGCCGCCGTCTTCGCGACTTGCGCCAAAACGTAGACGGCGATGACAGCGAAGGAAAGGGCCTCGATGACGACGTCGCGGAAAGCTTTGACGGCCGCCCTGGACGCGTCGAACGCGCGAGGCAAGAAGGAAGAGGGGGCGAGATCAGCAAACGAGGGAACGGAAAAGGACAACTCAACAGCGAGCGTCGTCTGGGTCTTGGCGGGGGTGCTGGAGCATTGAACGACGTGGAGTTGCACGCCGAAGATGTGGCCCAGGACGACGACGAGGATGAGCTGGATGAAGGGAGGGTGAGCGGCAACAAGGGAGAGGGCGGCGATGAAGCCGAGGGAGAGGAGGTAGAGGAGGGCGGGGGCGACCAGGACGGCGCGGGGGGTGGAGGAGGTGGCGAGGGAGGTGAACATGGTGAGGGTGGGGGATTGTATGGTGGGGGTTGTATGCGGTAAGGGCGTGTTATGCAGGTGCTAATGCAGCTAAGCCTGGGGCAGAGCAGAGATCTACAAATCTGAGGCAGAGATGTACTGGCGAGTTTGGCCGTCTGGCGCGGTGTCTTATGGGATTCTGGGTTAGTTTGGCTGTGTTATTGGCACAAACAAAGCTTTCGGCCTACTCGGGGTGTTATTTGGCGGGCACTTTGGCGTCGCAGGTGAAAGTTAACCTTCACCGGTCCCTCGTTAATGATCACTAGTAATACCGGGCGGGATGACGTAGGATGAGATAAGTGGCCTCATACCTCTTGCCTGACGCTGTCGTCTGGCGTACAGGCCGTTGGGGCAGAAAGAGATGAAGGACATGACAAGGATGTCCGAGGGGTTGTTGTGACCAGCAGTGGGCTGAGGAGCAGAGAGGGTTGAAAGAGGGGGCACGGAGTGTGCGGGCATGAAAAAGCTTCGGGGAATACCGCATCAGTCATGGATTATACACCGCCGAGGAGACGGTAAGGTACCTTGAAGGCGCAGTCCGTATCCCGCAGGCCATCGCACAACGTCAAAGACACTGGGAAACACGCGCTCTGAACTTCAAGCGGCCGCGTCACAAGTAGGGCGCTTACGACGATACAGGCTCCTCAAGGCTCCTCAGCGCCCACCATGGACTCTCAAGCCATCGGTCTCTTGTGACGGTGGGCTGCCTTGCACTTCTCATAGCACATCTACGAGACGCGACACACCGGAAGAATCCCATTCGTTCTGCGTCGGGTATCAGTGCAGCTCGAGCATCACATTCAGACAACCAGGCACAGCCGATGTCAGAAACCGCAAGGGTGTGTATTCAGATATGTTATGCAGAATGTCGCGATGAGGGTACAATATGATACAGTATGGATCCCCAAGTCCGAACGGTGGGTGATGTGAAGTGTGATGTATGTGCGAAACGATCTGAGACACCGGGCACGGGACACGAGACTGGAGAGCGAACAGAAAACATTGCGAGAGCAGGTAGCAAGACTATGAGGACGGGCCGGGATACCTGCGGCCGTACGTGGGCGGGGCACTCCGCGGCGGGGGCTTTTCGGGCGCGACGGACTCATTCAGTGGTTTGTCCTTGAATGTCAGCAGGTCATAAAGGGAAGCAATCTGGTTGCCCTGAAATACGAAGTCAGTTGGGATGAAGACAAAACAGCTCAAGGGCGGACCTTCTGTTCAAGGACGTCGATGACTTCGCGCAAGTGATCTGCGAGGACGTTCCTCTTGACGACATTAGACACCGGGTCCATGTCTTTGTACTGATCCGCGAGCTCCACATATATTCTGCGAGGACGTCAGCTTTCGCAGGCATCGACCAAGTGATCACACGTACCCCTTGTAGTGCGTGAAGTCGTCTTCCAACTCCCGCAGCACACGCGCAAGCACCGTCTGCGGCGGCACCCGGTCCCTCGCCGTCTTCGCCGTATACGCCTTGCGCTCGCGTTGGCGATCGTCATCGCCCTCCACAAAACCCTCGTCCTCGTCCTCGTCCTCGTCCGCCCGCCGCTCCGCGTGGTCGCGCAGCCACGACTCCGCATTCGCGACGTCCGCGGGGCGGCGCCGACGCCGGCGGTGGCAGACGGTGCACGTCTCGGCGTCGTGCGCGGGCGCGGAGAAGAAAAGGCGTTCCAGGCGTTCGCCCCGGATCTGTGGGAACGCGCCTTCCGTCGCGGGCTTGGGTTTCGTCTGTTGCGTGGGCTGGGATTGAGGAGCGGTGTGCGCCCGGCGTTTCTGTGCGGCTCCGGGCGTGGGGGCGGAGGGCCGCGGGGCGTGGACGTGGGCTGGGCCAGGGATGGCGGTGAGGACGGGAGACGCAGGGCGACTGGTCGCGGCGCTGGGCTCGTCGGCGAAGCGGACGGAGTACTCGAGTTGGCGGATGAGCTGCTCGTTTGGGACCGCGGAGCCTGACGCGTCAGTCTCGACCACGACCGACGGCGAACCGACGCGTGACGGCCGATGCGAGACGGCGGGAGCGGGGTTGCGCGACCAGTTGGGAGAGGGATCCTGCGTTGTCAACACCTGGGATTGCGAATCCTCCTGGGATTGGGACTGTGACTGAATAGATCGTTCAGAGCGACGTGCCGAGACCTCCTGAGCGATCCTGCTGACTTCGTCTTCACCAAGGAAGGAGGGACGGGAGATGTTGGCGGCAAGACTGGGACCCTGAGAGGACGCTACAGTGGCAAAGTCGGTCCGCATCGTCTTGTCTGCAGCTGAATTCCCCAACTTTCGCTTTGGGGAAGGGGTGGGTGACCGCTGACCAGCCGACTCTTCTTCATCCTCCTCGTCGCTTGATTCGCTACGAACTGACGGCGGCCGGAGGGGAACACGTTGTCCAGGCACAGGGGGCACTGGAGGGGCGGCGGTCACGCTCTCTTCGTCGCTTTCTTCATCACTGCTGTCTTCCGTATTCTTCGCCTTGTCGTTGGTGGGGTCGACAGATTGTTCTCGCAGTCCTCGGCGTTCCTTGAGGCCCTCCTCTACTACCCCACGGAGGACCTCGACCTCACCCGCCAAGCGCTCAACCTCTTGCCTGAGTCGGTCCACGTCGGAGCTCTTCTCCGCCAGTGTCCGTGCGTCCGACTCCCGCAGTTGCCGCAACTCCAGAAGCAGCTGCTTATGCTCGGACAGTTCTGCCGTGAGTCGTGTCAAATGCGAGCGTAGTGTCGATATCAAAGACTCGAGCGCTTCGGAATAGTCAGCAAGTGGCCGCAACGCCAGTGCCTTTGGTGCCATACCTTTTTTCTCCTCCACTGCGTTCTTGTATCGCGCCTCAGACGCGGCAAGTTCCGCCTGGTCAGCCTCAGACTTCTGGCGCTGCTCTTGCTGAAGCTTCTCTCTCGATACCCGCGTCCTCGGTTGTGGCTGATCATCCTTCATCGCGCTCTGCTCGTGCTCCATAATCCGCGTCCTCTCCCTGGCCACTTCCTTCTTGCAAGCCTCTAACTCGAGCTCGAGCTCACGCACCCGTCTCCGGGAGACGCTGTTCTCGGCTTCGAGGTGGCCCAGCTTGTTTTGAACGACAGTCAAAGTCGCAATAAGGCGCGCTATGTTCCAAGGTTACACCAGAAACCCGGTGGAATGATGATATGCTTGCCTTCAATCTCAGTCGTTTCCTTGGGATCATACCCATAGAACTCGATATCCACCTTCGCTGGGGAAGCGACCGCAGAAGTAAGGCCCGTCATATCCGGTAGATGCACGGTTTTCTTGAACGGGGTCGCCGCGAGTGGCACCTTGTCAAACCTGTTGGCCTTCGGATCGTGGATAGCATTTGGCGGACGCCGGTGCTTCGACGCGAGTGTACTGTGGTGGTATGCCTTCGGCGTCGCCTCTGTAGGCGGGAACCGGCCCTTGCGCTGCAACTCAGCGTCAGCCTCCTCCGCGATATCCCGCTTCAATCCCCTCGCCATGGCTGTGAACTTGGAGGACTGGTCCTGCTCTCCCGAACGATGGTGTCGGATGGATGGCGTCGCCGGCTGGATGTTCACCTCTGGTTGCGGGTGGGTGAAGCTGTTCTGTGCGGCGTACGACAACGAGGTGTTGTACCGCTGTGGCCTCGGGGTGGACGTCGGGAATGGCCCTGGAGAGGGAGAAGAGACGTGCCGCGGAATGGCAGAGCGGTCCGGGGTCGATGAGCGGATGGTCATGCTCGCGAGTCGGGGCGAAGGGAGGCCTTGGGCGCTGCGGGGGCGTTTAGGGGAGAAGGTCAAGTGGTTGAGAGCGTCGGAAAGTCGAGGGCGGGAGTCTTGCTGAGGTTGGGGAGAGCGGGGCTCAGATGGATCTGAGCTGGAGGCGGACGAAGAGTGAGAGGACCGGAATGCAGCGGGGGCATGGCCTGACTGGAGGACGCGGTCGAGTTCGGCGGTGTCGTCGACAACCAGGGGGTCGAAGTCAGCGGCGCTGGCGGTCTAGCGATGTGTGTCGATTGGATGAGGATGCAGACTAGTGTACAAAGAGATGGACGTACGATTTGGCGAGAACGCGTAGAGTTGGCATCGAAAGCGGTGAAGCGACCAGCGATGCCGGCTATGATCCCGTTCAAAGGGCGATCGGGGTCGTACTCTGCTCCGCTAAGACTGAGATCTCTTCTCTGTCCTCTACCCCCACCAAGGCCGGCGTTGATGGTTAGAGCGCTAGCGTGGTGGTGAGCAGTCGAGAGCGACTCGTGTGCGTAGGGTTGGATGCCATCGTCGGTGTGGTAGGACCAGGCGTGGAAGCGAGATTGCTCATGGGGGTCAAAGTCGTCACCAGAGCGGTGGTCGAAGGACGCATATGCCGAGAAGGGAGGAGACGGGACACCTGCGTGGCGCGGATACTCGAGCTCATCGGTAGAGGCATCGAGGCGGGAGCGGGAGGAGAGGTGGAGGGAGAGGTCGGTGTGCTGGAGGTTGTGCTCGAGCATGGCGCGTCGGGCCTCGAGCTCGTCACCGTAGATAGAAATGTCGGGTTGCGCTGACCGCCTCGACATGTGGTAGAAGGTGTCGCTGGTGGCAGGGCGCCGAGGCGAGGGACGGAGAGAACAAGGAGGAGGAAGAGGAGGAGGAGGAGAGAGCGAGCCGTGGTTCGGCAAACAGACGCCCGTCCTCAACAAGGACGCGAAGATCACGTGGTCGCGTCTAAGCGCTGCCATTTTTTGTAGGCGCCGGGACCCGCGGGCCGTGTAGCAGACCAGGCCTGAAGCTGAGCTCGAGCTGCAGTCTCCCCTTCCACCGCCAATGGACAACCAGACACACAAGGCCCACCGCCCGGCACAGTCGGGCGCAAAGGCCGACAAGAAAAAGTCGGCCAAGGGCAAGGGCAAGGAGAAGCAGCACGGCTTCAACGAAAAGGTCCGATCCTCTTCTCTCCTCTCGGCCCTCTCACCAACCCCCCTCTCGCATTCCAGGCATTCGCCCCGAAGTCCGGTCGCAGGGCCGACAAACAGGGCCGTCGCACCGCTGAGCGGGACCAGGCTCGTCTCCATGTCCCCCTCGTCGACCGCACTCCCGATGACCAGCCTCCGCCCACCGTCGTCGCCATCGTCGGACCACCAGGCGTCGGGAAGACCACCCTCATGAAATCCCTCATCCGCCGCTATACCAAGCAGACCCTCAACCACATACAAGGTCCTGTCACCGTCATCAGCGGCAAGAAGAAGCGGATAACCTTCGTTGAGTGCAATAACGACCTCAACTCCATGATCGACATCGCAAAGGTCGCAGACCTGGTCCTTCTCATGATCGACGGCTCCTACGGATTCGAGATGGTGCGTCTCTTTCATTGCTTTAGTAATGCATCTCCCACCCACCTACCCGTCCGCGCAGGAAACCTTCGAGTTCCTCAACGTCCTTCAAGCCCACGGCTTCCCCAAAGTAATCGGTATCCTTACCCACCTTGACCTCATCAAGAAGGCGGCCATTCTCAAGGCCACCAAGAAGGCCCTCAAGAAGCGTTTCTGGACGGAGATCTACCAAGGCGCGAAACTCTTCTACCTCTCCGGTGTTCTCAATGGCCGCTACCCCGACAACGAGATCCTCAACCTCTCCCGTTTCGTGTCCGTCATGAAGTTCCGTCCCCTTGTCTTCCGCAACACCCACCCCTACATGCTCGCCGACCGCTTCGAGGACCTCACGCCACGCGAGGAGATCCGCTCGTCCGGAGGCAAATGCGATCGGACGGTGACCCTCTACGGGTACATGCGTGGCACAAACTACCGGACAGGGACCAAGGTGCACGTTCCTGGAGTGGGAGACTTGGAAGTCAAGAGCGTGCAGCTGCTCGGTGACCCTTGTCCGCTGCCCGACGCCGAGTCCGAGAAGAGGAGGAAACTGAGCGAGAAGAAGAAGCTGCTCATCCACGCGCCGATGAGCGACGTGGGCGGCGTGATGTACGACAAGGACGCGGTATATATCAACGTGCCCGGGAACTTCACAAAGGGTGGAATGGAAAGTGCGTGCGACTAATCTTGTCTTGTGGCTCGTCCCTAACCGTCGCGTCAAGATCCCGGAGAGGGCGAAAAAATGGTCCTCGATCTACAGGACGTCAACGCTACGCTGGAAGACGCCGTCGCGCAGAGTCAGATCAAACTCTTTGGCTCTTCCTCTCGACCACTCGCCGTGCAAGCCGAAGCTGGTCCCAGTTCGCTCAAGTCGAGAGACGACGACCCCGATCTATCTAACTCGGACGAAGAGGAGGGCGATGATGACGACGACGACGACGACGACGACGAAGCATTCAGTGGTGATGAAGACGAAGAATACGGTTCTGACGACGGCCTAGAGGATGGGTCCCATTTCGGCGAAGATGACGAAGAGGACCTGGGCAACAGTGGTCGCTCAGCCCCTCGGACTGTTCGGCGGTCGATACAGGGCATTCGATCATCTGCCGGAAAACGAGGTCAAGTCGACTACGCGGACAGCGACTCGGACCTTGGCGAAGAAAATGAAGACGATCCTGGGCCGTCGAAACGATACGTCCGGTTCGACGAGGACGACGGTATCGATCTCCCCAGCGACGAGGACGAAGACGGTGGTAGCGGGGACGAAGAGGATGCACCTCAGTGGAAGGCGAATATGAGCGAGAGGGCGCAGAAAGCCTTCCGGGAAGCGACGAAGTCTCGACGACGAAAAGACTGGACGAAACTCATCTACGACACCACCGAGTCGCCTGAGTCGATACTGGGTCATGGTTCCAGGACGGGGGGTGCTTCGCGTGGAGACGCCATGGACGACGACGAACTATTCACACTGAAGAGCAGTGCCCCCGTCAAGACAGAAGAGGACCTCGATCGTACAAAGGAGCCTCTGGACTTGGAGGCGCTGAAGGAGTGGGAAGACGAAGGGCTACTCGACTCGATCCGTAGGCTTTTTATCACTGGCGCGGCAGAGCCTGCGGAGGGTGTCGACTCAAATGGCGAGCCGTACGAAGACCCCGAAGATGGTGACGGCCACGGGGAGGATGACGAGGACGGGGACGGCAGCGCAGACGGCAAGGGCAAGCGTGCGAAGGATCCCGCCGAGCTCGCCACGAAAAAGGCCGAGCTGAAGCGCAAGTTCGACGAGCAGTACGATGAGCCCGACGCTACCAAGTCCGACTTCTACAACGAGGCCAAGGAGGAAATGGCCCGCCAGAAGGCACTCAACGCGGCCGAGTTCGAAGGTGTTGACGCCGAGGCGCGGGCTCTTCTCGAAGGCTTCCGCCCCGGCGCGTACGTCCGCCTCGAGCTCACCGACGTGCCGGCGGAGATGGTCGAGCACTTCGACCCCACATTCCCGCTCGTCGTCGGTGGCCTGCTCCCCGCCGAGGAGCGCTTTGGGTACGTGCAGGTGCGCATCAAGCGGCACAGGTGGTTCCCGAAGACGCTCAAGACAAACGACCCGCTCATCTTCTCACTCGGCTGGCGGCGGTTCCAGACGGTGCCGATCTATTCGCTCGACGACCACTCGATCCGGATGCGGATGCTCAAGTACACACCGGAGCACATGCACTGCTACGCGACGTTCTACGGGCCCGCGAGCGTGCCGAACACGGGCTTTTGCGCGTTCAACGCGCTCGGGCGGGACGCGCCCGGCTTCCGGGTGAGCGCGACGGGCGTGGTGCTCGACATCGACCGGTCGACGAAGATCGTGAAGAAGCTGAAGCTGACCGGGGTGCCGTTCAAGATCTTCAAGAACACGGCGTTCATCAAGGGCATGTTCTCCTCCGCGCTCGAGGTCGCCAAGTTCGAGGGTGCGAACATCCGCACCGTCTCCGGCATCCGCGGCCAGGTCAAGAAGGCCCTCCCCAAGCCCGACGGCGCCTTCCGCGCCGCGTTCGAGGACAAGATTCTGATGAGCGGTGAGTGCGTCCTCTTTCTGCCGCCTCAACACACCGCGAGGTCGCGCGGGCAGACGGGGAGAGGACCTGCGCGGTCGCGCGGCTTGGCGCACGCCCTGGACGGAATGCTGACGGATGCGGTCCCCCAATCTTATCAGATATCGCGTTCCTCCGCGCGTGGTACTCCATCGAGCCCCGCCGGTTCTACAACCCGGTGACGTCCCTGCTGCTCTCCCCCGCGGACCGCGCGCGGAGCGGCTGGGCGGGCATGCGCCTGACGGGCGCGGTGCGGCACGAGGCGGGGCTGCGCGCGCCGCACGCCCCCGACTCGGCGTACCGGCGCGTCGAGCGCCCCGCGCGGCGGTTCAACGCGCTCCGGGTGCCGAAGAAGCTGCAGGCAGCGCTGCCGTACGCGAGCAAGCCGAAGCTCGCGCGGGCGCAGCACCGCGCGCCGTACGTCGTGAAGCGTGCGGTGGTGATGGAGCCCGAGGAGCGGAGGGCGGTCGCGCTGCTGCAGCAGGCGCGGGCGCTGCGGAAGGAGCAGGTCGCGCGGAGGCGGGAGAGGAAGGAGCAGGGGCGGGAGAGGCACCGGAAGAAGGTCGAGAAGGAGGAGGCGCAGAAGGGGGAGAAGGAGAAGGAGAAGCGAAAGGAGCACATGCGCGTGGCGGGCGCGAGGAGCAAGCGCGAGGCGGACGCGCGGAGGGCGGGCGGGGCGGGAAGCGGAGGAGGACGTAGCGTTGATGGCATTCGGTCCCTTGCATCGTGTTGTACGCTCTACGTGACTTTGCCACTCTGCCCGCATATACTCGTTCAAGTCTTACGACCACCTCGCTCTGTGGTCAGAATGGAAGTTGAGTAGGCACTCCCCCGGCGTCCTGAAGCCGCGGCGGAAGCTGGGCATACTCTGGCACCCGCCCCCAAGTGCTTCGCACCCACACCCACTGCCACTGCCCCCTTCGCCACTCACTCACACCGCCTCGATTACACGACGGCTGGATTCCTCTGGTTTCTCCGGCCCCCGAAGGGCCGACCTGGGCCGACACGTCATCCGTCCCGTATACGCACCTTTTTTATCGCTAGCCAGATTACCGTACGTAGCGCCCATGGGCACGCCCCCAGGGCGTTAAACAAGAGACAAACAAACAAACAAACAAGTTTAAGGTGGGCGGAGCCGATACGATGAGGTTGTACTTTTCTATATTGAACGTACTAAAGGTATACTAGCGGTATACTAACTACACCCCAACGGGTGATTATATGCCCGAAAAGCCCGAAGCAGGAGTAGGTAAGAGTCGACGTAGTAAGTGGAGTCGTGAGAGGGGGATGAGGGTGACGAGACGAGTTGCAGAGTGCACAGCGCAGTGGGTGGAGCATGGTATGGTGCGATGGATGAATGGATGGGCGTTAGACGACAGAGAAGGCCTGGGGGATGACACGAGGGGCGAAGGGCGAGGGGCGTGAGGGGCATCAACGAGATCACAAACTGTACATACTGATTATGAGCACGACCACGTACAGCCGCTCTAAGCAGCGGTGGCGGCGACGGCACGAAAGCCAAGAACAGTCCAAACGGCGACGGAATACGGGCGCGGGTACGTCTACTTCTTGCTGAGCGCCTGGAGCTGCACGTACTCGTAGTAGCCGCCCTTGAGGGCGAGCAGCTCGTCGTGCGTGCCGGACTCGCTGACTGCACCGTCCTTGATGAAGTAACTGCAGAGAGAAAGAGAGAGGTCAGCGACGGCAAGCGAGGCGCGAGGCAACAAGAGACGGTACGCACATGCAGTTCGCGTTCTGGATCGTCGACAGCCGGTGAGCGATCGCGATGGTCGTGCGGCCCTTGGCGGCCTGGTCGAGCGCCTCCTGGACGACCTTCTCCGAGTTGGAGTCGAGCGCGGAAGTCGCCTCGTCAAGCAGGAGCACCTTCGGATTCCGGAGGAGCGCGCGGGCGATGGCGATACGTTGCTTCTGGCCGCCAGAAAGCTGCGAGCCCTTGCCGCCGACCTGGGTGTCGAAGCCGCTGCAAAGGGAGAAGCCGAGATGTCAGCCGATGCACGGAACGAAGCCAATACTATACGGAAGGATGTACGCACTCGGGAAGCGAGTTGATGAAGTCGAGGATGTTCGCGTCGCGGCACGCGTTCTCGATCTCCTCTTGGGTAACTTCCTCCGTCGGCTTCGTCGCGCCAAGGAGGACGTTGAAGCGGACGGTGCCGGCGTACAGGGTCGGCTCCTGGGAGACGAGCGCGATGTGCTTCCGGTACTCGGACACGTTGTAGCGCGTGATGGGCTGCTCGTCGAGGAAGACCTCGCCCGCGAGCGGGTCGTAGAAGCGCTCCATGAGCTGGATCGTGGTCGACTTGCCGCAGCCGGAGGCGCCGACGAGGGCGACGTACGTGCCGGGCTCGACGGTGAGGTTCAGGTCGCGGAGGACGCGCACGCCGGGCCGGGTCGGGTAGCGGAAGTGGACGCCCTCGAAGCGGATGCGGCCCTTGACGTCCTTGGGGATCTCGCCCTCCGTCGACTCGGCGTCGATCTCGGGCACGGCGTCGAGGAGGCGGATGATGTCCGACGCGGCGGACTGCGCGGAAGAGACGTCGGGGACGAAGGAGAACACGTTCCCGGCTTGGATGGCGGAGAAGACGGTGCTCTGTGGAGCAGAGGCGGAAGGTGGTCAGCTGGCGTGCGCGGCGGGGCGGCCATTTCGAAGAACTCACCATGAGGCCGATGAAGAACTGAAAGGTCGTGCGCTGGAAGTCAGCGACCTGGCGGGAGCCGTACCAGAAGACGAGGGCGATGACGAAGAACGTGAGCGACTGGGAGAGTGAGAAGATGCCGTTGCTCCAGATCGCGGCGCGGTTCGAGCGCTGCATGGGCTCCTCGAGCGACTCGGAGTACAGCCGGCAGCAGTCGTCCTCGCGCGTGAGCGAAGCGACAGTACGGATGGCGCCGGCGGCTTCGCACGCGAGCTGCGCGGACGACTCGTGCGCCTTCTTGTTCTCCTGGTCCTTGAGCACGACGACGCGGAGGCGGATGTAGCCTGCGGAGACGAGGATGGGCGTGCAGGCGAGACCGATGAGGCCGAGCTGCCAGTTGAAAGAGAGACCGATGACGGTGCCGATGATGAGGGTCGCGATGCTCTGGAGGATCGCACCGAGGGTGATACCGGCGAGACCGTTGACCTTCTGCGGGTTGTCAGAAAGCGCAGAGGTGAGCTGGCCGGTGTTGTTCTCGTCATAGTCGAAGAACTCGATGTCCTGGCGGAGGATAGCACGGAAGGAGAGGGTGCGGAGCTTGGAGGTGAGCTCCGCGGCGGAGCGCGCGAAGAGGTAGTTCTGGACCCCGATAGTCCACATGGAGATGATGGCGATGAGGAAAAAGTAGAGCGCGTTCCGATCGCCGTCGTGCCGGCGTTGGTGCGGGTCCGTCTCCGAGAAAGTGTTGATGGCCTTGGAGAAAACGATGCCGTACGACGGGTAGGTCGCGCCGTTGGCGATCGCAGCGATGGAGCCGATCAGATATAGCTTCCAGGACGCGCGGTTGATCGCGCCCATGCGCTTGAAGAGGTAGGGGAGGGAGTAGTCCTTCTTCTGCTGGGCTTCGTGCTGCTTCTTCTCGATGAGCTCGCTGGCGAGCGAACGGCCGGACTTCTGGCGCTCGAGAGGGATATCGTCGGCGGCCTCGGTGGACTGCTTCTCCGCGGAAACGGCCTCCACGTCGTCCTCGGCAGAAGCGGCGGTGTCTGAGTCAGAGTCGAGGGTGCGCTTCTCACGCGCGTCACGGAGGCGCTGCGCGGCCACGAGGCGGGCATACGGGCTGTTCTCGTTGCGGAGGAGCTCGTCGTGCGTGCCGGACTCGAGGATGAGCCCATTACCCATGACGTAAATGCAATCGGCGTCCTTGATCGTCGACAGACGGTGCGCGATCGTGATCGTGGTACGTCCAGCGGCGGCCTTGTCGAGCGCGTTCTGGACGACGCCCTCGGACTGGGTGTCGAGCGCGGAGGTGGCCTCGTCGAGGAGCAGGATGCGGGGGTCGGAGACGATGGCGCGGGCGATGGCAATGCGCTGCTTCTGGCCGCCAGAGAGAAGGAAGCCACGCTCACCGACCATGGTTTCGTAACCGAGAGGGAGCTTGGAGATGAAGCTGTCCGCGTTCGCCTTGACGCACGCTTCCTTGATGAGCTTGAACTTCTCCTCCTCGGACGCATTCTCGTGCGGAGTGCCGATGAGACCGTGCGCGACGTTGCCCTTGATGGTGGTCGCGAACAGGGTGGGCTCCTGCGAGACGAGACCGACCTGGGAGCGGAGCCAACGAACGTTGAGGTCCTTGACGTCGATGCCGTCGAGCTTGACTGCCCCAGCGAGGGGGTCGTAGAAGCGCTCCACGAGGGAGATGACGGTGGACTTGCCAGAGCCGGAGGCACCGACGAGCGCAGTGGTTTTGCCAGCGGGAATGTGATCGTGAGGTCCTTGACGATGGTCACGTTCGGGCGCGAAGGGTAGTTGAAGTCGACGTGCTCGAGGGTGATCTCGCCGATGCACTTCTCGGGCTTGAGACCGTCGGGCGAAGCCGAGTCAATGGAGGGCACGCGGTCAATAGCCTCGTACAGTTTAGCCGCGGCACCGCGGGCCTGAGTGATCGCCTGCATTTCAGGGGCGAGAAGGGCAAGGGAGAAGGAACCGATGAGGATAGCGAAGATGACGTTGATGATCTCGCCAGCGGTGGCTGTGATATTTATACGTTAGTCCGATCGACTGTGGGCGTACAAGAAGACGCGAAGACGCACCTTGGCCACGGTTAAGGAGTGTGGTGCCGAAATCAAAGGCAAGGCGTAACCGCTGTAGATGACGAAGAAAAAGACGGAAAGACCGGCGCCGTGCCAGACCGAGGCCTTGAGGTCGACGAGACGGCTCTGGTTGACGTGACCGCTGTAGAGGTTGCCGAGAACGTTCTGGGTACCGAATGCCTGAGCGGTGCGGACGGTGGAGATGACCTCCTCGGCAAGTGTGCCGCCCTCGGCGACATGCTGGAGGGAGAGCTGCATGTACTTGGAGACGAACTTGTTCATCACACCACCAGCGATGGCGATGCAGGGCAGCATGGAAGTCATGGCGAGGGCGAGACGCCAGGAACGGACGTATGCGAGGACGAAACCGGTGACGAAGGCAGCGAGGAAGTTGACGACGAGGGCAACCTTCTCCGAGATACCCTGCTGGACCAAATCTGGGAAGGAATGAGCGAAGAAATACAGGACGAGAGGGTAAACGGACGGGTGTCGGTCTGGATACGAGTAGCGACCTCGCCGGCACCGACGTTGTCGAAGTAGGCAATGTCCTGGCGAAGAACAGCCTTCAGGTATCTCTCACGGAGGCGCTTGGCGTTGATCTCTCCGGTGTAGACCCAGATGAGCATATATGCATACGTGCAGACGAACATGCCGATACCTAAGTGAGGAATGGCGTGAGGAATGAACGGGTCAGGGAAGAGGGTGGATGGCAGCGAGCACGGACTGACCGATGTATACGAGGTAGGAAGCATTGAGAGCGGCGCTACGCTTGAAGCCCGCGACGGCCCCAGGGAGGGCCGCTTTCGCTTCTTGTGCGATCGTCTGGTTGGCATTATTGAGTTCGCCGACAGTGGTGCCAAAGGTGACGAAATCCTGGGTGAGACGACTGAAGAGCAGGGACATGAGAGGCTGGGAAGCCAAGATGAGTGGGAGCGAGCGGGGTGCATGAAGTTGGACGGACCTGGGAAGCGCCGGCAGCAGCGGCAGCAATGAGACCAATGAAGTCGATGAAGATCTCGAACTTGGTGGAGAGGCTGGAATAAACCGGGGGTGGGTCGAAGCGCAAGAGAGAAGAGGGAGGAGACTGACCGGAAGAGCTCGGAGATGGAGACAGGCTCGACCTTGGGGGCGGCCGGGGCGCCGTCGACCACGGCATCCTTGGGCTTCTCGTCGACGTCGGGGGGAGTCTGAGGGGCCTTGCTGCGTCCAAACCACCCCTTCTTTGCGGGTGGCTGGCTGGCGGTGGGGGCGACCTTTTCGTCCGTTGAAGGGATATCTGGCGAGTTGGCCGCCATGGTGGGGAAAGAGGGACGGGAAGGGGGCAGGCTCTGGGGATGTCCGGCGGGGGGTTATATGCAGCTGGGACGAGCCGGGAAGCGAGGGCGGGGACGCCGGGGGAGAGGCGCGGCCAGGGGAGCGGCAAGCGAGGGAGAGGAGGGCGGGGACAAGCGTCGACGGGCAGAGTCTCGCGCGGGGGTATATATCCGATCACGACCAACCCTCGTGAGATCATCCCCTCCCCCCGCGCCTCCACGTCGCCCCGTCCCCTTCTCCCCGCGCGCGTCCAGAGTGGGCGCGCGCAGACGACCTCCACGCGCGCCATTCGCGTGCACCGTACGGGAGGCGATGGATAGGACGCGAGCAGGACGCGAAGGGCGGGGAACCGGTCGGCGCTGGGCCCGTTCGCGCCGCTGACCAGCACGAATTACGCTCCGGGCCGTGTCTGCCCTCTCCTGGGCCACGGCCGCCAGCTGCGACCCACCTGCGCCACCCGGTCGCGGACGGTGACTCGAGGGCGTACGCGGCGTCGCTGCGCGGTTCTAGGCTGCGGGCTGTACCGTACGCTGGGGTCGGCAGCTTGCGATTGACATTGTGGACACTCGGAGCTAGGGCGCGCGTATGCCTGCGTATGCTCACGGTGGACGCGTGTGCTCGCGGCAAGCAGACGTGGACTGGCAGATCGCGGGCGCCCGACGCGCGGACACGCCAGCCGGGGATGTGAACAATCAGTCATTCGCGCTGCCCCCTCAAGTGGACGCCTCAGATGGCCCGACTCCGAGGCAATCGGCAGACCGGTCTCCCGCCACCCGCCAAGGGTTTCCACCGTGTAGTGTGCATGTGCAGTCCGTGTTCGACTCATTCCGCAAGCTCGACCGTCCGCAGCGGGCCGCCGTCATAGGGGACCCGGCACACGTTGAATGGAGTCACACAGACGTGGATTTGCAGGGCGACGCTATGGACGACACACTCCAGATGTTTCTAGGCCGCCACCGCCGTCTGTCATCTACCCGCTCCGAGGTCGCAGAACCGGCACCTCCGCAATGAAGCTTCTCGGGATCGCGGACACCCCGCGCGCGTAGATCTGCGTCGTGTACACCTGTACGCTCCTTCAGTCACCCGTCCTCTCCTCACCCCGCAGTGCACGTACCAGCTCATCATACACAATCGCCGGCACCTTCTTGTCCGCCAGCACCGAGCTCGGGTGGATCTTCACCACCTGCACGTCCCACCGTCAGCCGCAACCTCTCCCGCCCCGCCGCGACACGCACCGAGTGGCCCATCACCTGCTTGTACGTCCCGTCCGGCTGGAGGAAGGCCGTGTTCTGCACCAGGCCCCGCACCAGCGCCCTCAACACCCGCCCCTCCCGCTCGTCCCCCGCGCTCCCCGAGCAGTCCACCCCGAGCCGCGCGCACACCTCCCGCAGCTGGACGGCGATGTTCCCCGCCTCGACGAGGCACCGCTCGTTCACGCACGCCCGCCGGCACCACTCGCGCTGCGCGCCCTTGCCCTCCGCCGCGCCGACCTCGGCGTGCGCGCGCACGACGTTCAGCGCCGTCAGGTGGTCCCCCGCAGGGTCGCGGAACTTGCGCCGCGCGTCCGCGGCCGCCTCGCGCGCGGCAGCTGCGTCGATGAAGAGGGGTGAGGACGCCGAGAGAACACTCGCGAGCGCGATGAGCTCCGCGCCACAGCCAAGCTCCGCCCCGGCGAGCACCGCGCGCGCCAGCGGCGGCTCGAGCGGAAGCGCGGCCATCTGCCGGCCCAGGGGTGTGAGCGCCTTGGCCGGCGAGAGCGCGGAGAGGAGGTAGAGCGTCTTCAGTGCGGAGGCGATCCCGTCCATGTCGGGGGCGTCGAGGAGGGTGAGCTCTTCCAGGTTCTGGTCGAGGCACTTGAGCTGCAGCAGGGCGGAGGTGAGCGTGCAGCGCCGGATCTCGGGCTCCGCCGTGAGCGGCATTTTGTTGAATGAGTCTTCGGTATAGAGGCGGAAGCAGAAGCCTTTGCCCTGCGCTGAGAAGATTAGCGACTGAATGAGGGCAGGGATGAACGACGCACCTCGCGTCCTGCACGACCGGCTCGCTGGATCGCAGAGGACTGCGTGATATCTCGGGTCAGAAGGGTATCAAAGCCTGCGTGAACTTCTGGTCAGCATCCAGACCACGGCTGGGCAAGACGCCGACTCGCCTGTCCCGGTATGTTTCGCGACATGGCGCTTTTCTTTGCATTTGCCCGTGTCGATCACGTACTTTACCCCGGGGATCGTGATCGAGGTCTCGGCGATGTTGGTCGCGAGGATGCATTTCCGTGTACCCGAGGGCGCCGGCGTGAACACCTTCGCCTGCTGTTGGGGTGGTAGTGCCGCGTATATCGGGCAGACGAGTACCTGCCAGGAACCCACCAGGCGGGCCGTCAGTCCGAGACTCGTCTGCAGTGCGATGGGAAACTCGGAGCTCACTCCGAGGGCGTCTGTCGGCAGATTGCTCGCATACATCTGGATCGACTTTTCGAGACTAGTGATGTCCTCCTGCCCAGGAAGGAATACGAGGACGTCGCCTGGCGGCTGGTCCGTGTGGATTTGAAAGAAGGTTCGTAGGGCGGCGTCGACATAATCTGGTTGGCTGACGGCGGTGTGGTAGATCGTGACGGGATGTTGGCGGCCCTTGACATAGACGACCTTCGAACTAGGGAGCGTGAGCGGTGAAGGCGTGAGAGTGAGGGGGCAAGACAGACCCGCCGAAGAACTTGCTGAATTTGTCCGCTTCGAGTGTTGCGCTCATGATGATGATTTTGAGGGGTGGAAGCGTGTGTGACGTGTCGGTGGCCTTGCCTTTGCCTTTGCCTTTGCCCGTGGGGGTCGGCGAGCGTCGGCGAGCGTGGAGGATGGTCTTGAGATTGGCGATGAGAAGATCGGTGCGGAGCGTGCGCTCGTGTGCCTCGTCCACGATGACGGCCCCGTAACGGAGGAGGAGTGGGTCACCAAGGAGCTCGCGGACGAGCATGCCGTCGGTGGCATATTTGATTTTGGTATCGCTCGAGGAGGCCTCATCAAAACGGACAGAGTAGCCCACGCGCCCACCGACGGCGGTTTTCTGCTCTTTGGCCACCCGAGCGGCGAGAGAGGTGGCTGCGACTCGGCGGGGCTGGGTCACGGCGACCATTCCGTCTCCGGCTAGTCCGGCTTCCAAGACGTACTGGGGGATCTCTATGCACATTTTAACACGATCATAGAGGGATGTGGATGTAGGGAGGGCGATGGGTACTTACGGGTGGTCTTTCCAGAGCCCGTCTCGCCGATTAGAATAGTTACATCGTTCTTACGGATGACCTCTATGATCGCGTCTTTGCCTGCGAAAAACTCGGCACACTGGTGGAAGAAAAAAAATCCGTGACGCACCAGCAAAAATGGGGAGATGCTGCCGCTGCTCTGGAACAGAGCCTTTGGTCTGAATAGAAAAAGCGGCGGGAGCGGACATCTGTGGTTTCTTGCGTGGGCCGTGAGGGTGCGGAGAGCGGACGACGGGACGACCGCCTTTGGGGGAGGGTCGCCTTGAGCTGGAGGACTTGACGGTGAGGTCGTCGTCGTCGTCGACGTCCACCCAGGCATACTTGCGTTTAAGTTTGTGAGGGGGGGTGCGGCGCGCAGATTTGCGAGCCTGGTCGGAGCCGATACCCTTGAGCGCGGCAATTTTGGGCATGGCAGATGTAAGGCGTGGTCGGGGTATTGAGAATGCGAGCAGGAGCAGGAGATGGCGAAGTAGTGCATGAGCACTGAGAGAGCCCGTCTGGATGGCGTCGACCGTGCGGAGGCCAGTCGCAGACCGCAGGATAAGCCAGGGATAAGCAGAAGCGCCTGAAAACGTAGCGGGCCCGCGCCGCCCATCGCCCCCGCCTCTTGCTTCCGCCCTCCTCGACGGTCTGCGCCTCAACGCCGTTCCACAGGCTGCCCAGCCCGTCTCCCAGCAGGACTCCACCCGGCACCGAGAAGCATCCGCGCCTCTCCCTTCGTGCCCTCCAAGACCATTTACGACCACCGCGCCTGATCTTACGACTCCCCGCTTGCACCATGTCCTCCAACGCTACCACCACGCTCGCTTCGCTCCTCTCCTCGTCTTCGTTCTTGCTCGCTTATACCCTCCCGCTCTTGTTCCTCTCGCTTCTCCTCGCCTTTGCCGGCGCATTCCTTACGCTCGATCGCACGCGCGCTTTCGCCCCCCGATATGACGCACTTCGCCCGCCCGAGACGACCAAGGTCCAGCACGCCGAAATCGTCCTTCAGAGCGTCTTCAGGCTTGAGGGAGGTATAGGAGGCATTGCTGTCGGGTTTGTGACTGGAGGTGCGTCTACTACGCTTGGTCTTACAACTCCACTTGGGCTAATCTGCCACAGTCCATCTGTCGACCTTCCTTTCGCTCCTCATCCCCAACGTCACCTCGATGAGCGCCCTTGGTTCAGGTGCCTTCTTGGCCGTCTGGTTGCTCTCGGCCATCGCCTCCGCCGTCCTCGCCGCCCGCTGGAAGATTGCAGCCCTTGCCTTTGCCGGGCTGGCCGGATAGTGAGTCTTCTTGCCCCGTTGAGTGCAAACCATCGTACTCAACTCCGATCCGCGCAGCTCTACCTTGGCGCTGGGGCTTTCTGTGATGCTTCATCCGTCACTGCTCACCCGCCTCATCCTTGTTGCCATTTTCTCCCCCATTGGACTTCTCCTCTGCCTCCTTCCCATTGTGGCCACCCAGCATACTTCCGTCCGCATAGGCATGTCCGCCGCGGGAGCGTTCGGCACCGTGCAGTCCATCGCCCTGCTTGCGCACATCCCGGCCTGGACCGAGGTGTGGGACAGACTCTGGGTCAGCAATGGGAGTAACTGGGGTACGGCCCAGGAGAAAGGTCTCACCGCCACCTTCTGTCTCTTCTTACTCCTCGGCACGGCCTGCGACTGGTTCTTGCGCAGCAAGTTTGGCGAGAATCCGGACCAGGTGAGTCATACTCCCGCTTATTGCTGGGTCTCCGCTTATACGCCGATGCAGAAATGGGACAGCTACCTGGCGGATTACGCCAACACTCTACCGAACTCGTCTGACCGCGCGGGCCAGTTCCAGCCTCTTCAGAGCTTCTGGGCCCGCCACTTTGGCCGCGACAAGGGTCTGGACCCTATCGACGAGGACGTCGTCTTCCCCACCGACGCCGACCTCAAGCTTCCCATTCCTGACTCGCCGCTGAAGCTGTACAAGAAGCGTTCTCTTACGAGTTCGTATGGTGCCAAGAGTACCTCTCCCCGTCGCTTCACGCCTCCGCAAGACTACCTCCGCAAAGAACGTAGACCGGGCATCAAGGGCTGTCAGCGCACACGCGAGGCCATCAAGTTCGATCCGCTCGACCCTTATGCGGCGTCCGATTCCGACGATGACGACCTTAAGAACGGCGTTCCTACCTTCGTCAGGTCGCCGACACGAACCGGCTCGATGGCAACCTTGACCGAAGAGCGCCCAAGTAAACGCTCGAAGACGACCCACTTGAAGAAGGTGTTAGAGGATCCCCTCTCAGACGACGAGCAGGACCTTGCCTCATTGCCCACCTCGAATGAGAAGAGCCCGAAGTGGACTCCCGAGTTCATCCGTCGCCATAGTCTCAAGTCCTCCGTCGCCGGTTCGCAGGGCACAGCTTCCTCCGCGACACTCACCCCCACCGCCTTTACACCCGTACCCGCGACGGCGTCGCTTATTCGTGCCGTCGAGCGCGTGAACGCGGCGCAGCAGGCGGTGTATACTCCCCGCGCGACGGACGGGCTGCCGTTCATGTCCGCACCATCAGCAGGTGCCCCGCTCCCCGCAAGCCACCACCATGGGCGAGGCTGGGACGCATTCTGGAGTGATGTGAAGACGAAGGCAGGTCACGGATTCCACCACGACATGGTGGGTGGGAGCGGCCCGAAGCGGTAGCATGTTATGACTTTAATGATCCCTAATGATGCCATGATTTTGTATGATGACCTAGTGTGCTTGCTCTGTACTTTGCCCTCATTTATTGATAGTGATATTCTTGCCACACTACTTGTGCTACTCCGGCCATACAAGTAGCCCACTACTCTTTAAGGGGGACATGCTTTGCATAATAGCAGGTGTAGGGACTGGAAACACCTGTAAGAGAGTGGGCAGGTCTAGTAAAGTTTTAAAGAAAGACAACATTATCTAGTTTTTTTGCTTATACACTGTGTAGCACTATAGATGTGTAGAGTGGTTATATTTTTTATAGTCATACCTGTGCTTTGTATCACAGAAGGGACTCTGCAGTGCCTATAGATATGATTTTTGGTCTGATTTTTAATATTGTTAGCTGTTTCCCAGTCCAGAAACATGATAAAGCAGAGAGGAGCAGTGCTGTTACATTGCAAGCAGACTAGAGGGTAGCTGTGCACAGCTATTATTGAATTTAGTTGGCCAAAACGTCTAGGAGTGTGTGCACTGTACCAAGTGGGCTCTTAGATGAATTGCCGATATCCACCCCCATTTTCTCGCTTCAAATGAATCAGAAGCTTCTAAAACTTTAGACATAGCTTTATCTGAATTTCTAGTAGAGATCAATATGATTCAGTAACAAATTGACCCAGGTAGCTTGGTGGGTAGATGCTATGGAGGCTACTTGTTAATAGTGTTGCTCAATTCATTACTTGATGTGCATTGCAAGAATCTCTAATGCACTCAATTGTGTCAATATAAACATAAGCTTTTTTATGCATGGTCTGACTGAATATAATCCATCTACACACTTACAGAATGTTGTAAGGCTGCATGAGGGTCCGGCTCACTTCGCGGGTCATGAGCTGATTATCTGGAGCCGTGAGCTGCATATCATGAGCCATGTGGCTCAGGCTCTTTGAGGGTCCAGCTCAGTGAAGGTCTGGATTGGGCCAGCCAAAATCCCAGTCCAATGTGGCTCGTCTGCAGGTTAAGCTGCAGAGTCGCACATATATATAGAGCATAAATAAACATGTTTGTGGCATATTGTTGTACATCATGAAGCTACTTAAACAATGTCATGTCATACTCATCGTCAGACTCGTCATCGGAGACTAAGGGAGTGTACAGGCCGGGGATTGAGTCCCCGTCTGAGTCATGATCATGAGCGCTCACATCTGCACGTGCATGCCCTCCATATGGTGGCACAGCACGGGTGGCCGTCATGTGGGCCATGGCGAGGGCCTGGCGAGTGGGCTGCGGATCCATGACAGGGCATGGTGGGAGAGTGTAAGTAAGGTCATACAGGTATGTGGGAGGTAGTACTGGTGTTGGTGCGTGCAGGTGAGGAAAGGGTGGAAACCCAGGGTAGGAGTAGTACATAGATTCAAGCGCACTGTAACTAATGGAGTCGGAATAGTGAGGGGGAGAGGATGAAGCGGAATGAGAACCGGGGATAGGTAAGGCGAACTTGAAGCTCCCAGTGGCACGGCCATGCACATTTGCGATGTTGGGGCTCGCGTCGACGTGGCCGCGTGCGTGCACCATCTTGATGCCCACATGTGTGTGGCTGCACACATCCACAATGTCAGCATCTGTGTCGACATTGTGCGCGATCTCCACACCTACGACAGCATGGCTGCGCACATCTGCAATGTCGGCCACATAGCCATGCACATCCTCGATCTCGACATCTATGTTGTGACTCGAAATCCCACCACCACACGTGTTGAGGAGCTGGTTGTCAGTGCTGGTATTTGAGGTGGCGAGACCGAGTGCGCCCGTGATCACCACATCGTTGCCCACGTAGTCAGTGGCCTCGTGACTGTGCATGCTGACGTTGAGACCGCGTAAAGATATAGAAGGATGGTAGGGCAAGATAGGAGCTTGGGTGATTGACGTGGAGACAGGGTGGTAGTGTGGAGAGAATGGGAGTGTGGGCGAGTCGCCAAGCCAGTATGTCCTGCCAGTGTAGGCCATGTCTCTGAGAAAGTCGGGGTACTGCAGCATGTCCTCAAAGGACATAGCGACGGGCATGCTGAGCACCGACAGGGGATCAATCTGGGGAGAGCTGGGAGGAGGGATCAGCGCACTTGTAGGGGGCGAGACTTTGTCTGCATGATGGGCTGAGTTGAGACTTGACAGGTTGGGCTCGGAGAAGGGACTGCTGGGAGGTGAGGCTTCACCAGCTGGACCGGAGGTTGAGGGAGAGCCATTGGCAAGCTTAGTGCTACGGGTTGAGGGTGGGAGTGTGTTGTGCCGGCACCGGTGTGACGGGAATGCTCCCTCCATCAGAGCACGGCAAACACATGTGAGGTCTTCATCTTCAGGATAGATGACCTAGAATACAATTCTGAGTGACTGGTGTGGTAAGTAGAACATGTATTAACGTACCTGGGGCATAATGTCGGACATGAAGATGCTGAAACTGGTCAGCACTTCCTGCATAGGCTCGTGCCAGTCTAGAGAGTGGGCATGAGTGACAAATTGATTGGCGAAGTAGTTGAAAGGGATGTAGGAGATGTCTTCGTCCTCTTGGGCGAATGTGTGGAAGGTGAGCACAAGCTGCAGGAGCAGCCCACACTGATCGTCAGGGAGGCTGCATGTAAAATGACAATATCACGATCACACTGGTGCCAGACTCGTCCAAACCTTTAATTGAGGTAACAAATACAGCGGTGGTGCAGGTGGAGGTAAGCTGGCGTCCGTGGGACGCGTGTAGAGTACATAAGAGTCTGTATGGTCTCAGATCGCTGAAGTTTGGCGAACTACTTCACTGAAGTCAAGACGCCCGAGCCCTGCTCGCAGTGTGGCCGAAATTCGGCAGGTATGCCAAAATCCGGCATGTGTGTGCCCTGCGTGCCCGTACCTTAACATCCTCCTCCTCTGGACCGCAGTGACGGTCCTACTTGTGCTCAATGCTGGGCCCCGATGAGATGGAGATAGCGAAGAGGGACATGGGGCCGCAGAGGTAGATGTGACAGCGCCAGTCGACAAACTTGACGCGATCAGGGGGGGTAGCATCTTCAGCCTTCATCTCCACATCTGGCGCAGAGGTGTACTAGGGGATGTGTGCACCAAAATTCAGCGCGCTGCTGTGGGGGATAGTACCGAGGAATGCAGGGGTGGTGAGTTCAGCCAGAGTGGGGATGATGGAGTCTGGCATACAAAGGTGAGAGCGCATCACAGCAGCGAGGTGCTGGAGTTGGTGAACGCACTGATCGCCTGGACTGAGGCCAAGGAGTGCGAGCCAGGTGGCGATGTGGTGAAGTTCGAGTGCACGGCAGTCAAAGGGGAAGGCCATGTCGGTGGGGAGGATGTCAGGCTTCGCCTGGACAAACTAGCCAAGGTTCACGATGAGAGAGTAGAGGCCCTCGACCGAGAAGAGTTTGATCGCACCGTGGAAGAATGCAGATTCACTGTACTCTTCATGGCGAGCACAGGGAGCGCAGCGCAGTCGTCCAGATGAGGTTTGCAGCAATCTTCAGTGTTGGTGGACTCTTCAGGGAGAGCTCCGTTCGTGTCACAGACGGCCAATGGCCAGAGCATTGGATGGGAGTCCTGAATGTGTGTAGCAATGTGCGACTCGTCACCCAGAATGATGGTCGGCAGGAGGCAGTTGAGGTGATCGTGCCAGTCATCCATTGTGACCGGAATGATGAAAGAGGAAGGAATACGTGGCGGAGTGGGGTCCAAAACGAGAGTGGGGAGCAGTGTATCCATAGAAGGAGCGGCAGGCAGCGGATCCAGTCCGTGCATGGCTTCCAGAGCGTTCAGAGGGACAGGGATGGTGCTCATCGCAGAAGGACGGTATCCAACCGAGTTGACTTTGCGGGTGGCTGTCTTGCCCTTGCTGGACAAACTGATAATGGCCGCCAGTGCGTTGTCGAACGGCATGAGAGCATCAGTTCGGTCCAGCGAATACAAGCGTACAAGATACCGCTTGCCTTCGCTGCACCGAGTTCGGCCTTCAACGTGCTGCTGATAGACCCAGCCATACGCGCGTTTTGCGTAGTGGTTTGGCGGGCTCTTCGCGAGTGCGGCCATGCGCAGGTTCTGCACCTGAACGGCAGTCACAATGTGGAGTCCGCTCCAAGGGCCTAGGTCCAGATGCTCAAAGTCCCCACTAGAGGGCTTTCCATGCATGCTGGCCAGACACTTCTTGAGGTTGTGTGTCTCCTTCTTCTCGGCGTCAGGTCCCATGTTGCTGGACGTTTTGGCGTTGAGGTAGTAGGAGGCATAGTTGTGTTTGCTCTCGCTACGTGTGTCTGCTAGAGACACATCAGTGTACCACCGCGACCATGGAGTCTCGGGATGGCTGGCAAGAGAGGGGTCCGCTTGACCACAAGTTGAGTGAAGTGACGACCTAATAAGGTCACCAAAATTGTAGTCTGGGTCCGTAATGAGCCTCTCAGGCTGCGCCTGAACAGTTACAGATGCACCCACATTGTCGTGAAATGGACTCTGGATGTGCCCTATGTATCATTTTTCGCCTTTTCCTCACCTTTTCTCTGCCATTTACTATATTGGAAGGTTGTTCCCGCGCTTAAGCGCCCGTATCGTGGACTCACTTAGCACTTGCACTTCATGTCCTAGCCCTCATCTTGACCTCTTGGTCTTTGAGGGCTAGGTGAGTATCTCGATTGCCTGTATGTATGTAGAGCTATGTTAACTTGGTCTTTGTGGGCTAGACATCCCTCGTGTGACTCTAGCTTGTGTCTGCTTTGTGCCTAGTGCCGGCGACGCCCCTGCACCACTATATCGAGGTCACCCAACCTCCATCTATATCCATCCACCCCTCCGTCTCCTCCGATTGGTGTTCACGGCCTGCTCCCATGTCACGCATGTTGAGGAACAGAGGGCGGCGGGGCCATCACAGCGAATTTCGCTACAGTGACCTTGGCCATGCTCTTTTCGGCAGACTTCGCAGAGGCCTTTGCAGAAGTTGCAATGGCCAGTGCAAAGTTCAGCGCAGGGGTGTGAGTAGGCGCATTTGCAGGAGGTGCCTTGGGCGAAGGACCTGACTTGTACTCAGCGGGACGCTTATTGCCCTGCTCAGTCCGAGCCAAACCGTGGTAGGTGGATGCGCGCGAATTGGAGTGGTCGCTTCAGCACACGTTTGAGTAGTACGGCCGGTACTCTTGATCGTGGTGACGTCCGAACTGGCAGCTGTCTTCATCTCGATCACACTGATCATTAGAAGATCGTTGGCTCTGCGCGTCCAAGTCTTGGTTCTCCAGCTCGTGGATCCGGGTGGTGATCTGGTTGTTGATAACCTGCAGCTGTTACGAACACCATGCGTACACCTACCATTTTTTCTTCCCCCTCGTCATCTCCGTCATGGACTATGCCTCGCGCCCTCAGGGGCTACTATAACACCACCCCTATTGTTACGTCGAAGTCCGAGCTCCGTCGGGAACGAGGCCTAGATGCTGGGTTGTTATGTCTGTATGAAGTCTCTTGATGCCAACGCAAGTAAGTACGGTACACTATCGAGTGGACCGGTGAGTGAGCGAGGTAGAAGGCAAGCAAGAGGGTTGATTGGCACTAGGCCAGAGAGGACGTAGCTATACAGGAGGTCGAAAGATAGGGAGCGCTATGTTGCGTCGTCCCTCTTATAAGTACAAAGGCCTCAAGGCCACGGTGCGCGAGGGGTGAGGCAACAGTACGTATACAATGAGTCCATACAAGTCAGTATGAATCATGGCTGCAGGGTGTCAGGAGGTAGGACATCGTGAGGCTGCCATGAGGTACGTGCATGTCCGGAGCGAGGCTGCACAGCAGCATGAGGCGGAGACAGGGGTAGTAGTATAGTAGCCCCTAAGGGCACGAGGCATAGTCCCTGACGGAGATGATGAAGGAAGGAGGAAAAAGGTAGGTGTCCGCATGGTGTCCGTAACATCAGTTCCCTCTCCCGTGAGGGCTGTCCCAACCCTTAGTTACTGAAGATGTCATCGGCGTTGAGGTTGGGGTCTTCACTAGGACGATACCCGATCTGGCGAAGTCGTTCGATCACGTTGATGATTAAGGCTGTTTGCGGATCGATCCACGGATGATCCAGATCCGAACCCACGGATCAGGTGACTTCCGGGGGCTTGATCCAGATCCGCATGGATCAGAGCCGCTGGAAGAGCCGGAGCCGCGCGATCCGGAGCCGCAATCTGCGGATCGAGCCGCCAACTGAGCCGCACTCTGTGGCTCATTGCAGCTCAGCCACTTCTGCGGATCCCCCCACTTATATCAGGCTGTCAAGATGCACACAATGTTATCAAGAGCAAGCAAAGGGGTATTTTATTGACATATTACTACTCTGCATACATTCAGCACGCATATTTTGACTAAAGATGTGCCAGAGACGCGGGAGACGCGAGTAACAACGATGTGGGCGGTGAACGAGGTGGGGGACATGGGGGAGATGCAGCGAGACAGGGCGAGACGCAGGGGAGGCGTGGGCGGTGCGGACGAGGTGACGAGGGAGGCGAGGGGGAGGTGGGCACGACACAGATGACGCAAAGCAGGTGCGAGACGACGCAGTGGGCGCGAGTGTGGGCAAGAGCAGCGCTGGGCGAGACGGGGGATGTGGGCAACACGAGGGAGGCGCGTGGGCGATGCGAGTGACCCGGCGACGCTGGGGCAAGGTGGGGGCGCCGAGACAGACGACGCGGAGGCGACGTCGGTGACACAGACGGGGGATGTGGGTGATGTGGGTGGCGTCGGGGCGAATGCTGAGCACGGCCCAAGAGGAGTGGCGCGGGCATGCGGAGAGGCAACGCGGCAGGCGGGGGCATGGTGGGCGATGCGGGGGCAAGACGGTGGTGGTGTGGGCGACACGGGCAAGGTGGGTGAGGGCGACGCAGGTGCAACGCGGGAAATGCGGGCGCAACGCGTGGGCGATGCGGGCACGAGACGGACGACCCAGGGCCTCAGGGTGAGGGCGTGAGGGTGTGGGCGGGGAGGCGGAAGGCGGAAGAACGGGGACGCGAAGGGCGCACAGAAGGCCAGGGACGCACAATCGAAGGCCAGGGAAACGCGGACGT